CGAACATAATTGTTCATAATTCATATGTATAGGAAGAATTTTAGTCATGACAATAAGTCAGCTTTCTCGCCACTGCGACTAAAAGACCCATCTAGAACAATTATAGAGAAGGAAAGTTTATTTAGGGGTTCATAGTTTCAAAGGTCTCAATCCATAGATGGCAGACTCTATTCCTCAAGGCTCAAGGTGAGGCTGAACATCATGTCAGAAGAGTATGGCAGAGGGAAGCACCTCACAGGAAGATCAGGCAGCAGAGAGAGATCTCCACTTGTCAGATACAAATACATACCCCAAAGCCACACCCCTAAAGCCCCGCCTCCTTGAGACACATCCTACCTGCCTTAAATTACCACTCAGTTAATCCCATCACGCGATTGATTCACTGATTGGGTTAAGGGTCCATGATCCGATCATTTCTTCTCTGAATGTTCTTGCATTGTCTCACACATGAGCTTTTGGGGGACACCACACTTCCAAACCATAACAGCAACCCAATACAGCCATGAGATTCATATGTTTTAAAATCCTAAGTCCAAATTAAAGGTAAATAAATTAGTAACTGTGCACTCACTCACTAACCCATCTGCTCAGTCCTAAGCCTTGGTTCAGGACATACTCTATGGCGGGGACACTGATGTGAACAAGATTGTATAACTCCTTCTCTCCTGGGACATACAGTCTTCAGGAAAAGTACCCATTAAACATATAACCACAAATGATCTAATTAATGGGTTATATCAAAGTCAACAAGCATGATAAGAAAGGGGGCCATGTCTAGTATGTAGATCAGCAAACACTGATTTACTCAAGTCAAAACTGGAAGACTTCCAGTGGTGAGTGGTGAAAGATGAACATGACTTACTCCAAGAAATAAAATGAAGCCTGTCCCATGGCCCCCACAAAACTTTTCAAGAGTTAGAATGTTGCCAATCTGCCTCTCCTTCCTCTGGCCCTGGGAAGCTCAGCACCAGGCTAGATGGCATCTGGGAGGGAGAAAAATCAGAGATGCTCATGGTCCATTTGAAACAGTGGCCAGCCCTCCATGTATACTTTATCACAACATCCCTGCCCAGTTGAGCTTCCTTGCCAAAGTATGCAGTGCCCTTGGGTGCAGCACTCAAGGTCCTTGCTGAGGCTCTGCACACTGGTCCATCCCTTCCTGGAACCAGGGGTCCAAGAACACTGACCCAGAAGCAAAAGCCCAGAGAGTCAAGTCTTCAAGCAACTTCTGTTTGATCCCAGAGACAAAAGCATCCCCCAGGCAAGGGGGCGTTTGATCCCAGAGACAAAAGCATCCCCCAGGCAAGGGGGCTCTCAAGTCTGACTACTTTCCTGGAATGACAGAACAAACACATCTTTTTTGCGTGAATATGTCACAATGAATTCCACTATTATGTATAGTTATAATATATTTAAAAATCAGATGTTTGAATTATGTATAATTATAATATATTTAAAAATCAAATGTTTGACAGTCCCTCACCCCAACCCAGTTTCTGATTCAGCGAGTCGGAGCGGGGCTGAGAACTTGCATTCCAGACAAATTTCCAGGTGATGCTGATCTTGTAGATCTGGGAATCCAAGCTTAGCAAACAGCTGGCTTAAATGCTTAAATATGTGACTGACACGAACACAGACATTTAAAAATCCAGTTAGGCAAGGCTGAGCTAGTCAACATATTAGATTTAAAGACCCCAAAATATCTGGAAGGAAAATTGGAACTATTTGGTCTCCTAAAAATTCCAAATACCTTTAGAAACCCTTTAAGAGACTAGACTTTCCTTCTCAATTACTTCCTTTCCTCTGATATAAATTACAATGGCAGTTTGGTGCATGGGTGCATATCTACTTCCCAGCTACTCAGGAGGCTGAGGCAGGAAGATCCCAAGTTCAAATCCAGTCTAGGCACCTTAGACCCTCTCTCAAAATAAAAAAATAAAAAAGGCTGGAGATGTAGCTCAGTGGTAGAGCACACTGGGTTCAATCCCCAGTACTAGGCAGGAAGGAAGGAAGAAAGGGGGGAGGGGAGAGGGAGAGAGAAAGGAAGGAAGAAAGAGAAAGACACAAAGGGTGGGGAAGAAAGGGAACAGAAGGGAAGGGAAGAAATAAAAAACAAAAATATCACAATATATAATAAATGTAGTGAGGATCAATGATGACTGTGTGAAAATAACTATGAACTCTCATCTGTGGATAGTAGAACAGCCTCCTGTTCCCAGCTAAGGAATTATATTAAAATATTTTTTTTTGGCAGTGCTAGGGATTGCACCCAGAGCCTTAGGTACCACCATTGAGCCCCAGACCTCACCCTGGCGTTGTTCTTGTTGCACAAACAGAATTCCCAGCTTCACTTTGAGTTGAGTTTTGTGCATGGTGAGAGATAGGGGTTTAATTTCATTTTGTTGCATATGGATTTCCAATTTTCCCAGCACCATTTGTTGAAGAGGCTATCTTTTTTCCAATGTATGTTTTTGGCACCTTTGTCAAATATAAGATAACTGTAATATGTGGGTTAGTCTCTGTGTCCTCTATTCTGTACCAATGGTCTACCAGTCTGTTTCGATGCCAATGCCATGCTGTTTTTGTTACTATTGCTCTAAGTCTGGTATAGTGATGCCACCTACTTCACTCTTATTGCTAAGAATTGCTTTAGCTATTCTGGGTCTCTTATTTTTCCAGATGAATTTCATGACTGCTTTTTCTATTTCTATGAGGAATGCCATTGGGATTTTGATCGGAATTGCATTAAACTTGTATAGTGCTTTTGGTAATGCAGTCATTTTGATAATATTAATTTTGCCTATTCAAGAGGAAGGTAGATATTTCCATCTTCTAAGGTCTTCTAAGGTCACTATGTAGATCTTTTACCTCTTTTGTTGTTTCCCAAGGTTTTTTTTTTTTTAGGCTATTTATTTAAAATGGAATAGTTTTCCTCATTTCCCTTTCTGAGGATTTGTCACTGATAGATAGAAATGCCTTTGATTTATGGGTGTCTCACTTCAGTCAGAATGGCAGCTATTATGCATACAAACAATAATAAGTGTTAGTGAGGATGTGGGGGAAAAGGTACACTCATACACTGCTGGTGAGACTGCAAATTAGTGCAGCCAATATGGAAAGCAGTATGGAGATTTCTTGGAAAAATTGGGAATGGAACACCATTTGACCCAGTTATCCCTCTCCTCAATCTATACCCCAAAGACTTAAAAACAGCATAGTACAGGGACACAGCCACATCAATGTTTATAGCATCACAATTCACAATAGCTAGACTGTGGAACCAACCTAGATGCCCTTCAATAGATGAATGGATTAAAAAAATGTGGCACATACACACAATGGAATATAATTCAGCAATAAAAGAGAATAAAATCATGGCATTTTCAGGTAAATGGATGGAGTTGGAGAAGATAATGCTTAGTGAAGTTAGCCAATCCCAAAAAATCAAATGCGGAATGTTTTCTTTGATATAAGGAGACTGATTCATAGTGGGATAGGGAGAGGGAACATGGGAGGAATAGACAAACTCTAGATAGGGCAGAGGGGTGGGAGGGGAAGAGGGGGCATGGGGTTATTAATGCTGGTGGAATGTGATGATCATTATTATCCAAAGTACAGGTATGAAAAACAAATTGGTGTGAATATACTGTGTATACAACCAGAGATTTGAAAAATTGTGCTCTATATGTGTAATAAGAATTGTAATGCATTTTGCTGTCATATATAAATTTTTTAAAAATATGAAAAAAAAAAAGAATTCCCAGCTTCAGAAATATCTCAGGAAATTTCTTTTTAAAATCCCTACAATTAGTTAGCATATCTCCTGGACTTTCCCTGCCTCTACTATCAATTAACATTTAATATTACCTTAATATAGTTAATATTAAACAGAAGCAAAAACAAGGGAAAAGGGTTAATTCATAACCATAGAATATATCGTGTGTGTCAAAACACATATTCAACACACTTTTATGACTATTTTTCTCTTTATTTCTCTGCTGGCAGATTAAAAAAAAAAATCAAAAAAGCTTGACCTTCATTAGAGTTAATGTGTGCATGAGTAATGAAGGCTGGATTGTAAATGTGTCAAAGGAACTAGTAAGAGATCCCCAGCTCACTACTGAATTGTTGTTGTTTCTTTGTGTGTGTGTGTGTGTGTGTGTATATATATGGCATTTTGATATTAGCATTTGTGAATTAGTTTATTCTCTTTAAAGACACATAATAGGTATTGATAATCTTTACTCAGTCTCAAACATTATTTCAGGAAAACGAAAGCTTATCCCCTATGGAAGATACTGTGTATTAAATAGCTACATATACATTATGGTGTACACATTAGGCACAGGTACACATATACTTGCGCCTATATGCACACACAGTATAAAAACATGTTGACTTCTGAGAATTTGACTTTAAAAAAAATCACGACTTTCTACCTACAACAGTGGCAGTTTCATAGGGTTCATTTATTATTCTGTGGGGAAAAAAAAACATAGCTGACTTTTTCCATAAATAAATTATTTTTTAAAGATTTTTTAAAAAGATCTCTAATTTATTTATTTTACTTATTTTTATGAGGTGCTGAGGATTGAACACAGTGACACATGTGCCAGGCAAGTGCTCTGCAGCTGAGCTATAACTCCAGTCCCCACAAATAAATTATTTAAAACTACTAAGTACAATTAAAAAATGATGTTCATTCTTCTGACATTTCTCCTATAATGTGACTCTTTCTAACTTTAATGATTTGTGTGTGTTTGTTTTTGTGGTGTTGGAGGACCTCATGTATGTTGGCAAGCTCTCTACCACTGAGTTACACCCCCAGACAGAGTTGCTGAATTGTTCAGACTGGCCTCAAACTTGTGATCCTCCTGCCTCAGCCTCCTGAGTACCTGAAATAGTATTCACACTTAAAATACAAAGAAATGTTTGCTGTTGCTCTATCAAGGCTCAATTAAGATGTTTTAAAACAAGCCCTTTCTCTTTCCCTCTCCTAGGGCTGTGTCTGTAAAGACAAAGGCCAGTGCTTCTGCGACCGGGCCAAAGGGGAGAAGGTAAAAAATTTACTATGGCATCTTCTTGTTATAAAGTCATAAAATAATTCATGCTCTTTCAGTGGCAGAGAGATCCTCAGTATGTTGTTCCATTTCCAAAATCCAATTTTAAAGTAATTATATATAAACATTAACCTTAGAAAAGAAAAAGGAAAGAAAAGCCTTCTGGGAAGACTCGAATAACCCGTGTAAATACTGGTCGTTAGATTGTAACTCTTTGGGTCTGTAAAAACCAAGTAGCAAGTCAGTGGGGAAAGAAAGTTTACAAGAAGCCTCTATAGCATGCACTGTTTACAATGTTGCTAAACACAAGAGAAGACATGAAAACAACTTGATTCACTCACTTTCACATAAAATAAACATTGAAGCCGCAGATTTTGTCCCGCAGCACTGGTACAAGATCTCCCCCTGGTGGAAGAATTATGCAGCTGCCCTCTAGTGGAGGCCAAAATTCAGCTGAGGGAAGGAGCTCCATTGCAGAATTCAAGAAAAAAAGAATACCGTGAAATCTCATTAGTTCGCTCCATTAACTTGCAATTTGTGATAATTAAGACAGAAGAAGAACTAAAGTTTTTTCTTTGTTTGCAAAATGCTTTCCTCTGGGACACTAATTATTTAACAATATTGAAGGGTGACTATGGAAAATAATTTTAAGAAAATATGTTAAAGCTCTTTAGATAAAACAATTCACATAAGTCATATGCTAACTAAAATAATTATTATCATGTATATTTTAAATCATTTTATAATTCACATGTAGTTTTATTTTGCTTCTTTCCCAAAGCTATGAATGTAGTATGTTCACTTTCATGGTGGAACATACCCTCTCTGTGATTCATCATGCATTCAATCATTTACTGAGTCCCAACTATTTAAAGGATGCTATTCTAAAATATAGGAAAGTGAGTAGTGAGAGGAGTCCAGAACATTTTCTTTTTATTGGCTATGTGAATGCAAATACACTAATGTGAACTAAGCTTGATATTTTTTTCTCTCTCTCTCTCCCTTTCCTCTTCTCTCCCTATCTCTTTGCATTTGTGTGACAAAACTAACCAAGTCAATCAGTGTGGCCTTTCCTGTTACAGTAATTCCAGGGTCCATTTCTTTGAGAAGATTTTTGTGGATAAAACCATCTTAGCCACTAGGCCTAAAATCCTTTGAATCACTTTTACTAGAAACTTCTCCCAAATATCTTCTGCCTTCTTCTAAAACAAAAATTATTTAGCTCATGTTTGGGGATATGCGGCCCTCGATATCTCACCTGCATCTCCTACTCAATAAAATGCTGAGGCTGCCCTTGAATTTGCAATTCTCCTGTCTCAAACTCCTGAGCTGTTGGTATTACAGGCATGTGTCACCACACCCAACAGTATTCTCCTTTTTAAGCTGTGTAATGATTTTGTGCACTCTCAAAACATTCCTGTGCCTTACCCTCAGCCACTCCATCCCCATCAAACAAAATCCACTAACTTTGATTTTTCTAACTACTTTTCCCTCAGTTGTTGATCCTGTTTCTCTGAATCTTCTCCCTGTACAGCTCCACTATTTGGGAAAAGTAGTTTCTATAAAACCAAGTGCCAGCACCCTCAAGCTTGCAGACAAATGCCAACTGCTAGTAGCTTTCCAGTGACCTATACTCTCACTGCTGGATGCTAATTATTACTTTCTTAAACAAAAACCTGCAAAATTTGTCAAGAAATCACAAAGAAGAGAACATGACGGTCATAGGAATGTTTGTTGAATAGTTGCTGTTCTGCGTGTCTCTTGTCTTGTTTTGGTTTTAACAGGGGGAGAAAGGCTTTCCTGGACCCCCTGGTTCTCCTGGCCAGAAAGGATTCCCAGGTCCTGAAGGTTTGCCTGGACCACAGGGACCCAAGGTATGTCATCCTGTAGGCTTGGAAAATTCCCTGTCCACATAACCCTCCTTCGTGCATTCCCCATAGTCTTCCAAGACAGCGAGGATTCCACGGTTTAGACAACAGGTTGATGCTGGTCTCCCATTAGCTGATCCCTTAGAAACTCATCCTATTCAAGACTAGTACAGTGGCATCATGTCTTCAGCTCCCCACTCAACTTCTACTGCACCCCCCCACCTTGCATCTGCTGCACCTGCATCTGCCCAACCTTGAGAGATTGTGCTCTTTTCACCTTCCATTCAGGATCTATCCATTCACCCATCTGCATCCTGATCCCTGGGATTCCCACTGGGACCTCATTCCAGGACTCTGCAGCTTGACTTTCCTCTTTATATTCGCTTTTCTCTTTCAATCCTTAAACATGTAAATATTTTACCAAACTGATACAAACCTTCCTCTAGATCTTTTAGGTCCTATGGCCAAAGGATTGTCATCTTCTCCCTGACCTTTCTGTCAAGCTTCTTGAAGGAACAATTAAACAGCAGTCCCCCTGACGCTAACTCCTTAGCCACTCTAATTTGCCTTTTGACCTTCCCCTGAACATATCCCTGCACAAATCACCAATGACCTTCAAACAGCCAGTGCCAATGGGCACCTCTGGGTCTTCATCTGACTGGAACCCCTTTGCTTTGTTTTCAGTGGCATAGATCCCTCTCCTCGTTAGTCTGTCTTTGCTTTTGGAATCCCCCTTTCCCAGGTTCTCCACCTACCTGACCCCCAATCCATTGCTTCCTGGGTTCCTTTTTTCTTTTTAAAACTGGTCCCTTAAGCATCAAGCTCCTAAAAAGAACCGGTTGTGCTTCACATTCATCACATATTTTATCCTAAAGTCTGTGATAAATAAATACCCTGGAGGATTTACTAAATGCATGCATAACCACTAGATCTGTGGACTGTTCTTTCCTGCTGGGAACACTAGCTGGGGACTCTCACACATTCATTCCACCGGCGACTGACTGCGAACTAACTGAAAAGGTGTAAAAGATTATGATAATTAATCTATGCAGAGTCCTTTAAAAATTTGATACTGTAGTAGAATATGTACTAGGATAATGTATAGAACATTTAAATGACAGTCAAATGCAACATACTGCGTACTGACTCGGTGCCATTTGTTCCCAACTGTGCCTCATTTACTCTTCACATTGACCCCATATGTCATGGCTATGGTGACTCAACAGCTCTTATTAGTGTCTCTGCTTTAGACACAGTACTGAAGTAATTTGTCCTGGGTCACACAAAATCAGGATTTAAACCTGCTTTTATATCACTTTTCTCATATCAAAATAATCTTCCAGCTATCTGAACTCCAGCTGGTGTCCTACAGTTCAGTGATAACACCACACACCAGGAGTTAGAGCAGAATGCATGGGTTAAGGGCTCAATTCCAGACTGCCCCCCCTTCAGATACCAGTCACAAGTGATGGGTCCCTAGGTTGCCCCTACTGCTTTCCACCTTTAATACAGATTGGGGGTTCCCATGGCCTGCTCCCCAATTTGCTAATTAGCTATGACAGCTAGTAGAACTCAAGAACATATTCATTCACTGGCTTATTGTAAAGGATATGATAAATGCTATATATGAACAGCCAGAGGAAGGGCTCCATAGGCCAATGTCCAGAGGGTCCCAACAGCAGGAGCTTCTGTTCTCCTGATATAGGGATGTTCACCAACCCAGAAGCTTTCTAAGTGTCCACACTATAGGGATTTCTCAGGCAGGGCTCCTCTCTAGACATGACCCGTCATAAACTCCATCTCCAGCCCCTCTCCCTCCTGGGAAGATTGGGTAGGGCTGAAAGTTCCACCCTTCTAATCACAGCTGGTCTTTCTGGTGACCAGGCCCCATTCAGGAGCCCACTAAGAGTTACCCCATTAGAACAAAAGCCATCCTGTCACCCAGGAAATTCCAAGGGATTTAGGAGCTCTATGCCAGAAACTGGAGTCAAAGACCAAGAGCTAGGACAAAAGATGATCCCAGCACCCCATCACTCAGGAAACAAGGATAGTTTTTAGAGGTTGTGCCAGGAACCGAGAGCAGGGACCAAACACATATTTCTATGTCACATATGGTACCCAGATCAAACTCTTGAAACCAAAGAGACCAAACTCAAACTTCCAGTTTACAGTAAAAATGCAGAAGGTGGCTGTTCTCTAGGAATTCTACCATTTTCATGTCTATCATGTTCATGTATGTGTTCTCTTTCTCTGTCTCTCCTTTGGATCCTAATTTTGAAAAATTCAGAGTCTGAATTTTCCAGAGTCTAAATATTTATTGACTTCCTCCTGCTTGGATTTTCCTCCATCTCGACGGTAGAGTGAATTCACCTTTTCAGCCTTGGACTTAGGTCAGCCTGGGGCTCCCTCCTTTTTACCCAGTTCTCTATACCCTGCTCTGCTTGTGGTTCTTCAGCCTTTCCTTGGAGATTCTCCAGCCAATTAAAATAATGGTTGTTAACACATGATGTACATGGCTTACGTGATGTACAAGAATTCCATAAAATTAATCTAGAAATGGGTCAGTCATATTTTAAAGCATAGCTTATGATAACCTCAGAAGAAAATCTAACCAAAGGTAGACAATTAGAGAATATTAACACCAGAACAAAAAGGTTTTTCAGATTTAGAAACTTCCTTTCTTAATTTTAAATACTTTCTGCATGAGAAAATTTATGACAGGGAAATAAAACCTGCAAGTCACTCTTCTGTCTTTTGCATAAAACAAATAACATTCTGTGAGAAAGGGAACCTCCTTGAACATGCCCATGAACCCAGGAATTCCACTCAGAAAGAAAGGCTGACTTTAGCCTTGACAGTCCAATCTTAGAAGGCTCTGTAACACCATTTTCTCAAATAATCAAAAATACCAAAATGTACCGGAACTCTCTGGAATGATGCAAACAGCTGTTGGACAATGGGATCCTCACAGCAAGTGGCTTAGTTAAAAGTGTTTCCATTTAAGGTTATTCTACAAGAAAGAAGGTCTCAAAACAGTATTCATTATGTGCCCAAAGCAAGTTTATCTCACGTTCAGGCAGTCCTTGCTTTGCTATTTATTTACTTGGGCATGTGAGGCACGTTTTGTTAACAAAGTGTTTCTCCTGCATGGAAATATTAGCTGCTATTCTCGTCTGCCATTGTGATTGTGACATTCATCCTTATCAGACCTCTGCAGCTGTCTGTCTGATATGGGGCTTTCACAGCAGCACTTTAATGTGTAGAAGAATCCCCCACAGAATCCTGTAGAAATACATACTCAATAGGTCTGGGGGTGGGAGAGATGGTAAGGGTGGGTGATGGGCAGTTGGGGAGGTTCTGAGATTCTGCATTTCTTTCTTTCTTTCCTCTCCTCCTCCTCCTCCTCCTCCTCCTCCTCCTCCTCCTCCTCCTCCTCCTCCTCTTCTTCTTCTTCTTCTTCTTCTTCTTCTTCTTCTTCTTCTTCTTCTTCTTCTTCATTCCAATTAGTTATACATGATGGCAGAATGCATTTTGACTCATTGTACACAAATGGAGCCCAACTTTTCATTTCTCTGCAGAGTCAGACCATTCATGCAATCATACATGTACACAGGGTAATACTGTACATCTCATTCCACCATGTTTCCCACTCCCATACCTCTTCCCCTCCCCTCACTTCCCTCTGCCAAAGTTCCTCCATTCTTCCCTCCCCCACCCCTGTTATGGATCAGCATCCACATATCAGAGAAAACATTTGGCCTTTGGGATTGACTTATTCACTTAGCACGATATTCTCCAACTCCATCCATTTACCTGAAAATGCCATAATTTCATTCTTCTTTAAGGTTGAGTAGTATTCCATTGTGTATATATACCACAGTTTCTTTATCCGTTCATCTACTGAAGGTCAAGATACTGCATTTCTAATAAACTCCAAGGTAATGGGAATGTCACTGGCCCCAAACCCTTCTTTGAGTAGCAAAGATTTCAGTGAAATTTTATTTTCCATCTCCAATAAACATTTTAGCTCCAATCAAACAAGCAAGCAATTGAACCTTATTAACAATGAAATAATCACAAGAGCAAAACAGCTTGGTATGGGGACCACAAATGTATGGTTTTCTTAGTGCCAATCATTTTCATACAATTTACTTTTTCTTTTCTCACTTGAATCTAGGGTTGTCCAGGACGTCCAGGACTCACTGGTCCCAAAGGTGTAAGGGTTAGTACTCTAACAAGTCCATCCTGATTGTTTGATAGATAATTCTTTTAAAAAGATGAACTCTGCACCATAAAAGTTATACACATGTCAGAAGGGAGTAAATCCATTGTGTATGGTTCCATAGAGGAAGCTCAGGAACAGGTAAAATCATTCTGTACTGGTTTAAGTGAAAGTAGTGGTCCCCACATCAGGGGCAGGAGTTTACAGATGGGGAAGGGCATAAGGGAACCTTTAGATGGAAATGCTGTTTCTGTTGGGATTGTGATTATTCAAAAGTACACAGTAAGGAAACATCCATCAAGCTATCCACACAAGACAGGAACATTTTATACACTGAATGCAAAATATACTTTAAAGTGTATTCCCCAAAGCCCGAAACAATCTTAACCTCTTTTTAAAAATTCTATAAATGTCAAATTTACAAATATTTGTTAAATCTTTCTTGTTTTTCTATTCATTTTATCTATTCCCAATGATAGTTGCAGGAAGAGATTATTGCAACGGTAAATAATACGTTAATAGGATGAACATGTTTAAGCTGTTTTTCTTGTCAACCCCTCCTTTTTTCTATGTCTTTAGGGAATAACTGGATTACCAGGATTTTCAGGCCCTCCTGGACTTCCAGTAAGTAATAGGAAAAATATGTGATTGGAAAAATGAAAAATAAGTTTATCTTTAATGAAGATGTGAAGACAGTAGCACAAGGAAACAAGTTGTGATACATTTGTCACATGAAGATATGGCACTTTGGAATTTAATAATATACTAGAGGATAGATTTTTTTTCATATGACATGTGTGTGAGTCAGACCATATTTCCTAAAATATAAGCAGAATTGAATAGAGTAGATAGAACAGGATGATTCTGCTTAATAGCATAGAATAGTAAAATTTTGTTTAACCTCTATGTCTACTTCTCTATCCTTTTTCCTCCCTTTCTACCAGCTTGAAGTAGCACATTAAGGGACTTTATTTTATGTAGAAAGAGCTTTTTCTGAAATATCCACGTCACACTTGATACTCTCAATTCTTTTTGTCTGGATGGTTTTGTTTTAGCAATGTTGTTTAAATTATATCTAAAAACCAAGATTTAAATTACTACTTAATTATTTAAACATCCATTTGCATTTAAATTATTTCATATCTTCCCTTGGGTCCTTTACTGGTTTCCCTGGTCTGGGCCTGGTCTCTGAGACCTGCTCTCCTTGCAGGGCCTCCCGGGCCATCCTGGGCCTTTTGGACCTACTGGTTTACCAGGATGCAATGGCTCTAAGGTACGTACTACTCGAATGCATGAAGATTAATAGATGCTCTACTGAGTGAATAAGTCAAGGTGACTAGCAAGGAGAGGGAAATAGGCTTCCTGAAACATTCTTCAGTTAGGACCAACAGTGTGGTTTGAACCAGGAGCCTTCCTCTTGCTTTCTCCTGTGCCTTGCTCATCACTTGTGTTGGAAGGAGCTTCTCCTATAAAACAGTAAGACTCAACTGCTGTGTATATTAATGAGGTCATATATGTAAATCAGAAACTAAAGCCTTGACCGCAGCTAATTTTTGAGAAGGAAGGCCTGGGCTTCTCAGGGTTCGTTCACCTCCTTTTGTTCCCTAACTGAGCTCTCTTCTTCCCCAGAATGGTGGCCATGAATGAACTAATTATTAAAGTTTCAAGGAAGCAGCAATTAAAAAGTTCTTGGCACAACTGGACTGCCATTTAGGTACAATTTGACAAACACTAGCTTCTAATCCTGTTTTCAGTTAAGACAATAGTTTTCTGGCCTTCAGCCTCATGACCCAGTAGCCATCAGGAATTCCAGTTGCTTTGCCTAGATTTGTGGCTGCAAGGCTAAAAGAGAGAAATAGGGGTATTTATCTGAACAGGCTATTCAAGAACAACTAAGAACAATAACATACTTTTGATATCTTCCAGGGGGAACGAGGATTTCCAGGATTTCCAGGGACACCAGGCTACCCAGGGGTCCCGGTAAGTTTGCGTTTCCAGATGCTCATCACAGACATAAAGTATGAAGAAAAGCAGTCTATTCCCCAGGGCCATGTGCTCAAATGTGTGAGGATCCAGGGAGCCTGAGGCAGCCAATAATCAATGGCCAGCTAGCAGGGAATGAATGAAGAATGCATTATGAGTCCAGGTTTGGACTTTCAGTCCAGGTTGAGACATGTAAGAAGGGATGCAAAATGGGCCAATTTGCTCAGAGGGGAGGCCTGGGCCTCTACTTGAGGAGTGAGAATGAGGAGAACAGGGACTTAGAACCAAGATGACTCCAGCAAATAGCGTCTAGGTTAAAAGTAATAAGCCTGTAAGAGGAGGCTCTAGTAATAGAGGCAAAGCCTCAGGAGGGGTATAGTGAGGAAGCCCTGGGAAGACATTCAGTAGGAGGGAGGGGCAAATGGCTGCCTAATATGCTAAGAAATCCAATAAGAAGGGCACTAACATTTTGCAATGGTTTCAGCAATATCAATGCTATAGGGCTGACCTTAGTTAGCAAGGAGGCTTCCATGGCTGAGGGAGCCGGAAGGCAGATCTGGAGATGAGGAATGAGTGGGAGATGAACAAAATGGGGGGTTTGCAGAGGAGATGAAGGAGATACCGGGCAATATTGGGAAAGAGGCAAAAGATAAGGGTTGTTGATTTGTTTAAATGAAGAGACTTGAACATCTTGAAAAGCAGTAGGAAGTAAACGGTGGGAAAGGAGGCCAAACAGCAAAAGGACAAGAAGGAGTGTGTGGGTTTGGTTTGCCCTTTGTGCTTCATATGCTGCTTTTCCCCTAGGGTGCTGCTGGCCCCAAAGGACAAAAGGTAAGGCATTTGTGGACTATTGCTATTGAAAGTCTCTAATTGTACATATGAAAAGGACATATTAAATAATGAGATAGGAGCCATTACAAATTGGATTTCATAATCCAGTCCTTACTGATTATGAAACTGAAATAATCAGAACACGGTATTTGCTCCTATGGAGCAGCTCCTTCTGGTTCCTGTTATAAACGGGTCTTAAGGATACAGGTTTTATTGCATCCTTTAAGGAAATGGGGTCTAGGAGACGGATCTCTTGTCTGTATCCTGGAAAGCACTTTCACCATTGAAGCAAAAAGACCTCCAGTTATTGTGGAAGAGTTTTGAAAATACAACATTGATTAGGTTTGACGAAATTCCCCATTTTTCAAGGGTGCTCCTGCTAAAGGAGAAGACAGAAAACTCAATGGAAGAGGTGACCCCGGGCTGCCAGGACCTCCAGGATCCCAGGTACCCCGCTGCAGGGAAATCTCTTGTTCTCAGTGCCGCCCCCCACCAACCCTCCCCATTTCTCTTTTCCTCTATATGTTTTTCTCTTTTAGATATTAGTGTTTATTCTTATTTATATGCCTTCCTCATTTCATTCTAAAGTATTCACCTTATAAGAAACTACACGGTGCTGATATGTTGAGATGGTTTTTTATATGCACCTTTTAATTTCTTCTAGTCTCAGTCCCCCAGGTTTTCCTGAACTTGAGGAGTTTCCAGGAACTGTCATGTTCCGCTTAATTTGTTTTTTGAAATTAAGGCTGGGTTTGTATCACACGTTGAATATCACTTAAAACGGTAGAGATAAATAACTGCCCTCTTCAAAATTTGTATGATACTAAATAAAAGGGGGTCATTTAAATGCAACTTTCTCCCTTTGTAGTTTGCTTTACTGAGCTATCTGTAGGTAGCCTGAGAGTAATCCAGAGTGGGCACAGTGACTTGGCTCTGTTTGGGGCTGTGTGTGCTTTACCTTGTGATTCAAAACACCTCCTTTGTAAGACACTTAAATCCACAAAAGGGACCTTTTAACATAGTTTAGAATTAAAAGTGGAAACTCTGGGGTGGAGACTGGATAGTTGTCTGAGTCAGCACCTGAGTTGAGACTGTTGGACTCCTACTTGGTGCAGCAGGCTGGTTGCTGATGAGCTATGAAGTGGGACCAGAAGCTGAACAACTGCAGTTAGGATCTATGACAGCTGCAGAGAGAAGACAGAGAATACAGGGGCTCTTGCTTTTTGTTTAAGAAACAAGCGTCCAGCTGCTAAAGACAGGAAATCCCTTAGGAGGGAACAGAAGTAGTCTGGGACATGAGTGCATCCTTTAAATGTGTACTGAGGGACATCGCTGTTCTAGTCCTTGTGATAGCACTAAAGACAGTACATTCATTTATACAAGAAATATTTATTAGATGCCAATTATGCAGCAGGAACTATTTTCCAACTCTGGGGATACAGCAGGGCACAAATCAGTCAAAAAATAGTTTCAAAAAAATCCTCACTCTCCTGGAGATTACATTCTAGTGGGGAAACAGAAAAAAAAAATTTAGATTAAGGGCTCTATGGAGTGTGAGGCAGTAATGACCTCTAAGGAGAGGAATAATGCAGGGAATGCGGGTAGGAAGTGCATGGGCCAGAAAATGGGTTTGGATTTGGAGAGGCAGAGAGGCTTTATAGGAAGCCAACTTCATGAAGAGAAGGGAGAGGAGAGAGTCACACAGACACCTGGGGAAGAGGATTCCAGGCAGAGGGGGCACAGAGGAAGGCCCTGAGGGAGGAACGTGGTTGGCCAAAAGTGGGGGGAGCAGGGAGAAGGAGAGAGGTGAAGGGAAAAGCAAACTTTTAAAAACTTTTAAAACCAAGCAACCGTTCTGCTCATTTTCCTGAAAACAGTAGCATCAGTATGGTCCTGGCAGCTGGCCACACATGACGACATGCTTTTGGGCATTTATTGTCATTAATAAATGCCTTTGAAGGGAGGCATTATACCCTTCTGATCTTCTTAAAATAGTTTGATACGTTTAACTACTGGACTTTGTGCTTAGGTGAGAAGTGCATTTGAACTCTCCCTGTCTCTTATTTTCAAGGGTTTGCCAGGCCCCCCAGGTTTTCCAGGACCTATGGGCCCACCTGGCCCTCCAGGATTCCTTGTGAGTACAGCCACCATTGCTATAGACTCAGCAAAACGTTTTAGGGAGTTTTCTGACTTGAGTGTGTTTCCTGTTATAATTTTAATTTGTGGAATTTTCTAGGGCTTTCCAGGAGCTACAGGACCTGTAGGGCCTAAGGTAAGTCACCGTTTGGGTGTTGTATCAGTCAGAACACCCTAACTGACCCAAAAGCCAAAGCTGCCTATTCAAGAGGGTCTCTGTTAGCCCCTCTCTGGAACTCAGATTCCCAGCAGGGAAGGGGATGAGGCTAGGTTCTTACCTCTCTTCCCTGTACTTCAGCAATTTGATCCCTGATGTGGTTTTGATCTAAGAAGCTTCCTATGGGGGAAAAAGGCAAGAATTCCTAATCCACAGGCTTTCCCTTTCTGATAATCCTGCTGGTTGCCCCACACTTCATCCTCTGTGTTTGGCAGTGAACTTCTTTGCAACCCTCCCTGAGCTTATGCTAATAAGTAGAAGATGACTATTTATAATGGTCATTTGGCTGGTTATTTTATGTGTTTCTATTAAAAAGACAATTATTTGTTTAAGGATTGTTTTATTTTATTATATTTAAAGATTATTTATTGCCCAGCCACAAACTGGGTAATTTATTTAACAAAGAAATTTATTTCTTACATTTATTTTTTCCAGTTCTGGAAACTTGAAAGTCCAGCTTGAGGGGCTGCATCTAGTACAGGCCTTCCTGCTGGTGGAGACCCCCTGCAGAGTCCCAAAGCAGTACAGGGACTAACCAAAGAGGACTTGCTTTTATAATAAAGCCATTCACAGGATAACTCACTACTCCATTAATCCACAATAGTCCTGATCCACCACTTAATGCCTTGCAGTAGGGATTAAATTTCAACATAAATTGTTCTGAGGATTTAGATCCAGCAGCCATCCGTAGTGGTGATATTAGGCTGGTCTCTGTCATTATATTACTAGTGAAGTCAGGTAGTTTGAATTCCATCTTTAGCTTCTCTATTTTCAATTTCAGAATCCTGAAATCCGGCTATCCATACCTCTTATTTTTAGAATAAGAAAACTGGGGCATCAGGAAGTTCAGCAGCCAGCTAAGGAAGTTAACTAACCAGGAAGTTAGGTGGCCAACCAGTGGGATCAAAAACACCTAGTGTCTGAGCCAGAAAAAAGTCATCTGTGCTGGGTTCTTTCCCCTCCTCACACCATCGGACACCACCTATTGTCATCATCCTACATGCTGAGTAAATCTCTTAAGCTTTCTGCTCTTCAAGGTTTCCACCTTTATAGGAAGAAGTAGCTAAAATAACTTTCATAATTCTAAAATGAAGATTAAAATATAAATGTTCAGTTGCAAATATTGGAACTTTAATGAGATTAGGCTATTCCTATTTATTTACGGTACTGGTGACTGAACCCAGAGGCACTTAATCCCTGAGCCACATCCCCATCCCCTTTTTATATTTTACAGAGACAGGGTCTTGCTAAATTGCTTAGGGATTGCTAAATTGCTGAGTCTGGCCTTGAACTTGCAATCTTCCTGCCTCAGCTTCCTGAACTGCTGGGTTTACAGGAGTGTACCATGGTACCCAACCTTATTTATTTTTTAAATGTAATTTTATTTTGTGTTTTCTTACAGGGTCACATGGGTGATAACGTGATAGGACAAAAAGGAGAAAAGGTACTTTAAATAAATGACTTCTTAATGGGTAAGATCCTTTAAGGTCCTTGGTATATTAGCCTTTACAGTTTATTCACTGGCCAAGTTGAAATTCATGTGATTTCACTGCTCTGTCTTCTTGCATAAGAGCTAAAACTAATCTTTTAAATACAGTCAAGTTGAAAGGTTGATGATGTTGTTTGGTTTTCATTCTGGGGTGTTTTTGCCTTTAGGGTGTGAAAGGATTAACAGGCCCCCCTGGCCCACCAGGAACAGTTATTGTGACACTAACTGGCCCAGACAACAGAACGGTAATGTTGCAATTGTATGGTTGGGGTTTTCTGAGACCCCTTACCTCCCTTAGGAGCTCTGTGTCTAACCCAGCTCAGCCCAGCCCCTCAGCAGTCTGCACCTGTAGGTTTTCTTCATCTCCCAGCCTTCACTAATCAACCCAGAAATGTTAGATGGGGAAGACCTGAGGCAAGGGCCCCCCAGGCTCTTGGAGTCTGAGCTGAAATTGGATCTTTTCACCCTTGCTTCTCCATCCCCTCTCACTGTCTGTCACACAGTGTGTCGATCTCATCCAACTGGATGGCAATGACCTAAAGACGGAGGTGAGGGGTACCATAATCAAATGGGATATTTTTAACTCCGCCATTGTAACCCCGAGGGCATTGCAGCCCCCATTCCCCACCAGGAATACTATGTTCCTGTTATTTTGACAATAACATTGGCTTTTTGCTCCCCCAGTGGAGTGAGTGAAAGACCAGGATTTGAGCTGCACTGAATGCTTAGAAAAAGTGAATCTGCATTATAATATACCAGTCTACACACTATGTGACCCAGGATGTCTGGAAGTGAGGATGAGAAATGAGAGGGAAGCTAATAAATTTATGGATTAACTAAGAAATAAACATCCTTCTCTTTGAAACTTATTAATTGCTTGAGGTATCTGCTTCACTAAGCTATAATTCACATAACATGCATACATTTTTAAGTATGTAATTCACAGGTTTTAGTTATAACTAATCTTTAACAGCTTTATAGAATTCACATGACTTAAAAGTCACTCGTTTAGTTTATGATTCACTGGTTCCTCACTGAATGGAAAAATTAGAAAAATAAAATTTCCCTGAGGAAAAATAACTGAGCTTCTTAGAGCTAATCAGCAAAAAGAAAATTAATGAAGGCTAAAACTTCATTGTCTCATAAATGATAGGAAAAATTACATTTATAAAGCCAAGATTTGGAAAATTTAACCCTGGAAAAATAATTGGGGTTGAAAAATAAAAAGAGTGCCCTTCAGAGAAGAATTAGGCAAAATATATTATAGTCAGAAAACGTGATTATAGCTCAAACAAACCTGGTTACTGAATCAGATCATATTATATCACTGACAGAAAACCATTGATCCCAATGAAAATAATTTTAGTATATTAGAAATGAAAGTAAAATACATTAATAATGATCTGATTGTGCTTATAGGAAGCAGATTCAGAAATTCAGTTAGTTTATATATCTTGATCCAAAGACACTTTCTTTTTTAAAGAAAGTCTGCATATAATTTTAGAGGGATCTCATGCATAACGTTTGAAATGGGAGCGACAGAAAGAACTACTATGTTGTGTCAACATGAGGCCCACTAGTAGTTTGTAAACCAGTTTATTGAACAGAGAGTGAACTTTGTCCAAGTGTAATCAGTATGACCTTATTTGATTGGTTGGTTTTTAATGATCTTGAATTGTTTTTGTGGCAGGACCTCAAGGGGGAGAAGGGAGACAAGGGAGCCATGGGAGAATCTGGACCTCCTGGACCCCCGGTAGGTCACTCTAATCACACTGTTCCTCAGATACATAGACTTGAACCTTAGGATGTATTTTGATGCATGTTCTACCTTTAAATATTAATATTACCTGAAACACAGACTCTTGAACTCATAGATCATGAAAATACTAAAATTATTTTATGTCCATTCCTAGCTGAAATACTTGCACTGTTTTTACATGCATGACTTGTCTTTAGCATCTGCTTTTTAGCATCTGTTTTAAAAATACTTATAAATATTTCTCTTTTGGATGACTTATTTTTAAATATGGCTAAATAATCAGAAGTGACCAATTAATAAAAAATAAATAAATACAATCAATGTAAGTGAGAAATCAATAATATATAAAACTTGACATAACTCTAATTCATACAGGGACCACCTGGAGAATCATATGGATCTGCAAAAGGTGCTCCTGGAGAACCTGGCCCACAGGTAAACTAGGAAATTCAGTATCATATGTTGCTTATATTAGTCAGAACTCAGGAATCTTGAGGTTGCAACAATGAGATGCCCAACTCCAACTAGCAGATGTTAAAAAAAATTTTTTTTTAAAGGTTTGGAAAGTGGAATTTTTTGTTCAACTATCTGAGAAGTTCAAGACTAAAACTGGCTTCAAAGACTTTAGAGCCTGAAACAATAAGAGCAGGATTCTCTGCCTCACTTCTGTCTGCCTATCAGCTTTGTGCTGTCCTTTGGCAGATGATCTTCCATGTAAGGGGACAAAGAGTGAAGCCACTTCAGACTCATGGCACTTTAGGCCAGCAGACAACTTCCGAGTAAGGACACCTAAGGAGAGAATCTTTCTCCCTGTGTCTGTAGAGGATGTCCCAGAGAATTAATCTGATTGGCCTGCTCAGGTCATGTGTCTCACTTTGTAACAATAACTTGCCATTGAAAAAGTTCTATGATTGGCCAGGTCAGTGGGGCTGTAAGCTTCTGTGATTGGCAGCCCTATCAGAACCACCTTGAGGGAGGGAAGAGTAGCTCTCCAAAGGAAATGGGGTATAATGTGCCCAGAAGTGGGATGATAGGAAGACAATCAACAGGAACCTAATTCACCACCTGGCTCCATTTTGGAAAGATTTAAACACATATATTATACAAAGCCTATTAAAATTATACATTGAGAAAATGTGCCTTTTTTCCCTAAAAAAAAATTTAGTCAATATGATTTTTAATTTTGTCAGAAAGGGTCTGACAGAATTAAATTGGACATTAGAATAAATATCATTTGTGTATATATAAGTATATATGTATCCATAATAGTTAATCCAAAAGCCATGTCTATTTAGTTAGCACAATATACATTTTATATACCTTTAAATATAGGCATATCTGGGGTTTAGGAAATACCAATGTTTGATATTAATAAATTGACTGTGAACATCTTCCTCAGTCTAGGTTTCCTTTTTCACTTCTGCTAAGTGCTTTCTTGATTTTTCCTTCCAAATTTAAGATGGACAGCATCAACTCTAGTTTAAGCATAGCTGTACTTTCCTCTTTTCCTTCCTTTGACTAATTCTCCAGACTGACTGGCTTCAGCCTTGGTAAGGAAGAGTCAATGCTGTCTTTGTGGTTAACAGTTTTTCCTTATAAAGCCTAGGTAAGAAACCTCACTCAGGCTTTCTTGCATGAGATCAAGAGTAAATGATTGTATCATTTAAGCATTCCATGTTTATTCCAGTTACACATTTATTAACGAATATGTTTTTGTTTTAGGGAAAACCTGGAAAAGGTGGTACCCCTGGCTTCCCTGGCACTGAGGTAAAGACATGACTGTCCATTGATGTAGGGGAAAATGTCAGTCCTACCACCAGATGAAGAAGGACTTTGGGGAGTTACTATATAGTTATGGATGAACAAACAGCTTATTGCTTTAAAAACTACATTTGAGAATCATAATTTTATGTCTTTATGCAAATTATAAAAGTTACCTGAGCACATTATTTAACATTAACAAACCTAGAAGACATGACAGATGAAATTAGCCAGACACAGAAAGACAAATAGCACATGAGCACACTCATAAAGAAGTTTATCAGGTGTAGCTCACCTAGCAGGCAAGAGGCCCTAGGTTCATTCCCAGCACACACACAAAAAATGCTAACCTCATATAAGTAGAGCCTAGAATAATGGTTATCAGAGGCTAAAGAGGGGAGGTGAAGAGGCAAGAAGAGAGAGGTAGGTCAAGAGGTATAAAGTTAGATAAGAGAAATGAGTTTTGTCATCAATTGCACAATAGGGTGACTGTGGTTAACAATAATATAAATTTCAAAATAGCTAGAAGAGAGGATATTAAATACTTTACTATAAAGAAATGATAAAAGATTGAGGTGATGTATATGCTAATGAGCCTGATTTGATCATTACAAAAGTACAGTGTGATAGATACAATCAGTGTATTGTATAATTATGCACCCCATAGATTTGTGCAACTATTAGGTGTCAGTTTAAAAGATAAATTGAAAGAAAATTTAAATAAGTTCAGACTGCTCCTGCTTCACAAAGATGCAATTGATTTCTGTCTGATGACCCTTTTCCTTTTGCTCTTTTCTTTAGGGAGCCAAAGGCAACAGGGGCTTCCCTGGGTTAATGGGTGAAGATGGCATTAAGGTAATCCCCACCCTAACAGCCTATTTTCAGGCATTTTAAATTGATTTGGTATTGCCAACCTTCCTGGGAATAAGGAATCTCAGTCACAGATGTCATTGAAATACCTTAACATATTTGTTAAAAAGAAACTTTACATAAACCTTTGAAGGGTTTATTTTCCAAAGGGAAAATATTAAATTTGTTCTGTGTAGTAGAAGCTGGTCTGGCTTAAGACCCACTATCAAGATTTCAGCTCCCCATGAGAAAGTGGTTGGAAAAGGCTTATAATGGCAGGAGGTGTCTGGTCATTTGAGGTCAAGTGTAGGGTGGATCTCTGCCTCTCACCCTGGTTCATGGATTGCTGAAAGGTCACAATTAGTTGTGATTGCACACCACATCATTTGTTCATGACAACACATTGCAAACATTTTCAAATAAATTTCTATATGTAGATATATGTGCAAATTCTTATCCTTTATTAATATCATTCCTAGTAGAATTCTTAGTGAAACAAAAGGGGTTGGTCTCAGCTGAGCCACTAGAGATTGCATACAGGCCATGGCCTGGTGGTCATGTGCCTTTAATCTGAGCCAGAACATGCATGTGCAAAGCCTGTGAACATCCAGGAAAGGTAGTTGAGTAGAAGCCTGGAGAACCAACAGATCCAGTAACAACCACTTCTTTATGGCCTTATAGATGGAATTCCTGACTCAGATACAGGCTTTCCATGAACATAAAGACAATCTTCCTTTAACTTTAATTTGGATTGTAGATTGTACCTAAATAACACTAATTTTTAATTTTATTGTCCAGCTGTGCATTTTGCTTTTCAACTGTACCAAATACATAAATGCTTTTGATTTACATATTCATAATCTGTAACTGTCTTTCAATGTAGGGATGGAAAGGGGACATCGGCCCCCCAGGATTTCGCGGTCCAGTAAGTGTAACTAATGCTGATACCAGTGTCATCTTGGATGAAGTTCTTCAAAGTACTGAGGAAGTTTCGAGTCAATGTCTCTCATCATTCCCTATAATAGACATGATAGCATTTGCCATTTTATCAAATGAGGGCTAAAAATAGCTGTCAGCATTATTTGTCCATTTTCAATGCATAAGTATTTCTATTTGGTACCTGGGGTGCACTAGAATGCCTATTGGGCTCTGGAGAGGAAAAGCCTGGTGTAGTCAGGCTTGGCCCAAGGTGATCCTGCACCCTCTTAGCAAAGTAAGAGGGCTGCTGCCATGGACAGCTGGTACATAGGACAAGGACACCAGTTCCTTCTTACCCCCACCCAGGCCAGTTATGACAACTCTTGTGCTTTCAGGTAGCAGAAGCCCAGCCATCAGTTTGATGCAGGGTCAACAAAAGCTGGTCATCCCAATGGGGGGGGTCCAATGCAGCTTACAGCACTCCCCTCCCCAGCGCAGTCAAGGTTTTGATATCTGTCAGCTCCTGACTGTAGATAGGCCACATTCTATATTCTAGGACTTCGCAGCTTCAAGAGACACAGGCTCTGAGTTCTGGCATCTATTCATCTCCTGCCTCAAAAGCCTGTGTCTCACATTTAGGGTGCTGAGCAGAGCTGCTATCTCTGATTGGATATGTGGGGGTGGAACAGGTATTTTCTTGTTAGAAATGCCGTCAGATCCCCAAGCTAAGTAAGTTAGCTCAGTAACTGAAGATCGCTACAAAGGATGTTCACTTTTATACTAAAGCAAATGATTGAGATACAAGTAGTCCCTAAATACTTCTAAGGAGCTTCCAGGAAGATTAAATAGACTAATTCATGAAAGTACATAGCAATGTCCAACACCAAGCAAGTGCATTATGTGTTTTATAGAGATTATTATGTTATTATTATTATAATATTTTTGTGATTTTTGTACACATTTCTTACCCAGAGGTTCTTGTTACCTTATTGTTACACAAGTCAATAAAGTAATTGGCTCAGGCAGCATATGAGAAACAAAACAGAGAGTTCTACATATACATACATATATTCTCCTCTTTTTTCCTTCAAAATAAATGAAAAATAAATTAATTCTATGCACAATCTACTTGCCATTGAACTTCAGAGGGATTCTTAGCATTCCCAGCTTACTGGTGTTTTGTTATGCTCAACCCTAACATAATTCTGTTTGCAGCTTCTATTAACGTCAAAAGAAGGTCTGTTTAGGGAATAAATGGTTAAGGAGAACAGCTGGAGGCCCACTGGGCATATAAAAAGTAATGTCCCTTGGTTCTTGCTGGTCAATGCTGTCCTGGATTTTAAAGAATCAATATACATATATTTGTGGATGTGTGGGTTTCCCCATGCTTTGAAATAAAGTGAGTCCATCAGGACCAGCATTTTAAAGCAGTAAAATAGAAAAACAAAACCAAACAACCAAAAAACAACAACTCAGAGTTGATCCTTTGTCATAGTGGTAAGTCACTATTTTGTAAAATTTAAATATCTATTCCTATACATGTGAATATGTATATGTATGTATATACATGGATCACATAATAAAATATATTTCTAATTGAAAGCCCATGAAAAATTATGAAACCAAAAGAAGTCAAATTTCTCTTTAAAGTTGTCCACCTACCTGTGTATGACCACCAAACTCTGGCTAACATATAAACATGGGAATTCACAAAATTAAGGAAAGTACATTTTAGCCCAAATGAAGAAGTTGAAGCAATTTTGCATTTGGTGAGCAATTCATAAATAGCTATCCTTTCTTTTTATTCATTTCCTTTTCCTTTAAGACAGAATATTATGATGCATACCAGGAAAAGGGAGATGAAGGAATCCCAGGCCCTCCAGGACCCAAAGGAGCACATGGCCCACAGGGTGAGGATACATTTCTTCCTAAAACCTCTGCTTTGTTTTTTCTTTCATCCAAAGTAACTAATACCACACACTCATAGAGCTAGGATTTTGAGGGTAGGGAAAGAAAAAAGAAAGCACCTAATTTTGACTAATGGTGGTATTTTTTTCTTTCAATTTTCTTTTTTTTTTTTCATGAACACTTTGTAAGTGGTATGCCATAGAAACTAATTAAATTATCTTTGTATAGCACAGCATGAAATTCAAGTTGTCAAGAAGACACTAACATGGCCAGAAAACAAGAAGAGGGAGTGTAAGAAATCAGTCATCTCACTGTGATTACAAAAGAGAAAAGAGCTGTAACTTGAGAAAATCCATAAAAGCAGGGGACTGACGTCCTAGTTTCCTAGCTCTGCAACTAGACATCATGAACTTAAGGTTTGCATATATGCTATCACTTTTCATAGATCTGAAAGTTCTATGAAAAGTTCTCAGGCAGGTACTCTTATCACTGGCTACATATTAGCATCCCTGGGAACTTCTAACTAATGACCTTGTCAAGGTCCCCCTCCCTGGGATTCTGATTTTATTTTCTGCAGGAGAGTCCTGAACACTGGTAGATTATAAAAACTCCCCCAATTATTTTAATGTACAGCCAGAATTGAGAACTACTTATCTAGGTAAATTATTGATATAAAGAAGATTTCAAAGGAGAATTTTACTTAGAAAAATAAAATGGCAGATAAATATACACATTATGGACAGCTAGAAGCAGTCTGAGATAGAGGAAGAAACCAAACTGCAGATCCTTACAGATCCCAGTGATGTTTAGTTTTCTTACATCTGAACTCCCAACAAAGTACAAAACTCACAGCAGGTTCTTAGCAAGTCTCTGCTGAATTATGTGAAAACAACCAGATGGCATCATTTACTTTTGAATTTTAGACACCTAAAAATAGTTATCTGGCTCCAGTTTGTCTAAATAAGTGATATTTCTAATATTTATCCATATGAGAGCAGGGAAGAAGTATGAAAAACTCTTTGTTACTATGATTATAGTATCACCCAAGATTTCAACTTTTACATCTTTATGAGTAATTAATTAATGTTTTGTCTTTCCAGGTCCCAGTGGTCCCCCTGGAGTTCCTGGAAGTCCTGGTATGTCCTATTTCTTGGAATACAAACAGAAATGCTATTAAAAAAGAAAATACATAGGTCTCTTTTAAGTTTGCGTGATTTATGTAAACCAATGTTCTATTAATCAATCTAAATGTGTTTCTAGCTTCTTAATTTTTATCTTTGTGGTCCAGAATAGAATAGAGAACAGAAGGTGATACAATTTGATACAGAAGTGCTCTTTTTTACTTCTCAGTGGTTTTAACCAAGTATAAGGGTCTCACTGTCAAGGAATTTTCACAGTAACTTTGGGATATGAGCAGGGACCTTCAAACTCAGAAGAGGCACAGAAGCAGAAAACAATGTTATTAAAATGAGTTTGGTTGGAAAATGGCAGCTTTCATTATGTATCAGGTTATACTTTTTCTGTAACATTTTAAATTTTAATCTGTTAGTTATTTGAGTGTTTCTCTTTTGGAAAAGAAAACTAAGATCAGGGATGGTTCTAAAAGGGCCCATCAATTATAATTATAATTGTACTGTATTGTTTTTAAAGAAACAAATCTGAGAAAAAGGAACAGGGACTTGATAAACCAGAGTAGTGGGTGCCCTGACATTGATTATATATTTCTCTATACAATGCTTTATATTAAACTGTTCTGTATTTAATTCATTTAATAATGAATTAAAATGAATCAGATTGCAGAATGAAATGCTTAATATAATATCACCATAGGAAACAGAGACATCGTGGGTAGATATGTGTGTACCTGTAATGTATCCCTGCCTGGAAAAGCATGCTTCAAACTATTAACAGTGGGTATATCTTGAAATTGGAATAGGCAAATAGATATTTTGGAGGCCTGGTCAAAGATGGAGGAAGATCCCTTTCTCCCTACCAGGACCCTGAGTAATGAACAGGCTCCTTTAAAAAGCCAGTGAGTGGGAAATTATAAAGCTCTGAAACTGACCTCAGAAGGATTCTCCTTTATGCTCATGTAATAAAGAATGACCAGATATGACCATGACTGTGTCCTTGGCCCTTAGGTGGTGACGTTTCTCCTCCTAACAGCTCAACTCTTTGCAAGGCAAAGATTTGAGACTGTCCCCTCCTTATATGTTGATGTTTTAGGATTAGGGTGGGATTTGCACCAACTGGCTCAGTTCCCTACCCTGAGCCTCTTTTATGCCCAAGACAACAGGCAGGATTGAAATCCAATTACAACTTTCTTTCCTTTCATTTGGGGCACTGAAAGTAGGTATTTCCTTATCGCTAATTAAAAAAAAAAATCTACAAAATAGCACCAATGGGAGAAGTTCTCTTGAGTACTTATAAATGAAAAGTTTGCAGTGCTTCCCAAACTCTGTTTCAGTCCTTGTAATAAATGACACATCTTATCTCCCTGAAATGGAGAGTTCTGAACTTTGCCACACTGTAATCTAATTTAATAAAACCAAAGAAGATGGAAGTAAGGATATTCACCTTTTATTTTATATACTTTATATATCTCATAATTATGCAACTCTCGTAAATAAGAATATATCACTTATTTTTCATTTGGAAAATAAATATATATTAACTAGGGAAAGTATTTAAAATAAAACAACTGATTATTTTCTCCAAGGATCATCAAGTCCTGGCCTCAGAGGAGCCCCCGGGTGGCCTGGCTTGAAAGGAATCAAAGGGGAGCGAGGACCTCCAGGAAAGAACACTGTGGGCCTGCCTGGGTCCCCTGGCTGTCCTGGTTCACCAGGCCCTGCAGGGCCACCAGGACCTCCAGGACCTCCAGGTAAAGATACACAATGTCCATTGCCCCTGAAAGCAGTTTGCAAATCGGGGGCAGTAAGCTCCATACTGCTTGGCCATTAGTCCGTGGGAGTTTTTCTGAGTGACCTTTGCAGTGGCGTTTCATTTTAGTAACGATCTGTGAAAGAAACTATGGGCGAATGATGACTTTGCAAGGTCTTCCCAGGAGGGAGCAGGGACAAGCGGGGAGAAGCAGAGAAGGAGAACTGGTTATCACAGTGGCCTTGGCAAGGGTGTTTCCTTGCTCGGCCCTTAGAGTCTCTGCCAAGAGGCCTGTCTCAGAATAATCTGTCCCTGGGGAGGAAGAGGCAAGAATTTATCCACCAGCTCCTATTTCCCATGGGTTGTAACTTGCCCCATGGGACAGGACAACCCGTTCCTGCCCACTGCCCCCATTACCAGGCTGGGTTTGCTGGGTTCCCAAGAATCCCATGCCTTGGCATCAGCAGGAAAGTTCAGAGCGGGAGTCCAGAGCTGTGTATCCTGGGTCTGAGACAAGGTGCTGCCAGGGGAAGTGGGTCAGAGGCTACAGAGCTGTAGCCCAAAGGGTTTGGAGTGCACAGAGATTCTGACAATAGCATCCTATCCCCATGTTACCTGCTGAGCATTCTGTGTTGACTCATAGGTCCAATGGGTCCTCTTTAACATATAGCTCAATTTATATTTTAAAACACCTTTCCTGGAATGTTATGTTTCATATTCAACTCTCCTAAGAGACCTAAAAATCTTCTGTATATAAGGGATTTTTAAAAATTATTTGTTTTTAGAAGGGAGGAAGCATTTATTATTCATAGACAATGTGATTATTATAAACCTAGAAAACTTTTAAAAATCTGAAAAACTCTTAATATTAATAAGAGCATTCAGTTAAGTTCTGATTATTTTGAAAAAAAAAAAATTAAAAACTTCCCTTGAAGGTAAACTTTCAAAGACTCAGCTTCCTATACAAAGATGGGTAAAATGTATATGAAATAATCCATATATTAGAATATTTACTAGTTGGAAAAAATAAAAAATAAAAATGACTTTGTTGTTGTCCTTTCATAGGTGATACCATTTTTCGCAAGGGTCCACCTGGCAATCGTGGCCTGCCAGGCCATCTAGGGCCTTCGGGAGTCCCAGGAGTCTATGGGCCCAAAGGTTGGTTCAGTTAATAGTGCTACTCTGTTAGAATAACAGTATTGTCACTGATTTCTTTCCCCCCTGAGACAGCAGTGATCCCAAACAGCGCCAACCTGGGGTGGATCCTTTTCCAAAAATATTAGCTAAAAATATTCCATTACCTGTCAATCAAGAATTCACTTGGCACTTAATTAATTGTCAGATATCACTAGAATGCGAGTTTTATCCTACATGAAAGGAGAGATTGCCTGAAATAGTTGATGTTTAATGCTAGATTTTTAGAATTTCCTCTCCCAGAAGAATTATACAGCTCAGAACAAAAATGTAAGAAGATAGAGTATGTGAACTTTTCTATTAATTGTACAAAGTACTAGATGATTCGGGGCTACCTGGAAAATGTTTAAATATAATTAATGTGTGGATGGTGCACATTCGTCCTTATTGTGAAACTAGGGTATGTTTACAGGTGATGCAAACCTGCTTTCATTTCAGGAGAACCAGGCCTCCTGTGCATAGAGTGCCCCTGTATTCCAGGGCCCCCTGGCCTCCCAGGATTGCCAGGGTTGGATGGTGTCAAAGGAATCCCAGGTACGAACAATTTGCACACAAATTTGTGTTTGTGCAAGGACAGAAAGTAATCCCACTGGGAAATTTAAAGAGCTGTTAGATTGCCAGTTATGACAAACTTGGAGGGAGAATTTCAGAAACATCTACTCTCTTAACCAGATTCATATAAAAGCTGGTATTTTCTCTTTTCCATTTTCACCACTGAACTTTATTGTGCTAGCCAGGAATTGTAACCAGATTCCTGCAGGGTCCAGCAGAAAACTTAAACCAGTGGAGCAACTGAACCAAACAAGCACACAAGACTTCTCTGTGTGCATTTTTTCATGTTCCCACTTTTGACAAGAGTCATAGCCAAGTTAAAAATAAAAATGTATATATAGCCATGTCCTCAGAGCAGGGGACGACACAGAATGGTTGCATGTCCCTATGGCCCAGTAGACATTTGCTTTGGCATAGGGTCTTCTGGGAGGCTGAGTATCAGTACAAAGAAAAAAGACATCAGACATGGGCACATGGCCAGAGAGGAGGACACATACCTGGGCAGGATTCTTTGTCACCTTCAAGTCCCACCCACTTCTTTATGAAGACCTCTGCTACTTTGGGATGACTGCCACTGTCCTGAATCTTGAGACAAGCCTAAGAGAGAAAGGTAGGGGGACTGTTCTTCATGCAGCTCCTATGTGGTGTCCAAGTCTCTGGGGTAACATTCTAACTAGAACAAAAACTCCAAGGAAAGGAGGGAGAGGAGTAAAGGAGAAAAAGATCAGAGACCTGTATTTCCCTACATTTCCCAGAGCTTCATCTCTGACCCAAGGTGCACAGGTGGACAAGTTGCATCATGGTACTTTCCTTAGTTTCTCTATCTTTGGCATTTACAGGTATAGTCAAAGAAGTTATGGGAAAGTAAAATGATTTGGATTGCTATAGAAAAGATGTATTCTGACTCAGTATCTTGCAAAATATGAAACTTGAATAAGCATTAGTTGACTAACTGACCTGAGTCATCCAAAAGATCATTAAAAGGATCATTTTTACATTGATATTTAAACATTCACAGGAGGTATAAAATTACACAGTAAAATACAATTTGGCAAAAGACTCAGAGCTTCAGAAAATTTTGTGTCCACTTGGACTTGCAGTTACCCTTATAAGCATTTATTATAAAGTACATATTTATATAAATTTGAAAAGTAAATATCAACATTGTTTACAATAGCTGTAAGTTGAAAAACAACCCAAATATCTAAAAACAGAAGTTAACTAAATAAATGAGGCTCACCCACATAGTAAGTTATTATCGCAGTCATCTAAAACGAAACTCTAAACCTATACTTACTGACATATGTATGGTAAGTTTCCAAAATAGTGTATATATGAGTCTTATGCATTCATAGACATAAAAATTTAAGAATAATATACATTAAAATGAAGTAAGTGTTATCTGATGATTGACTTATTAGTAATATTTTTGTTTTGTTTGTTACCATTGTTACTGTTTTTGCAATGCTGGGGGTGGAACCCATGGTGAACCCATGGTCTTGCTAGGCAAGTGCTCTACCACTGAGCTACACCCCCAGCCCAATTTTTATTCTCTTCCTTCTGTATAATTTTCTTCAATGAGCATATCACTAGGAAAAATAAGTCCTTAAATTGTAAAGATGAGAATGTTAGGAAGCTAACATCTAAGCGTTCTTGCTTTTTATATTATCTCTTATTCTAGTCACCTACCCTCATTCTCTTATGGCTCTGTTCATTTTATGATTGGAATTGTCTTTCTATCCTCATAAGGAAATGCAGTGTTTTCTTCATATAATGCAAGCTTCAGGGCATTCAGAGTTGGTGTTGCATTGCTGATTGTGGATTGCTTTACAGGAGGTCGAGGTGCTACTGGAGTGAAAGGAAGCCCCGGGTCCCCAGGAAGTGCTGGTCTTCCAGGATTTCCAGTAAGAGTTCATGATCATAAAGCTTTAGGTTTAGTTTGGAAAACTGGTTGCTCTGGAAACATGGCTGCACTACCTGCAGATTATTAATTTGTTTGGCAAAGTGTGGATGTTTAATTGATAGGCAAAGAATAGGTGCTCAATAGATACTCATTGATTAAATGAATAAAGAAATGAATACATGAATGAATTAATGAATTTAGAAATAATTTTCAGTGGTATCAGAGAAAGGAAATTAATCATTGCCTGGGCTCAGGGTGGGAACAGGGATTAACCACAAGTGGATTTGAGAGCAACAGGAGTGATGGAAATATTTTAATATGATGTGATGATTGTGGCATAATTCTATACATTTGCTAAAAATCATTGAATTGTACTGTTACAAAAGATAAATGTTATGGTATATAAATTATAGCTCAACAAAGCCTGTTGAAAAAATTGACATTCATTAACATTGTGAATCAGAAACTTAGACATGGATAAATATATTTAAGTCAACTTATTTAGAGATGTTAAAATTTATCAATAACTAAACATAATCTGAATTATGTTGATTGATGCTTCATAGTGGATTATATTATTGTGTGTATTGTATTGAATTATACTAACTAAATTCTTTTCCAGTTTTGGAAGTTAAAAAAAAACAAAAGTTTGAAATGATATTTATGGGCCAACGAAAATGTGTGTTCCAAAAAAAATCCACATTTATTAAAACTGAAAAGTTCTTGTTGACATTCTTTCTAAGACTGACATAGGACAACTCTGTGTACTACCCTAGGGATTCCCAGGTGCTGAGGGAGATCCTGGACTTAAAGGAGGAAAAGGCGAAACATTTCCACCCCAGGGGCCAGTGGGTGCCCCAGGGGATCCCGGGCTCAGAGGGCATCCAGGGAAAAAGGGCTTGGATGGAATTCCTGGAACTCCGGGAGCTAAAGGATTACCAGGACCTAGAGGAGAACCGGTTGGTGTTTGGCAACTTTTTTGGATTACCCCCTCGCCCATAGATGGAGTGCTGCTCCTTGGTACTGAGATAAGATGATTTCCTTCCATAAAATGGTTGGCTACTTAGCATGGCTCATCATTCTCACTTCAAATGGGACATCTTCAAATTAATAGTTATAACCCATGCAAATATTTATAGTATTTTGACAAAGGAAGTAGGCAACTTTTAATTGAAATTCTACATTGATAATGACTCTGTCTCACATGAAAGTTACATTTTTACATCAAATGAATTTCTAGAGAAGTTCAGAAAATGACTAATAGGGAAAAGTTTTAGTAAATATTTTGGGGGCACTGTTCATTCTTTTAAGTAAAAATAAATGTATAAAAAATGTTAAGAGTATGGAAGTCAAAAGGATTGAATGTTTTGTCATTTAAAATATTTTAGCTTATGTAAATTTGACTTTTTGTGTAATAGACTTTTTCACAGGTTAATTGGGAAATAATCTACCAGATCTATTCTAAAATAACTTGGAATGAAAGACTGAGCCCCTCACACAATGTATCTGTGAGAAGTTTGCTCACACTAGTCTACAAAATACCAGTTTCTTCCAAGGTTAATCAGATTTATCCAATAAAATGGGTCCCACCTTGAACAGATTTGGGGAAATTTGGTAAGCACATTTAAAGATTCATTTACAGACCCTAGTTATCATTATGTAAATGTGACTCCTAACATGTAGACATGGAAAATTGATTTCCTGGGAGCATCTAAGGTTTCCCAGCTCCTGCTTGAGCAAACCGCTGGGCTGTCCACTTGGCAATAGACAGGCTTGTAGCAGAACCAAGTCTGAGTTCTTTTGGTCTAGCATTACTAGAGTTCGTAAGATATCTCCATCGGCATCTCATTATTTTCCTTTTTTAAAGGTTTGGTAAAGATGCTCCAAAAAGTAAATAAGAAAAAGTCAAAGAGGTGATTTGTTGAGTCATGTCCTATGATTATAAAGAAAAAATTTAAAAAAAAAACAAAACGCTGGGTGTGGTGACACAGGCCTGTAATCCCAGTGAGTCACGAGGCTGAGGCAGAAAGATTACAAAGGCAAGGCCAGCCTCAGCAATTCAGCAAGACCTTATCTCAAAAATTAAAAGGGCTGTGGGTATGGCTTTAGTGGTAAAGTGCCCCTGGGTTAAATCCAAAAGTACCAAAAATTTAAAAAGGAGAAAAACCACTTAGCCACCCAGTGATCTCCAACAGTGAAAGTACCTATAAACTTATTTGGGCCCATAAAAGAAGTTCAACTTCTTTTAAGTATACAACTCATTTTTAAAGTTAGAGTGCATGAATTTATTTTAACACAAGGGTAGATATTTTATAAGAAAACTCAATACAGGTAGAATATCTCCTTTGTAATAAAAATACCTGTTGAAAACTATACAAATAAAGGCTTGCTGTACGGGTTTTAGTTTGGAAATGTGCCAACAGCATGAAAGTGACCTCTAAAGCCATTTGAACATTTGAACTTAGTTTAAGTTAGCGATCATCTTATGGGACACGTCATTGGAGAACATCTCAAGTGGGACTTAAGACAGTTTCAAGATGATACAATATTGCTGGATTTCAACATTGCATAAAACAATAGGAGCCCATGGGGCTCTTATTTTTAATAACTGCCAACTGCTTTTTCATTCAAGGGCTTCTCAATGAAAGCCTAGCTGCATTGCTGGCCTAGCGGCTGTTCATATTTGGAGTGAGATCAACATGTATTTGGAAGATAATGGCATGAAGCACTATATAAACATGTTCTTATTGTCACAGGCCTTGAGTGGTGAGAAGGGGGACCAGGGTCCTCCAGGGGATACTGGGTCCCCTGGGTCCCCAGGATCTGCAGGACCTGCTGGACCACCTGGCTATGGACCCCCGGGAGAGCCAGGTCCAAAGGGCACCCAAGGAATTCCTGGAGCCCCAGGACCACCTGGAGAAGCCGGTTGGTTAGTTTTCTTTCCAGTCCTGTTTTCCTATGGGGTGGGTTGATGGTTCCAGGGCTAATTAAGTACCTTCAAGACCAATGACCATATATAAACTCATTTCTAACAAATAGAATATGTGAAATTAACAGCCACTGAGAAAGAATATGTAGGGTATATCAGAGAAAATCCATTTTCCCTGTTACTGGGCATTCAGAGGACTGCATATATCTATTCCTGATATAAGTGTATAGAGTGAAGAGATCCTAAGGGTGAGTGGAAGTCAATCACGATATACCAAGAGGAAGCAAAAACAGAACTTGACTGTGAGAAACCTTACCAAGGCCTCAGCAGCCCAATAACATTATTGCAAATTTGTTCTTTTGAGCTATAACACAATACAAAGGTGGTAAATAAAACTTTATAATACCTAACACAAACGAGGAAAAGTTGTTGGAAAATAGTTTTAAAGACCAGGTAACATTTGGAATTCACAAGTACTGAACATAGCTCTGTATTCAGGAGAAACTAGGTTCTTAATGTTTATGGGTGGGAGTATGGTGGAAACGAGATCAGCATGTTACAGAGAGTTTGAACCCATTTTGCCCCATCTCCCCAGATTTGGAGCACCTATAAAAACAAACTGAGTGACAACTATGCTACTCAAAGTCACTTTGAAATAAGAATTTTATTTGCAGAATTGAAAACTTGGGACAGAATGGGGTTACACAAATAATGCCACCATGGTCATCTTTTACTTCTAAAATCACTTTAAAGGGTGACAGCCCTTTAAAGTGAATCCAGGGTCTCCAAATCATTTCATAGTGTCCCTCATTAGTAAAAAATTTTGAGTAGACAATTTCATAGTTATTTATATGTATTATAAATTGAATGCAATATTTCTATCCAAACATATGTAAAGTTTATATGATACATACACATACACACATATATATATATAATATGTAAAGCTTATTTTATGATACATATATAATTCTTACTTTTGACCTTATCTTACTTTGAAAATTATTGTTCTAATCCAGGGATTAGCAAACTATGATGGTCCATAGTCCAAATCTAGCCCACAGAACAATTTTATATGGTTCATGAGCTAAGAATGGTTTTTACATTTTTAAATAATTGAAAAAATTCTAAGAATATTTTGTGATACATTAAAAAAAATTAATTCAAATCACAGTGTTGATAAAGCTCATTGGAACACAGCCACACTCACTCATTTATGTCGCCTCTCTGGTTTCTCTCATGACACCATGGCAGAATTGCATAGTTGTAACAAAGATCTGGACCACAAAAGCCTAAGATATTTAATATTTTTACATAGAAAGTTTATTGACACATATTTTGATCCATCATTCAGCTCTCTTCTCAAGATTCTGAAAATTAATCTTTAATGAAGAACTCATTGTCATAAAATACATTATTATCAAATTTTTTCCCAGCATATACCATGAATCATATTTTTTTCCATAAACATATGACTATAGTGACCATATCTAATCCCCAATGTGATGTAATATTGGCCACTGTGGTCATAATATTATCTTGAATCCTTATCTATTAGTTGGTTATTATTTCCCTGTTGACAGATAAGGAACTTACCAGAGGTTAAGAAATACGCCCAACAAAAGAACCAAATAGACACTTTTCAAAAGAAGAACTACAAATGGCCAACAAATATATGAAAAAATATTCAGCATCTCTAGCACTTTGGGAAATGCAAATCAAAGCCACATAGAGATTTCATCTCACTCCAGTCAGAATGGCAGTTATCAAGGATACAAATAATAAGCATTGGCAAAGATCTAAGAGAAAAGTACACTCATACATGTACTTTGGTTGGTAGGACTGTAAATTAGTGTAACCTCTCTAGAAGGCAGTGTAGAGATTCTCAAAAAACTAGGATTAGAACCATATGACTCAGTTATCCCACTCTTCAGTATAATTCAAAAGATTTTAAATCTTCCAAAAAATCTAAAATCGGCCTATTATAGGGATGCAACCACATCAATATTTACAGTAGCACAATTAACAATAGCCAAACTATGGAACCAACCTAGGTGCCCTTCAATAGATGAATAGATAAAGAAAATGTAGAATACACATACAGTGGAGTATTACTCAGCTATAAAAAAAGAATAAAATTATGTCATTTGCTAGTAAATGGATGGAACTGGAGATTATAATGCTCAGTGAAATAAGTCAGACCCAGAAAGTCAAAGGACAATTTTTTTCTCTGATATGCAGAAGCTAGTCTAAAATAATACGGGGGAAAGAGAGAAAAGAAATGGGGGTAGGGGGTGGAAACTCCATCAAAAGAAAGATAGGGAGAATACAAGAAGGGTATTGTGGGAGAGGGAGGAAGGACAAGACAAGGGAAAAACAGTGAAATGAACCAGAACTAACTTTCCAATGTACATATATAAATATAATACAGTGAAACTCACCATTATGTATATGCACGAGACACTAATTTTTTAAAAAATGCAAATAGAAAGATGAGTAGAGCAGAGGAAAGGGAACAGGTGAGGAGAGGATAAGGGTAAGTACTGGGAAATTAATTGGAGCAAATTATATCCCATGCATTTATTAGTATGTCAAAATGAATCCTAATGTTATGTATAGCAATTATGAACCAATAAAGAAATTTTTTAAAAATATGCTCAAGCTCACAGGTGATATAAATAGCAATGTCAAGCTTCAAGTCCAGACCAGTGTGTTGGGCCACACTTACTGTTTTGCTCAATATACTTTACTGCCTTCTCATGGAAACTAGTCACTAATATATCAATATCCTATCAGTATTCATCAGCTTAATTCCATATTATTAATTTTAGGGAAAGGACTCTCATTCAATAGATCAGAGCAATTAATTGAAACAAGCTTTAGATGGTAGCAGAAGTTCAACAGTATTTGTTGATTAAGTAGGAAATTTTCAATGAATGGTCAACCCTAAGCTAGTTTTGATATTGTAGAAGCAGAGATATTTTTTATTTTCCTTGGGAAAATGGTTATAACTCTTATAATTATATTTTTCCCAACATCCAAGAAGAACTTCAATATGAACCCCAATCTTACCTCAAATTTTCTTAAGGTCCTAAGGGAGAATCCACTGTTTCAACACCAGTCCCAGGCCTCCCAGGACCCCCAGGGCGCCCTGGCCATGCTGGTCCCCCAGGTCCACCTGGTGAGTATCCCTTTTGCCAGTTCTGTTGCATGACATCAGATAGTACCCTTCCTCTCCTGGAAAAAAAAAAATAGTGTTCCTGTTATAAGAAAAAAATATATTCGTTGGTTCCAAAAGAGAGCACAAGCCACACCTGTGAGATGAACAAGCAAGGAGGGGACTCTCTATTGCTCTTTGGGATTATCAAATTACCCCTCCTGGTGCTTCTAACATAAAAGTTCCAAAGCATACTGGCATAATCACTTACAAGGAATCTGAGAGCAAATAATCTTTGTGAATTTTTGGTGATTCAGTTAGAAATGTTTGCCCATAGTTAATCTGGGTATTTCCCATAGCAACTTTTCTCTGATAATGTGTTCTAAAGCTTTATTTTTATGCATAAAGGGAGACATATAGTTCAAGATATCTAGAATGCTTTTTTAAGGAACTAAGTTTAATTTTTAAAATTCTGTGCATCTCCTAATAATTAGTCCTCTAGGTAGGGTGAGTAGGAAGAATATACAGTGGGGCTTATGTTAAAATTATTTCTTAATTTCCAAAATGGGTTAAGATGACACAGAGAACTTAGACATTTTCTTTTGAAACAAATGAAGAAAAGTTGCTGCTGTGTGTCTTTAAGGTATCCCAGGATCCATGGGGAAATGTAATCCTGGTCTTCCTGGACCTGATGGTGAATCAGGAATTCCAGGAACTGGATTTCCTGGACCTCCCGGACCTAAGGGTAAATAAATTAAAAACTAAAATTCAAGGTTCATTGTGGTTATTTACAAGTTTTAAGTATATATAATAAATACTGTAGGAAATACCTATAACCTCGAAAAATGATACTGAGTCTGTTAAAAATCTCACAGTAATGTTAGGTGAAAAAGAAGAATTCACATTGATTTATGCAGTCTCATCTCAATCATGTTTTTTTTTAATGCATAGGAAAAAAACTGGAAAAAAATTCAAAATAATAACAATTCTTCTCAATCGTGAAATTATAAGGTTTTTTCTGCACTTTCTACATTTATGTATTACTTTACATATTTTTAAAATAAAGAATGAATTATTAAATCACAAGTAGGGCTGGGAGTATAGCTCTGTGGTAGAGTACATGCTTACCACTTGTAAAGCCCTGAATTTAATACCAAGCACACACCCCTGAAAAATATCACAAATGGCTGATTTTCCTATGCTCTCCAAAATATATTAAGAAGTTATTTTACTTTAAGGAAAGATGATATTTCCCATGAAAGTTGAAAAAACTCCCCAAAATCCAGAAGCTGAAGTTGGGAATGATGTAACATACCTGTAATCCCAGCTACTTGAGAGGCTGAGGTAGGAGGATTACAAATTCCTGGCCAGCCTCATCAATTTAATGAGACCCTGTCATTGAATCCAGGGGAGCTCAGTGATAGAGCTCCCCTGGATTCAATCCCTAGTACCAGACTTAAAAAAAGAAAAAAGAATTCAGATGCTGAGAGATGGACTAATAACTTTGAGGCTTCTGCTGAAGTCCTGTCCAGGACACATATGAGGAACCTCAGTCCATGCATTGTTGTATAGAACTTCAAGCTTTATGATAATTACATGTTTGTTTCAGTATTATTTAAAATGTTGGTCAAAATATCATCCAATTTTTTTTCATTGCTAGTTTACCCATTGGTTTTATTATCATTCCAACTTTCATAAAAACACCTGTAGCTGGCTGCCTCAGAAAAGTATTACACAAAATAAGAGAGATATTGCTCAGATTCTTTCAATAAGACTAATCCCCAATGTTTGTTTGTTTGTTTGTTTGTTTATTTATTTATTTATTATTGTTGTTGTTGTAGGAGATCCAGGTTTTCCAGGAACAAAAGGATCACCAGGTTGTCTTGGGAAAATGGGAGAGCCCGGGTTACCTGGACAGCCAGGCTTCCCAGGAGCCAAGGTTTGCAGGAATTTACACTCAGACTGACCTGGAGGAGCAGGGGGAAAACCATAATTGCCCAGTAGGGATGCCCCCCGTTAGCCAGGAGGCTCTGGATGTAGAAATTATCAGTATATTGTGGATGATGAAGATATCAAATATTTTAAGTATCTCTGGACCATCTTTCCTTAGAAGGTATTTGAACTGGGTACAATGCCACATGCCTGTAACCCCAGCAGCTTGAGCGGCTGAGGCAGGAGGATCACAAGTTCAAAGCCAGCCTTTACTTTGTGAGGCACTAAACAACCCAGTGAGACCCTGTCTCTAAATAAAATATAAAAAAGTGCTGGGGATGTGGCTCAGTGCTTAAGTACCCCTGGATTCAACCGCGGTATGAAAAAAAAAAAAAGGTATTTGAAGGAAGGCTTGCCTCTATTTCTTCCTTAATGTCTTCATGAACATTGAAAGTACATAAAATGGGAGAACCCTAGAAAAAAGTGTGGGTAGCGATGAGAAAACTTAGCAAAAGTGGAGCTATCCAACTCAGTCCTCTTAAAGAATAGAGGCTACACATATCCTGAAGCACAATTTTACAGCAAAGTCCGCAGCTAGAGTGGAAAAGGGAGAATTGATTGAATAGCGGTGGCTGTACAAACAGACGTGGAGCCTCCCTAACAGGGGTTATTTTCAAGTGAATAGCCTCAGAGACTAGCCTGTAGCAATGAGGATTTGGAAGCATTATGCAGCAAAACTAACATAATTTCTGTGCTATAGGGAGAACCAGCACTAGCCAGGCCTGGAGAACCAGGAAAACCAGGTTTTCCGGGAGAAAGAGGCAATTCCGGGGGAAATGGAGAAATTGGACTCCCTGGACTTCCAGGTCTCCCTGGAATTCCAGGAAAAGAAGGGCTTGATGGACCACGAGGTACAATAGCAAGTGTGATTACTTTTCTCCACTGTGAGCTCGACTAAAATGCAGCCAGCTGAATGTGTAGGTGCTTTGGCAATGAAGACTCCTTCTCAAAATAACTTCTAGTTCAATGAATAGAATCTGTGAAGCCTAATTATTTCCCCATTCAACATGGCTGCCCTGCCTTTCTTCCTCCTTTTCTTCCGCCTCCCTTTCTGCTCTTCTTTTTTACGAGTCTCCTCTATAAAAGGCACACTAAAGTACTAAATATAGGCTGAAGGGGGAGGGGGTTATAGAAGAATGACTGGAGTAGCAACCTGGACCTTGAGTTCTGGCAATTGAATTTCCCCCTGGATTCTTTTTCAGGAGATCCAGGGCATCCTGGGCCACCTGGAGATAAAGGACCTCCAGGCAGGTGCCTAGAGGGCCCCAGAGGAGCCCAAGGACTTCCAGGCTTAAATGGATTGCAAGGGCAACCAGGTAGGAGGAAGACCTCCAAACCAGGCTGGAGGCAGGCGGTGACAGGGACCACTGGCTCTGCTCTTAGCTGTTTAATGTGGGAATTGTCCAGCAACAAATCCTGGCTGCTGTTCAGTGAGAAATGCTATTTTAGAAACATAAACTTTACTGTTATAGGTTTGTTGCACATAGCAGTGTACACCACCAATAGAAGAAGAGACCTGAATTTAATACAGCTAGTTAGTTTGTATCTTTTATGTAAGAAAATATGAATACCAAAGACAGATAAATAGGTAGCTAGATAGATAATTTGCATATGTATCTACATAATACACTCTCAGGCAGCATTTTAGTTTTGATACCTCCATAAGTATATTCAAGTGGTGAATTTCTGTTTGTTGAAATAGAGAAAATTATGCAAAGATTCTAGTTTAACAAGTTGTAAACTAAAATGTGTAGTTGATTGTTTTACAAGCAACATAAAAGAAAGGGCATGCAAATAAATCTAAATGGTGCAGGCTATTTGTTCCAGATAATACGGAAAACTTTCTCTATTTTTTAGCTCCTCTAATCCAAATCTGGTGACTGTCTCTGGGAAAAACTCTTTAGAACTCAGTTAACGTCTATGGGCTAGTGTACTGCTCATATATTCATAAAAATAAGGTATTGGCCAAGACCTTAATTGTTAGAGTGGCACTGTTGTTTCCATTGACAGCATCCATTGACTCTCCTCCTCATGAGTGGCTCTGTATGTCTTGTGTAAGTGTAAAATGGAGCCACATTCAGAAAGCGTAGTACCTGAATGTGCCACTGGACTCGGAGATAGATGTAAATATTATACTTCTATTTCTGGATGAATTATTGAAACAGAAGATGTTAGAGCCAGAGTGAAATCTTAGAAATTTTATCTTGCAAAAGGGAGACATTACACACACACACACACACACACACACACACACAAACACACAAGTGTGCAGTTTACCTAGAATCATAGGTAAATATCTGCAGCCACAAAATATTTCTAAGTTTGATGGGGAAAGCATGTTTGCTAACTCACCCATGCATGTGTGCATTTATTTATGTATAGGCAGAAGAGGTGTGACAGGGCCAAAAGGGGACCCAGGAATTCCAGGCTTGGATAGGTCAGGATTCCCTGGAGAACCTGGACCACCAGGAAAGCCAGGTCATCGAGGTGAGATGGGACCACCTGGTCACAAAGGATATCCAGGAACTCCAGGATTTTCAGGACCACCAGGTATTGTGTAGTGTGTGTGTGTTTGCACACATGCACGGACTTTGGTTTTCTTCTTACATCTTCCTTCACATTTTCCCCTTAATGTGGTTCTGTAAACTGGCATAGACTTGTGACTCTATGCTTTTCTTTCAGTTAGTAAAAGTCATTTATTCTGAATGATTTTTAAGGTCCAGGAGCAGGGAAATGATAGTAGTATGATAATCACATTTCTTAATTGCCCAGGATCTGGCTATTTTTGCTCTACAATTCATTTAATATACCACTATGATATACTTATTAGTATTTTTTAAAGATTTTTACATTTATATTTACTTGGGATATTGGTCTGTTGTTTTCTTTTTTTGCAATGCTTCGGTCTGGTTTTGGTATCAGGTCAATGTTGGCCTTATAGAACTAGCCAGGAAGTGTTTCACCCTCTTGTATTTTCTGGAAGACTTTGTGAAGAATTGCTATTCCTTAAACGTTTGGTGGAATTCATGAGAAAAGGCATTCGGGTCTGGGCTTTGCTTTGTGGAAAGCTTTATATTAGCCATTAAGTCTTGTTTATTATGAGTCTACTTGAACGTTCTATTTCTTCTTGACAGTTTTAGTAATCTAAATTTAGGAATTTGTCCATTTTATCTAAGTTACTTAATTTGTTGCCATAGAGTTATAATATTTCTTTATTAACCTTTTTATTTCATGGCAACTTTTATAGTTCACATATTTGGGAAGAATGGTCTGTTTCCACATGGCATAAGGACTTCACTGATCTTCCCTCCAGAAGGAAGCCCAGGATATTAACTTAAGCACACCATTTACTGACCCATCTTCTAGACAAGTAAATGATCTTTTTTACCTCATCCAAGTAGAAGTCATTGGTAGCAAATTACATTTATAGTTGAAAACAGACTATATTCAAGTTTAGAGCATTCCATCCTTCTACCTCCTAACCAATAGCTTTCTATTATATCCCTTTATTTCATGTTTTTCCATAATACTTGTATCTAGGTAAACTTAGTTTTTCAATGTGCTTATCATTGCTTCCTACTTTGAGAGGGAGAATTTACTAGCTGATGTATCTTCAGTGTTGGCACGTGAAAGTAGCCCAATAATATGAATAAAAGAATCGTTTGTCAATTAAGTTATTATCCTGGACTCCTATCTGGAGGGGAGATCAGTGAAGTCCCTGCTATTCCTTCAACTCCCAATATCTGTTTCTAAGCGTGATTTATTTTACAGAATACTTTGTTTTTCCCATTCTCTACAACATGTGCAGCCTTGTGTCAATTTGCTTCCACAGGTGGAAGGGGCATGGTTGGGTTGATGGGCCATCCTGGAGCCACTGGCCCTCCTGGGCCTCCTGGGAACCCAGGCATGCAGGGGCAGAAGGGTGAGTGTCCAGATCTCAGGAGGTATGGGCGCATTCATTTATTCAGCAACAAAATAAACTACACATCATTCTTTCTGGAGAAAATAGTTAAGAGAAAAATATGTCTGACCTTCCTGGTTTCTGTGTTCCTTTTTCCCATTTGAATGGAACCCTGTTTTTTCCCTGCAGGCTTATACTTTATACCACTCCCCTTACGTGGCTTCCAGTTTGGGGGAACTTTTGAATTCTCAGCTCTGTTAATCTTTTTTCATTCTCTTTTATTGCAAGTCCTGTTAACTTTGAATCCCTGTGAATTACTTGAAGAATGAAGGATTTGATGTTGTTACTCCTGTCTGTTAGGTAGCCTTGGAATTCCAGGAATAAAGGGTGAGAGAGGACCCCCAGGAACCAGAGGGGAACAAGGAGATAAAGGAAATCCAGGTCCTTCTCAAATAGCCCATTTAAAGGGAGACAAAGGAGAACCCGGGCCCAGAGGTAAGGAATTTTCTACATTTAGAATCAGAACATTAGAGTTGATGGTGGAACTAAAACACTATCCAGGCAAATCCCTGTAGTTGACAATTTAGGATAATGAGGATACTTAGGTTCTTTTTCTTTTTTTTATTTGGGGGTGGGGGTGGTGTGTATTATTGGGGATTGAACATAGGGGTTTTAACCACTGAGCTATATCTCCAGTCCTTTTTTATATTTTGTTTTGAGATAGCATCTCACCAAGCTACTTAAGGCCTCACCAAGTTACTGAGACTTGCTTTGAACTTGTGATCCTCCTGCCTTAGCCTCCAGAACCACTGGGATTATAGGCATGTGGCACCACTCCCAGCTCAGGATAGATTTTTCTGACTGCATCTAAAACCTTCTTCTCATGCTTAGAATTCCTTAGAGAATAATACTAAGAAGAAAGTATCCTATGAAAAATTAACCCTTTAGAAATACTGTTAATTGTAAGGTATGACTTTTAGGCTAAAATTTAAGTCTGTTCAAATTATTTCAAGTTATTTGAATGCCTCTCATGACAGTTTTTGTCATGTGATTAATACAAGCAATATAAAACCAAATTTTAAAGAGGCCTCCCTTGCAATCCCCTTGGCTAATGCCCCCCCCCCCCAACTGATGCATCTTAATGACACAGCATGGGGGTTTCTGCATGGCTCTTAACCAAATACAATCCCAGCTTTAGAAAAACAGAGAACTGCTGGGTAAAATGTTACCTTTGCAGATCAAACTTTCATAGCAATGAAGGAATGAGATAAAATGTGTTTGCAGTTGCACAGCATGTCATGCTTTGAGAAATTTATAATGAATTTTGAGAAGTAAGATCACATTCAACAAATATTTATATGCTTGGCAAATGTAGTCTAAGAGATTTGCTTTTAAAATTCTGCACAAGGTGCTGCAGACCATGCTAGAAAGACTGAACAATTCTTTCCAGAGTTAGGGAAGACTTCCTGAAAGTGACATCTGACAAGCTCTTAAGAATGATTGAAAAAAAAAAAAAAGAGAGAGTGATTGAATCCAACTTATTTGCCAACTGAAAAAATAATCATTGGGAAAAATCTTATCAAACGTTTTTGGATTTTTGTACCCAGCGGTGCTTGACCATTAAACTATATCCCTAGCCCTTTTTATTCTTATTTTGAGACAAGGTCTTGCTAAATTTCTTAGAGCCTCACTAAATTGCTGAGGCTGGCCTTGGACTTGCTCTCCTTTTGCCTCAGCCTCAGGAGTCACTGGGATTACAGGTGTGCACCATCACACCCTGCAAAAGTTGGTTTTTGTCTTTTTATTTATTTATTTATTTATTTATTTATTTATTGCACAAAGGAAAGCTAGGAAACAATAGTCTTTTGTGTAATTCCCATTCAATCTGCTGCTGGAGAGATCTTTTACTTCTAGAGCAAACAACAGATTGTATACTATTTTTAGCAATGGAATAGAAGGTAAGATGAGTTTCGTAAGACTGTGCTAGGTCTGGCTTAATCAAGATGTAAAATAAAGAAAAAAATACCAGCACAAATTTCCAGTCCTCACTAACTATCTGCATAGACACCATTTTACTATTTCTACATTGTTTGGAGAGTGTTAGAAACATTTTTGAAAAAAAAAATATGAATAGCATATCTGTGTCTACATAAACCAAAATTTGGTTCTCACAGCCTAAATGTGCAATAAATACTAATTTACGCTAAAATATTCCTTTTGTAAAATATAGAGGAACACATGCTATTTCTGTGCTTCTAACAAAATTCTACAATTTACTCACACAAATTACAGTATGTGTCAAAGCTCTGAGTGTTTTGAATGAATAATAAGGAGCACAGATTGAACAACAAAAATGAAACAAATGATCTGGGCCTCTCTAAGTCTAAGTGTGATCCATTTATAAAAATTTGAATTTCTGACACAAAGGCATCCACTGCAGATGTGGAAGAGATATCAAGGTCACAAATGAGCTGTTGTAGTCTTCTCCTGGAGGAGTCTGCATGGGAAACTTAGGCACATGTATGAAAGATAATAAATAATACAATAATGAAAATTAGTACTCTTCTGTTGTTTAACAAAGACCTATGTAGCAAGTACTATTCTAAATTTTTCAAATATTGACTCATTTACTCTCACAACAACCCTAGGAGGAGATACTATAATTGCCATCATACCATTTTTCAGATGCAAAGTAGGTCAAGTTACTTGCTAATGCCACTCTGACAGGAAGTAGCAGCGATGGGCCTCATGCTAATGTGACTGATTGGAAAGGCCATACTTGGCCTCCCCTCTGTGCCACTGGGTACCCTCACAGGGAACCCTGTGATTGTTGAAAGAAGCAGAAAACACTGCAACTAGATTAGTCGGATAAACCTCTATGAGAGGGTATTTAAATTGTGAGTGGAATTCAGATGAGCTTATAAGTTTGTGCTTGTATAATTATGTTAAAATGAACCCCAATATTATGTATAACTATAACGCACTAGCAAAAAGAGGAAGAAGAAAAAGAAGAGGAGGAGGAGTGTGAGGAAGAAGGAGAAAGAGAAAAAGAAAGAAAGAAAAAAAAGGAAGGAAGTAAGGAAGGAAGGAAGGAAGGAAGGAAGGAAGAAAAGAAGGAAGGAAGGAAAGAGAAAAGGAAATCTTTCCAAGGTTCTCCTGGCTTTAAGAATTGACTTGAGGGCTGGGGTTGTGGTAGAGCGCTCACCTAGCATATGCGAGGCCCTGGGTTTGATCCTCAGCACCACATAAAAATAAATAAATAAATGTTAAAAAAAAAAAAAAAAAAAGAATCGACTTGAGCCTGGCACGTTTGTGCATACCTGTAATCCCAGATACTTGTGAGACTGAAGCAGGAGGATAGATGTTTCAGACCAGCCTGGGCAACTTAGTGAGACATTGCCTCAAAAAAAAGGAAAGAAAAAGGCTGGGGGAGGGAGGAGAGAGGAGATATAGTCAGATGGCTCAGTGGTAGGGCAACCCTAGGCTCAAGTTTTGATCCCTAGTACTGAGAAAAAAAGTGGGGGATTCAAACTCTTTAGCCCAGCATACAAGTATTTTGACCATTTGCCCTTTGCCTATCTCTCCAGCCACTTGACATTTACGTGCTCAAGAATTATTTTTCAACAATTAAAAAAATTTTAATGTCTATAGAGTAAGCATTTTTTAATGTCCTGAATACGCAGAGGTGACCAAAGCCAACTTGGTCTTCTATCATGGAGACACTTATTGTTTAGTGGGGAATTGCATAGAAGGGTCTGTAAATATCTGTACAAGCTAAGTAGAAAATATCTGAGGCTTTGTGGACCACATACAGTCCCTGTTGTATACTCATCTTTGATTTTGCTTATGTTTTTTGTTTTGTTTTTATATCCCTGTAACAATGTGAAAACCATCCATAGCTCTCAAGTCTCACAAAATCAAGCCAGATTTGGCCTGCGGGCTGAAGGAAATGAACACACTAAACAATGTATTCATAGATTGTGATAAATAACACAAGTGGAAAAAATAAAGGTGCAAAACAAAACAATCTCCCCCCTGCCACTTACCACTCCTCTGCACATGCTGTGTTCTTGCCTGGGAATCCTGTCTCATTCTGTTCTTTCTCCACCCAATTAGCTCTTATTCCAACTTCAAGATTGAATTAAAAAGCAGTACTTCTTCCAGAAAATCTTCTCTGTGGCATTTAGTGCCCAACTCTATTTCAGAACTTATTTCACTGGTGGTAATTTCTTGTTTAGCTGGCCATCTTCCCAACTACACACAAAAAACTTGGGAAAGGGAGCCTGATTTATTTTTATTTCTAGTGTTCATCACAAGACCTGTCTATTACTTACATGCTTAATCCATATGTGAATGAATAAATAAGTTCATAAGCAGGCCAACAGCCAAGGGAAGAAAATTTGCTTGAGAAAAAGTACAAAGCCAAATCATGCAGACTAACTGCCCCATCCAGTGAGGCAAGTTCAAAATGTACTCTGTAGGTAATAAAAGAGATTCAATGAGTGTTAATGGGCAGGAGCATTATATGCTCAAACCTGTAATCTCAGGAAGAGTAGAATAGTATCCTGGAAAGTTCATAAGTATAGAACTGGGTTCAAACCCCTGTGTTGTCACTGATTGACACTCTGATTTCAGGTAGGGCTTTTGACTTACCTAATACTTACAAAATAATCTTAAAAATGTTTTGAGAATAAAATTGTTTATATAAGAATTGTGTGGTAGATAATGTTCTGCTTTACTATAAAAAATGAAGAGAGAGCTAAGCAAACATTTTAAATATTTAAATATTATGATTATTGTTAGTGCACACTGAGAGCTAGCACCTGCCAGTCACTGTGCTGGTGCTGTACATACATTATCTCACTTAATTCTCTTCTAAAAAGGACACAGACCCTCATGTGTCCATGCTCTTAATCAACATGCCAGGCTATAGTAGAATAATATCCCAGCAGTTTAAACCAGGATGTGGATGAGTCTGATAAAATTCTAACCAGTTCTTTTGATATCTGGTTTTTAACTTTAGGGTTTGCAGGATATCCAGGTGAGAAAGGAAACAGAGGTATTCCAGGGTTTCCAGGTTTAAAAGGCCATGAAGGACCACCTGGACCACCAGGACCACCAGGTATTACTGATGCTCCAATAGAAATATCATGTTTCAAATTTTCCTAGCTCTACATATAATAAAATTTGCTTCTATAATTACTGGGTAGAAGATGAAGCCTGCTTCAATAGTGTTCTAGCAGAAATTTGCTTCCAGATTAGACCAAAAGGAAGTATTTTATAGTTGGCATATATTAACTAAAAAATATTAAACTATACATAGTTTCATTTTCTACTCAAAATTTTATTTTGAAATGGCTGATCTGTATTATAAATGATAATTTTTCATAGTATCTTATATCAAAGATGAAAATTATTGCTCTAGAGGTTTTCAGATTTGTCCTCTCTTTTTAATTGAGTTTGCAAAGTTGTGTTTCTTGTTTCATTTTGTTCTTTGTCGGTGTGATTTTGGAGATTGACCCCAGGGGCACTTTACAACTAAGCTATATTCCAAGCCCTTTCTGCTTTTTATTTTCAGACAGGGTCTTACTAAGTTGCCCAGGCTGGCCTCAAACTCTTGCCTGATTTAGAGATGTGTGCCATCATGACTAGCTGCAAAGTAATTTTTTAAACTATTAAAGTGGTCCTTCATTCTCCAACCACTCCAGTAACGAAAATGTTACACGGCAACAAAACTTCAGTATGCAATTAGAAATACCCTTTTCTGCTGGTGTTGGTTCCAGAATGACTTTGATGTTTGAAATCTGGACCTGCTGATGAGAATGTCACTTTCTCTAGTTTCACATGTTTTGATTCCCCTGGCCTTTATCAGAAAGCTATATAGGAAGCCGGATGTGGTAGCACATGCCTATAATTATAGCAGCTCAGGAGGCTGAGGCAGGAGGATCATGAGTTCAAAGCCAGCCTCAGCAATTTATCAAGGCCCTAAGCAACTCAGTGAGACTCTGTCTCTAAATAAAATTTTAAAAAAAGGGGGCTGAGGATGTGGATTAGTGGTTAAGAGCCCCTAAGTTCCATCCCCAGTACAAAAGAAAAAAAAATTAAAAAGAGAGCTAAACAGGAACTTATACCAGCTGGACCTACTATTCTGGATTTTTTACTCATGCAAGTAGCAGATATTTATTGAGTACCTACTATGCCCAGGAACTATGTAGGGCATATTACTCTTCCTTTGTTCTTAAGGCCCTCGGGGAGATCCAGGAAGCCCTGGGAATCCTGGAGACCCAGGACCACGTGGTGCCCCAGGAAGCATGGGGAACATGGGTGTGCCAGGTAATACATAAGTTCCTTGAGCTGACAACAGGTCACACTTCTAGATTTTCTATGCTATGTATTGTCCTACTTTTCCACTTAGAAGAATGCTCATATAAAATAAGTAGATTTTCTTTTAGACACAGGTATTTTGTGAAACATGAATGAGAACAAAATAAATATTTACATCATACAAAATTACATATCATAACTACCTGATGTATTCGTGATTCTGAAAAACCAGCTTCTTGGGAAATGGGCACTTTACATGAAGTTTGAAAGTAGAACTCCATATTTACCTGTTTTACCTGATATGATTCTTAATTTTAGGTTCTAAAGGAAAAAGAGGAACTTTAGGACTTCCAGGTCTAGCTGGAAGACCAGGCTTCCCAGGTACTCATGGTCAACAAGGAGATAAGGGAGAACCAGGTTACTCAAAAGACACAAGGCCAGGACCACCAGGACCAAAGGTACATAGGGCACTGAAATAATTATGTTTGGGGGTGGGGGAAGCCCAAAGAAATATTAAAAAGCATCCAGATTCAATGTGAGCAGAGAAAATTAAAAATATTATTACTTCAAGGCAGTTAACTAGATCTTTAAAAATATAACTTCCATAACTGAGGATGCCTATCAGTCAGTTGTCTGGTTCAGAAATCCTGTTTCAGCCACTGTCCCTGCAATTTAAGTGTGCTCCCAGAAGGAGGCAGTGATGATAGGCCCACACTACCTGACAGGGCAGGGTTTTTTTTCTGTTGTGATGGCTAGTCTCTACCATGGACTCATCTCACACAGACTTAGAAATCTTATAATCAAAAACACATGTCTTAGTAAGATATCACAAAAGATACAAAATAAAGTAAGTCAGAAGTATTATTAAAAGGCAAATGGAATCCTAAGATACATACATTTATCTTTCTTGTTGATAAAGTGTATTTTCATTTTATTACGCAGAGCATTTTTATTTTGTCTTAATGTTCTTGTGCTTGTGTCTGTCAAATCTAGGTTGGAGGTCAAAGCTCTTGATTGTGTGTTGTATGAAGCAGCAACCAAATGTTTCAGGAGGCTTTGGCTGCTTTTTCAAGATTTACTTTCTACCAACCTTTCTGTCTACTATAGTTATACTAACGGCCAGAGCTAGACAATTATAGCACAACCAATAGAAATTTTTATAAGTAGGGGTTTTTAATATGGGTTCCTTGGACCCCTAGAGGAATTTATGGAATCTCAAGAAACACACTCACCTCCTGAAATTGAATACAAACTGTTTGAATGCAAATTTTTGTATGGAAGAGCCCATATTTCATCAGATGTTCAAGAATATACAACTCTAAAACATAAAAGCTATTACTTAGGGAATGTTCTCCCTCTCTTTTGAGCCAACAAAATGCAACTTTTCTTAAAATTTTCATATTTTCCAGTAGTAATTGCCAAAACAAGAAAGAAAAATTTTAGATCCTTCATGGATCCAGGAAAATAACCCCTTATGAGTTGGAACACAAATTTCCTTTTCCCTTTCTATTTAGACTAGATTCTTGGGAATCCAGGAAAAGTCTCCTTCCACTGAGGAATTTTTCTTAGTGAGGAATTCTACTTGACTTTATTCACATTCAGTTAATTAGTAGTTCCATTTAGATTTAAGATTTAATTGGTAACCATCAGAACCATTTTTTAGAACTTTGTATAAGCTGGTTTTATGATATTAGCAAGAAATAGAGTAATATATTTTAATTAGCTACAGTAGAAATTTTACAAGTCACTGTCAAACCCATATGTTTTGATTTATCATAAGACTAAAATATAGATGTAATGAATATTAAATCATTGAAAGTATTTTTTGCATATTGAATCTGTTGCATAGTAATAGTAAGACACATATCCTTTTGTTAGCTATTTCTTTCTTACCCCAGTCAGTCATCAAAATTTATAATTATAAATCTGTGTGATTATTTAACATTTATCTCCCCACTGGTGTCTGATGCTCCATGAAGACAGGGCTGTATGTACCATGTATGGATATGAGATGGTATCCATACATGATTCGTACAGATCATCACATGCTGGTAAGAGGCAACTTCAAGGGTCTGCAGCCTGTGTCATCACAAAGGTCCCATGTGAAGAAGGACCCAGGCTTGGCTTACAATTCTATTGTTGCTGTTTTGAAATTAATTATTAAAAAGAGAGAGAGAGAGCAAGAACTACATTTTTATTTAGCATTGCACCCTACAAACCATGTCGCCCACCTGTTCCAGCACCTTTCATGGTACTGGCCTACAGCAGAGAACTTAATATGAATTGATGAATGAATGAATGAATGAAGTTTATTCTTAATCCTAATCACATATCCTGCTTATATGAGAATTTTAAAGGTGTTTGACTGAATTTAAGGGGGATCCAGGATTGCCAGGTGACGTGGGAAAGAAAGGAGAAAGAGGGGCCCCTGGCCCACCTGGACGATCAGGGCCTGTTGGACCTGAGGGAGCCCCTGGAAGTCCAGGAGATCCTGGCCACCCAGGTGAGCTTTGGCTTTAGGGTTCTGAAAGTTGGAAGCATACATGTAGTAACATTAGCCTCCTGGAGTATTCTTTGTAAACTCTGCTTACATGCTACAATTGTTTTTATTCAACTTGGACCTTGAAATTCTAAGACACTAAGAAAGAGTGAATTAATCAAAAGGAGTCTAATTTTACTGTTGGGAAACTAAAATCTAAAAACATACTCCTGTAAGCAAAACTTTTGAAATGCTACCTCAACAAATTCTGCCTAAAGATATGAAATGTTATTTACCTGCACAATCTTATAATGTTTGGAGGAGTTTAGAAATGTCCACAACAGATACTCCAGACAGACGGGATGGCTTAAGCAATAGAAATTGTTTTTATGAGGGTCCTCAAGTTCAGAAGGCAGAGATCAAGGTGCAGGTAGAGTTGGTATCTTCTGAGACCTCACTGCTTGGCTCATTCTTCTCCTGTCTTCCCTCTGGTTGTCCAGGTCCTAAACTCCTCTTACATAGGCACTACTCAATTGGTATCTCCAGTGGATGAGGACCCTCACTAGTGACATCATTTCTACTTAATTTTTAACAACTCGTTCTCTAAATATAGTGACATCCTGAGGTACTGCAGGTTAGGGCTTCACATGAATATGAGGACAACACAATTCAACTCCTAACACATTGCTCTGATCCTTTTGTTCTGACATATTTCTGGGTTGAACAGTGGATTGCTTTCTTATTAGCTTGCAGCTTAGGTTTGTTTTCATTGTGTTTTATTGAAAACAATTGTTTTAACTATTGGATTGCAGCTTCAGGTCTTTAAGACAGCATTTAAACTATCTGTTGGAACGCTACAAGTTTCAACATATTTGCAGCTAACTACAATGAAAACAGCACTTCAGATATTGAGTGGTCCATGTGGTTGGTATACATGTGCTTTTTAAAATGGTTTGAGACATCTCTGCTGTGGGTCCCTGGGAGAATAGCTGCCAAGACAAAAGCTTGAAGGGACCTGTCACCAGAGATTCCTTGAGGCCAGCTGGAGCACAGATGACTGCAAGAAGTGACCTTTTCAGGCACTGTTGTATACGTTTGTAAACATTTATCTTTCCATGTTTGCTTTTCCTTCCCGTCTCTCTTTATTCCTAGGAAAGCCAGGTCCTGATGGTGATTTGGGACTTAAAGGAATCAAAGGTTTCCCAAGCCGACCAGGAATAAAAGGCCCTCCAGGTTTCATTTTTGTACTTATTCTGCCCCTTTTCTTGAGGGAAGCACATTTTCTACTGAGGTTGGAATCTCTGTACACTTACTGCTCTTATAGAAGGTAGTTCCAGTTACTCAGCACCCAGACAAAAACTATGTAGTGAAAATGGAGTTAGACGTTTCTACTTCTGATTCACATATCTGCCCATGTAAGCATCCCAACAGTCACTTCTGTGATAATAGTAATCTGGGCATGCTTTTCACTATTGTCCTAGCTTTCACATAACTAGAGCTCTGAAAATTTAGCACTTTTAACAAAATTCTGCATATTTTCCTAGTATTCACACTGGTAAGAAATAAGTCCTCTCTTCAAATGCCATGGTTTTTATTTTGGTTTATTAATTTGCTTTTTTTTTTTTCAGGTCTTCCAGGATTCCCAGGACCTCCTGGACCAATGGGTGTAAGAGGTAACCAAGGACACGATGGGATTCCTGGTCCAGCTGGAGAAAAAGGAGAAACAGGTACAACTTACTCATTCTTTCCCCTTGAATTTGGTACCGGGGATTGAACCCAGGGGTGCTATACCATTGAGTTACATCCCCAGTCCTTTCTACTTCTAATTTCCAGGCAAGGTCTTGTTAAGTTGCTGGGCTGGCCTTAAACTTGCAATCCCCCTGCCTCAGACTCCCTAGTAGTTGGGATTACAGGTGTGTGCCACCACAACCCAGCCTTGATCATTAACTTTGATCCACTAATTTTATTTTGGATCGAATCATTTGGAACATTTTAATCCTTCATTGCTCTAAAGATTTTTTTCTCTGATAGAACCAATGTTTTCTAACATGTTCCTGGTGTGGGATAACTAAATTTCATTCATATATATGTGGGTGTGTGTGTATTTATGTATATATATGATATACACACAACTTACACACATATATACTCATATTTATAAATAATGAAATTAACCAAATATTAAATGTCAAACTCATCTCTTTCAGGCTTGCTGGGGGCCCATCCAGGCCCAAGAGGGAACCCTGGTGCTCCAGGTAAGCAGTTCTTTCCTGACCTAAAAAAGCACATTTCCAATGACAGAATCCAGTTTGATTTACTTGCTATATTAAATAAACTTAACCTAGTGAATTAAAGAAGTCTTTCAACGGCAATGTAACATATTGATAGTGAACATTTAATTGAATACTAAGACTATCATTAACACAAAGTGAATGGATTAGAAACTGTGATCCAATTTTGGAATTTCCTTCTTTTTTGGAGGGGGGTTGTACCCAGGATTGAACCCCGGGGGCATTTAACCACTGAGCCACATCCCCAGCTCTATTTTATATTTCATTTAGAGACAGGGTCTCACTGAGTTGCTTAGGGTCCCGTTAATTTGCTGAGGCTGGCTTTGAACTTGGGATCCTCCCATCTCAGCCTCCCAAGCCACTAATTTCCTTTTATGAAATTCTGTTTTCAAAAAGAATTCTTATGTCATTGCCTTTTTGCTAGTATGATTTCCATGTGTCCTCAGAGAAGGATGCAGGTAGAATTGCTGGCTTCTCAATGAGCATGCCTCCCTGGGGCTCTGAGACACAGTAGAAATCCCAAACCCTTCCCATCTATTGTCCTCACAGGTCCAATCCTGCCCCACACTGAGCTTGTGGCTCATGCTATTGCTATCTAGTTACTCTTTCAATGACTCAAACATGGCAATTTACCAAACATATCATTCAAAGTAAATACACATTTTTGTTGTTTGACAGACTGCAAGTCTGCATTCTCGTGCCGGTGTCTTACAAGATAGGCACCTGCTTTTAGCTCCATTTATTTATTTATTATTTGGTGCTGGGGATTGAACTCAGGGCTTCACACATGCCAGGCAAGCACTCATCACTGAACCACATCCCCAAGAGAATTATCAGACTATTACACACATTTTCTTTTCAGCCTTTGGTCCTATGCACAGGAGTATTTCATTAACAAAGAGGCCTAGACCCACTGAAAGCCTCAGCTCTTGCTGCTGAGAGAACCAACAGAGAGGAGCCCAAAGCTATTGAGAATCTTACAGGGACAGGAACTGTTCCTTGACCCAAGATTTCAATATGAAAGTAGAAAAGAGCTGGTCTTTCTCCCTTTGCTTCTTGATGATTGATTGTCCTTTTGGTTGAGCTCAGTATTTCTGTGTGTTCCAGACCCCTCTTGCCCCAAGACCATGAAGCCCTCCCCTATTCATTGTCTACTTCCAGAATTGTGCAGAAAAAAAGGAAACTTTCTTTTCATATTTTTAGGCTAAGCTCAAAATCTAATCTTTTGGAGTGAAAAAAATTATAGCATTTCATTACAAGTAAAATGTGATATAAAATGACCATACAATAGGTAAAAATGCCTTTAAAATAAAAAAGTGTAACTAACTGATGATGTACCTCAGTCCCTCCGGGTAACTGAATATGGAGAGTTAATTGAGACTTGGAAGGCACGAATCCATTCAAGTTGATCCTTCAAATCCTAAGAAGAAATCATATTGCAGAACAAGGACTTCTTTTAATGATCATAGAATGTACAACCCAAGCATCTGGATGCTTCAAATCATTGCCATACAAATATAGCATCACGGAGCTCAAAATGAGCCAAAGTCATCTAAATACTTTCTCTGAAAAGCACAAATTACAGGCTAAAAAGCTAAAGGATGTGGATAGACATGGGCCTAGATATTTAACATTCATCAATTTTATTTTCATCATAACTCTTAAGTCTTTGACACATAATCATGTCCCAGGCTCTCACTCTGAGCTGCCAGCCTCACCTTCACTAGTCCCCATCTTTCCTCGTGTTTGTCTGCTATTTTCATGCCATTTACTCTCTCAAGAGATGGGAGAGAGAAAAGCGAGATTATTTGCAGTTTGTACATTTTTCATCCATGAATGTCAAAGCACAATCTCTTAAAGATTTTCTGATATGAAAGTGAACAAGTTAGTGTTAAGTTGTGACTTTGGGGGAGCTTTTCTTTGATAAATCCAAACCTCTTGCTGAATTTGAACCTCCCAGACTAAGTGTTCTCATTTTGAGGAAGAATTAACCAGAAGACATAACAGGGACTGTAGCTCTGCTGCTCCTTCACCTGGGTCTAGCTGGACAGTACTCCAAATGCGCATATCAGTACCATGAAATTAACTTTTAATGCTCTATTGAATTATCAGTAACAGAACAATGTCATTGGAATCACAGTCCATCAGATAATAATAGATGTGGCTTACATTCATATAACACTTCAGAGTTTATACCATGTTTTTTTGTCTGTATATTATCTCACTTGATCTTTGGAGAACTGTCCTGAGACAGGTATTAATTTCTCTTTTAAAACAATCTGACAGAGACTTTTAATATGAAGTAAATTTGCTAGGATCGAACTGCCAGTTGAAGGAAGAACTGTAGACCCATATTTCATTTATCAGCCTATTTAAAAAAAAAAAAAAAAAAAAAAAAATATATATATATATATATATATATATATATATATATATATAAAATGACTCTGGTACTCTCACACGAAGTATCTACCTTACTGAAGATAACCAAAACCTGCAAGTCCAGTTACAGAAGCATAACAGAAACTTACCATGTCTTCTTGTTTGCAGGTGCCAAAGGAGACAGGGGAGCCCCTGGTTGGCCCGGCCTCCCTGGCAGGAAGGGAACAATGGGAGATGTTGGGCCTCGAGGACCCATGGGCATAACAGGACCCCCAGGGCCACCAGGTCGGCCTGGGACCATCATCCCTGGCCAAAAAGGAAATCGAGGTCCACCAGGTTCAAGAGGATATCCAGGTAGAGGGTTTACTTTTAAGCTAGATAGATTGAAAGTCACATTTGACATCTGAAGTTCTCATCCTCTTTGTGGGACTTCATTGCTTCCTTTTGCCTCTGGCCTCCATTCTCCCTGGATCCACGGTTCTCACAGCTGTTAGACTGGTGATGGTGCTGAGGTAGGGCAGCCTGCTTGAAAGATTAGCAAGTACAAATCAATGATCCTGAAAGAGACACCTATATTTATTGAGCTTCTATTACAGATCAGGTCTAGGGCCCAGGCACAATAATAGACTGCCTGTATGGAGAAGCTATTCCTAACTGTACTGGGTGCTTTACTGGCATTATCTTATTCTGTCTTTACCCCGGTACCATCACACACAGCAGAGGAAAGGATGTTTGCAAGGATAAGGTTCAGGGTTTGCACTTTATTGGAAAAAAAATCTCTGATAGAACTTTCTAGGATCTCTTACTGGCAATAATGACAGGTTCTTTGTGAATTTAGGTGATCCAGGTCCCCCCGGACCTCCAGGGAGTCATGTAAAATGCATAAAAGGTGACAAAGGATTTATGGGCCAGCCTGGCCCAAAGGGTCTACCTGGATCTATAGGTGATATAGGGCCACCAAGTCATCCGGTGAGTATGGAAAATTCTTTTGACTTATTACTAATGCAATATTGACTTATGACTGTTGTTATATTGCAAGTAGAGTGCATATTGTCAATATTTATATTTGCTCCTTGTTAATCCAAAAGTATTATTTTACTCTTGTGAACCATTTGCCAGGATCAGATGCACCTGGAGGCAACACAAGTTTAGCATTTGTGATGCATCTGTGCTGTGCCCCTAAGAACAAGGATTCAGAAAATCAAAGAATCCTAAGAGTTAGGAAGATCTGGCCCCTAAAAAGCCTCTAAAACTTTGGTCTCTCTGGAAATCACCTCTACAGCATTCCTAACCCTTGCTTAATTAACCTCTGAACAATTCCAGTGGACAAAAGCACCCAGTTTAAAATCATCCAAAATGACATCATGTTCCCCTCTACAATAGGCTTTCCAACCAATCTGTGCTATCCTGTTTATTATCTCCCCATCACATACTTCCAACATTTCTAAATAGCTACCATTTTTTCCCAATTATTTTCTACACAGATAAATACTTGAATTTTTCAAATCAGTCAAACTGCTGATCAACCTCGCCTCTATTCTGAGTACACCCTAGTTTGTCAATATCTCCCTTTAAAAAAATGTGGTCCCTGGGAAGAAAGCCCTCTGGAAGGAATATCTCCATGAGTGGCTAAAATAGGGAAGCATCTCACCATCCTGAACACCACTATCTTGGGAATCCAACCCAAAACCTTGCATGGGCCTTTTGGCTGCCCATTACCATGTTGTCACTCATTGAACTTATGGTCAGTTGAGCTTATGTGCCTTTTCCTCATGAACTGCTACTACATTTGCTCCATGTCTCGCTTTGTGTTGTTGATATTTGTGACTTATGTGCAGGACTTTTACATTTACCTTTTGGGGATGCCATCCTATTTATTTAGGCCTACCCATGCTCCCAGCCCAAATCTTTCAACGTGGCGTCTCCCTCAATGCCCTCTGCCTCTTCCCCCAGTGTTCTCTTAGTAACATATTCAATATGCTGATTCCTTTGTGTATGCATGTCTCTTGGAAACATGTAGGACAGGAAGTGTAGCTTGACAATCTATAGAGCGTCTACCCTGTGCTGATCGAACAATAAATGCACACAGTCCTCTGCCCCGGAGGAGCCTGCAATAAGGTGAAGAAGACAGACACAAACAGTTTGCTGAGAGGAATGAGGGAGGGCTGAGGGAGCATGGGAGAGTGTTTCGTCCCTCCTGTGAAGGGAAGGTGCTTGGGAAGCGTTACTCCTGGCCTGAGTCTGAAAATATGCATAGCAGTCATCCAGAAAAACAAGATAAGTAAAGGTGGGAGCCTGGAGGAGGAGCTTTCGGAGCAGAGATGATGAGTGTGTGTGAGCGACAGGGCACACAACTCAGTCACTGGAGGCTGTGGTAGGGGTGAGACACATCAGGAGGAGATGCAGGGCTAAGCAGAGGTCAGTCACGGGGGTCCAGTTTTCTAGACTAAGAAGCAAGACATCATTTGTTTATTCTAAAAGCATTGACAGAGCAGCTCTGTGTGCCTGGAGTCCTCTCTACAAGTTAGAATTAATTCCTTAGTTAACTGCCTTCTGATCTGGCCATTCACCAAGCCTTAAATCCATCCTGGTTGCCCTGTGCAGCATTTCCACACACAGACATGACACAGATACCGGTGCTTTGACAGTTTATAGGAAAAAACAGATCCTCAGTGCTTTAACTCCGATTGCCTCTTCCTCTATCCTCATCAGTGGCAAATTTAGAGATACTTTGGCAAGACCATTGTCAGGAATCAAGTTAAACTCTCTTCGGTTCTCTTGGTATTTAGGTTCTAGAATCTACCTTTTAATTTTGAAAAAATGAGGTATCTATCTCTTTCCAGTCTGTAGGTGCTTCTCATGTTCTCCTTAATGCTTTGAAAATTGTCAGCACTGATCCTATGATGGCATCTAAGTTCTTCCAGGGACACTGGGAGATAGAAAGACTGGTTTATAAAGTGTTCTCACATTTCAATCCCCTAGTGGTTTCGTGGCCAAAAGCTTCTACATTTGCAATTGAAAGATAATTCTTCTTGACGGGTGTCTTGACTGACCCCTAACAGTTCTCTCTTTGCACAGAGCAGTTCCCTCCTACACCAGGGCTTGTCCTGGCACCAGGCCCTCCTTAGTTCCCCTGGCTCAAGATAATAAGCAGATATCTGAAGATAGAAAGTCCTTGAACAGATGGCTGTCTTTCCTCTCCCTCCTCTTGTAGCCTTGCACTACCTCATCCAAGCAATCGGACCACTTCTTGGCCCTTTGGCTTCTTAACAATAGGACTATCCTTTCTTTGCTCTTGTTCCTTCACCAACAGTTGGCTCAAAGGCAAGTTTTGTTATTTTTTACATATTTCATGACTTTCAGCTCATTATTCTCAACAATAGCATTCTGTCCAATTCCTGTGGACAATTTGAGAGTAGATTTAATATACACTTTGACATATAGCTCAGAAGCCCTGCTCATCTCCCCTTGTGTGGCCTCACTTGAGTATCTCATGGCCTCAGGAGCAATAGTGGGAGCTTCATATGGTGGGAGCTGCCCTCTTAGGTCATGTGTCCCAGCCAAATGTATCTGTCAAGAGCTTTCTCCCGTTCCTCTACCATCTTTGGACACTTCCCTTCTATCACTCTCACCAGGAGGAGTTTCTACCTCCACAGCCTAGTAGAATGATGCCCAACAACAGCACCATCATCTTTACAACCATTACAAGTGCAGATATTGATTCTCATTCTGGTGGTCTAGTGCTTATTCTTCCTAAAAGATCCCCCCATCCTGAGCAAACTCAATCAGGATATAAAATATCTAATTGTATTCAATACTAAAAAAACATACAATAACATTAGAAAGTATGTTTGATCGTGGACTTAAAGGAAATTTTTATTTCTTTTAAAAAAAATAACAGTCCTAAGGAGAGGTCTAGGTGACAGAGTTATAGATAGGTAAAACACTGGACTGGATGGTAAAATATGTCTGTCAACTTTAACTCATTCTCATCAAACATAATGTTACATTCTTTTTTTTGCTTAAAAAAATGCCATGAGTATCATAATTTTTAAAATTTATCTGTGGTTTTGCTCCCTTCTTTTTGAAATATAGGGAGCACCAGGTACCCCAGGTCTTCCAGGGCTCAGAGGTGATCCTGGGTTCCGTGGATTTCCAGGCATAAAAGGTACTGTTTTTGTGCACTGCTCTTTATATACAAATACAATTTTTCACATTTAGAGCACACAAATGTTTGTTGCACTCCTGTGAACACCACAGACAGTGAGCATCAGTACAATTAGGACCCTAGCATGCATAAAGACTCCACTGGCACCCAAGCCCAAGGGACTTAAAAATTAGAACTATAATTTAAGGATGGAAATGATAGAAAAGCTTAAAACAGAACTAAAGTTTAAAGTTACCTTTTAGGGTATTGATATGTGTCTGGATGAGCAAAGGGGAGCTTCATCAATATTAATAGTACTGTTTTCTAGCTGTTTACCATATGTGCTTATTATTTTCATAATTTCAAAAAGTTGAAAAATCTCAAAGACTTGGAAAAATAAGAAAATTTTTATATGCAGATTTATACACTTGTTCTTCTGGGTCGTGTGTGTGTGTGTGTGTCTGTGTGTGTGTGTTTGAATGGAGTACTGGTACTGGGGATAGAGCCAAGGACCTCATGCATGGTAGGCAAGTGCTTTACCCCTGAGCTACATCCTCATCCTCCCAAATATCTGAAATTATAGGTGTGCAACACAGCACCCAACTAAAATACAAGTTCTAAATGCCGACTTTGGGGCATATATTTTATAGAATGAGGAACATGACTGATTATGTACAAATGGAATGCCAAAACCATGTGAACATATTTAAGGAACATATTTAAGTTGTGGCCATCACCATATTGTGCCATAAAACTCTAATTATAACTTCCAGAATTTATCCTTAGAACCAGGAAATCAGTTGTCCTGTATGGCATCATTCTTTTTCTTCTTCTTCTTTTTTTTTTTTTTTAAGGAGAAAAGGGTGATCCAGGATTTCAGGGATCAATTGGACCTCCAGGGCCAATTGGGCCGAAAGGACCACCCGGTAAATATATCTCCATACAATTTACTGCTCTCCATGAAAAAAGGGTGACTCATCCACAAAGCCCTCTTCTTATTGCTTTTATATCAATAGGTGTCCGTGGAGATCCTGGCACACTTAAGATCATCTCCCTTCCAGGAAGCCCAGGGCCACCAGGCCCACCTGGACCACCAGGGATGCAAGGAGAACCTGGGCCAGTGGGATCACCAGGAAACCCAGGTGTGGACCTGGCAGCAGTGACTAGGATCTCTAGGAAATGATTGAACCATGATACCTGTAAAGCACTTTGGAGGCAAATGATACAACTTCACAGAAAACTTTAAACATTGTAGTGGGCTTTTTTGTAATCAGTTTTAGGACTGAGTTCAATTACCCTTGACTAGCAAATAAAAATCCTTAGAATCTATTGGAAACTGATGTATATAGTATAAACTTGGGCCCTCTTTGTTAAGATAAAGAAGGCATTACGTCTATCTCCTCTGACAGCTGTCAACCTTGGAGCTCTATTTTGAAATGACTGCCTAAATATACCCAAGTTCTATGGATTTAAACTTTTCTAACACTTTGTACAGCAAAGTGTTAGGAAAAATGACTTTAAAATCTTTTAAAAATATTTGTGTTTGGAAATTGAACTAATCCCTTTACATATACTTAGCATATTATAATAGACTTCCAAAAGGAACTATCATGCTGTAAATGTTTGTGAATCACATGGGAGATGAGAGATATTTCCTATTAGTTTGATCAATACATGGGCATAGTCAATTCTGGAATAGAATAAATCAAAATGGCAGCACAATTTTAAACTTCTATATTGATATACTAATAATTCATTTTAGGGTCTTTTGTGAGGGAGGCAGAGGTAACAAGTTGGATGAGCAACCATTCCACTTTGCCCAGGATGGAGGGTCATCCTGGAATGCTGGACATTCACTGCTGAAACTGAGGAAATCCCAGGTTAATGGGGATGGTTGACCACCTGACCTTTTATCCTGACATTATGAAATGAAGGTACTGTTGTTTTTTGCCTAGGACCCTGTGGACCAAGAGGCAAACCTGGAAAGGATGGAAAACCAGGAATTCCTGGACCAGCTGGAGAAAAAGGCCACAAAGGCCACAAAGGAGAGCAAGGTAAACAAATACCCAGTTGATTCCTTTGTTGATAGCGTGCTGTTTCAGTATAAAAGGGGGTCTTGTCTGAATATGTGAGTATAAGGGTAATCTAGGTCTTTCAGTTTGTTTTGTTCAGATTAGACCAAAGATCAACAGCTTGTGTGGAAGAAGACGGGAAATTAAGAATTACTGGAATACACTAGTTTTCTTACCTTGGGCATATATACTTTAAACTTTCAGCCTGATGTACAACTTAGACTCAGGGCAGATAGAATTAATGAAGCTCTAGTGGATGTTCCATTTTTAGAAAGGCCAATATTTTTAAATTACTTATAAGAGTTGGTAGTTAATAACTACTTATAGCAGTGTTATATGAATATAAAGTTAGGAAAATATTATCTTGAGATGAACAGTAGAGCAATTTAGTTTTCTTATTTAGGAATGTCATCTTTTAACTACACCATTGTGAATATCACTTGCATCAGTCAACCTTAGGCATTGTGACCAACTTGGAGGAGGAATTTTATTTTGTGCTCACAGTTTCAGAGATTCAGACCATAGTCAGTCAACTCCATTGCTTTGGGCCCAAGATGAGGCAGAACATCATGGTGGAAGAGTGGCAACCGAGGAAGCTGCTCAGCTCATGCCAGCTGGGAAGAAGATAGAGTGTTAGAGTTCAGGAAGAGAGCCACAGTGAAAATGCATCCTTCCAGGACAAATCCCCAGTGACCCACCTCCTCCTTCCATACCCCACCTGCCCACACTTATCGCCCAGTCAAGTCCATTCAAGCTAGGATGGACTACTTAGGTTATAGAGCTTACAGTCCAATCATGTCACCTTTGAATATCTCTTCATTAACCAAAACCATTTCATCACTCAACAATTCTTTTGTGTGTCCTGAAAAGGGGCCTCTTAAATATGTCTGAATAGAAGCTATATATGTCAGTTCATAACCTGGATCTAAATCTACCTTCTGTAAAAGTTTCAAAGTATCCCTTTGGAAAATACCAACATGTCCCAATCTTATATTTTTAGGATTGCTGACTTTGTTAAAGTAAGAAAAACTTCTACATGTGATTTCCCAGTTTATTTATATGTACATATGCCCAGATATAATAAAGACTAGAAACTTAAATCCTAAAAATTCAAATATTATGCTATTAATATTAACTTCATAGTTACCTTTGATTTAGTATTCTCACAAGTGCTCAGTATTGTTAAATTTTACATTTTCCTCACAGTGTGTTTTCAAAGAGGTAAAAAACAAAGCCCTAATTAATAATTCTATTAATTTATAAACTATAATGATAAAGGCAGGGTTTCTGAATGGGGCACCAGCAAGAACAACGGTACTACAATACAAATTATGGTGAGAATTATTATAAGAAGACACAGTCCAATGCTATGGATGCCTCATAACACTGATAAACTGATAGACTTGGCCCCTTACTTGGAGGTACAGAATAGCCTTAGATACCATGCACTGGTAGAGAAGCTAATCTCCTGCCCTGCTTCAGCTAATCACATTACAACTCCCATGCAGATATTGGAAGGTGTTTTTGCTTGGGACTAATTATATCCCCTTGTGAATGAGAGTAGGGGTTAGGGATAGTAAAGAATGTGTGCCTCTCCTATATTAAAACTGTGGCAATTGTGGATTTTTAAAGTAATACATGAGAATTTTTTGCCTTACTAATGGATCAGAAAGTTTATTGAAGTTTTGCACCTTTAAAAATAAATTTCAGTATTTTCTATAACTGTTTATTGAATTTATCCACAGCATTAAGTAATTTCTTAGTATCTACTTGAACACACTTTCTAATTATAGATATTTTCTTTCTTTTCCCTCACATTGTAGGAGGACCCATACATATTTGTTCATAAAAGATGTGCATACACCTTCCACATACAGGCCATTGTGTGCTAGGCATCACAAGGGAATTCAGAGATAAAGAAGACCTGATCTCAAAAAACTCATGATAATACACACAAATATCAATAATAAGAGGACTTTATGACTAACTGGTTAACATTTAATGATATTGCTTGGTCATTTTATAACTAGGATTCCTTTCTATATTTGAAGCTTAACAGAGACACAAAAGCATTTAAATTAGTACTTCAGAAAACAATTCTGAGATTCTCTTTGTGTTGCAACATTTATAATGTGGTTTTTAAAGGACCGCCTGGATCAGATGGGTTACCGGGTTTGAAGGGAAAACCTGGAGACATTGGCTTGCTTGCAACAGAGACAAGAAGGAGGGGCTTTGTCTTCACCCGTCACAGTCAAGCAACAGTGATCCCTGCATGTCCAGAAGGGACAGAGCCACTCTACAGTGGGTTTTCTCTTCTCTTTGTACAAGGAAATGAGCAAGCCCATGGACAAGACCTTGGTAATGTTCTGGTCAGAGTTTCCAGTTGTTTTGCTCCATATGTAGATTGCAAACTTTTTAGTTTGGGGTGCTTCCTCTGAAGATAAGTAAAAACAACCTCAAGTGTCTTCCAGTACATTTTAAAGAGAGCAACTGGCTTGGAGTCTAAGTTGCATTCTGGTATGTAAAATGCTAGAAGGAGTCAAACCTGTCAGGTTCAATTAAAAACATTTTCACTTAAAACATCTGTCTTCTTCTTATTATTATTATTTTTAATTTGTTCTAATTGGGTATATCTGTCTTCTTTTTAATCCCCAAATGATATTTTCTAAGAAAATTTTATGTGACTATTAGTTGTTCTGAGTAACTAAAACTATTTGAAGCAAAGACATTGCTTTAACCAAACTACACCAGCCCACAAGTTCTAGACTGATAAGAAGGGACCATAGGAAGTATTAAGGATGGGAATAGAAGGATTTGTTTGCCTGCTGGGTTTTTATTTCCATCATGACTAAAACTTATCAATATGACATTTTACAAATAACTAGCTTGTGTTGTCTTTGATCAGTCTGCCTCTCTGTTTTAATAGAATAATCTTAATTTAATAGAATAATCTTAACTGATATTCAGTTCCATATTGTATTAGGGACTCTTGGGAGCTGCCTACAGCGATTTACCACCATGCCATTCTTATTCTGTAATGTCGATGAAGTATGTAATTTTGCATCTCGGAATGATTATTCATACTGGCTGTCAACACCAGCTCTGATGCCAATGGACATGGCTCCAATTACTGGAAGAGCCCTGGAGACTTTTATTAGCAGGTAAAAATCCAGTCCCTTAATTTGGCAATGGGACTAAATGAATTGCATTGCTTGTAATGGAATGAAACATTGCAGAAAGCGGCAATGCCAGCACAATGTTGATTTCGTGTTACAGATGCACCGTCTGTGAAGGTCCTGCGATGACCATAGCTGTTCACAGCCAAACCACCACCATACCCCCATGTCCCCATGGCTGGGTTTCCCTCTGGAAAGGATTTTCTTTTATCATGGTAAGGAGAAAAGGAACAGCAAAACTATAGTAAAGATTCCCTGCAGAATGTTACATTGTACTGGGTGAAATACTTGGGTGAAATACATACAGTCTCCACAATGGACACTGCCTGAAACTGTATGCAAGATGCCACAGATATTTGACAGTTTACAAATATACTCTTTAAAAACAAAACAGTGTTACCTGTGCTGAGTAAAGAAGTGTTGAAAAAAATAGACTTCTCAAGACACAATATTTAGATTAATAGCAACTACCCTGTATTGTTAGGGACTATCTTTTTGTCTATTTGTGTATATGTGTGACAGTTCCTATATATATCCTCTAAAATCCTAATGATAACCCTGAAAGGTAGTTTGTATCATCTACAGTTCACAAATAAGAATGAAGTAATTTCCTCAGGGTCCCATGACTATGATCGCTTTGCCCATTAATAATCTGTAATTGTTCATGACATGTTCTCCCCCGTCTTTGCTCACAGTCATCTATTCATTCACTCATTAATTCAAAAAAATTTTTATTGAACACTACCATGTGCCATGACTATCCTAGGCGCTAGAAATATCAGGAGCCAAAGTTTCTGCTCTCACAAAGCTTATATCCTGGTGATGAAGACACGCAATAGGCAAACAGACAAAATCCCAATAATGGCAGCAGAAGTCCAGTTGACAACAGGTACTATGGAGGAAATCCGGCAAGGTAATGTCAGAGGTCAGATGAGGTCAAGGATAGCCTTCCTGAGGTCACCTGTATGCAGATGCTGGAAGAACAAAAAAAAAAAAAAAAAAAAAAAAGGCCATCAGACATAGGGAAGGAGTGTTCCAGGAAGAAGAAACAGCTTTTCCTTCTTTCTGATGACTATATCACAACCTGAAACATGGCTAGAATACTAGCAAATCTGGATAAAGAAGTACAAGAGGTTTAATCCACTTTTTATGGTTCGTTTCCCTGCAGTTTATATTAATCCCCACCCTCCAAAAAAAGTAGAGAACTGAACATTTGAACATCAATGGACAGAGATTTTATTCAGATTTTATTGTGATAGTTCACAAGCGCAGGTTCTGAGGGCGCTGGGCAAGCGCTGGCATCCCCTGGCTCCTGCTTGGAGGAATTCCGAGCCAGTCCATTTATAGAATGTCATGGAAGAGGAACGTGCAACTACTATTCAAATTCCTACAGTTTCTGGTTGGCTTCGTTAAACCCAGAAAGAATGTTCAGGTAACTATTCAACATTAAGCTTCATCAACTCAATTGCAGAACTCCAAAGTTGTTCCATTAGCTTTTCTTTACCTATGTATTGATGTTCTCACATTTAATTCCCCACTCTATGCCAATATAAAACCTGTTTATCTTGGCACTCCCCTAGTTTATAAGTGTTTTGAAGTTAACAAGTCACTACAGCTTTGAACTACAGACAAATATGGGATTTTTACTATCACTCAACATAGTATTTATATATGAATATATAATAAATTAACAAATAAAGCCACTAAATGATCTGCTGTACTGTATTAGAAGACTTGTGAATAATACAGATTATTTAAGGGGTGGGAACAGTTTTTAAAAGAAAAAAAAAAGATTATCTTGTAAATTTGCATCAAGGCCAATGTTTCCTGAGTGCTGCTGAAATACAACTTAAATTATAAAATGCTGATATATATGTATGTGTGTGTGTCTATGTATATCTTTCCAGAAATTTACCTCTTCTATAAAAAATGTTCTTGTAATAAATTTAGAATAGGTATATTAATAAAATTCATATCCAGCAAATATTCCCTTTTTTACTATAATTTAATGAGGTTTTTTTGTTGCCACTGCTGTGTTTTTATTTCAGAAAACCTATGCCATCAACTGTGAAAGCTGGAGAGTTAGAAAAAATAATAAGCCGCTGTCAGGTGTGCATGAAGAAAGGACACTGAAGAAGTAAAAGAAATGGAACTGCTGGGTTTTTTTTCTCCCACATAACAAAGTAATGACTTGGAACAGAAATTTATTTAGGATTTTTCTCTCACCAAACAATATCAGTTTATGAAGACTAAGTAGTACAGTTTCTATTTGTTTCTCCACACAACAAAGTTAGTTCTGTGATCCTGGTCTCTAAAATTGTATTGTTTCAAAGTTTCCTCTGGTAAGGCAACAACCTGTCACAAATTATCAATGAAATGGCATTCCATCCCAGACCGCTATCTAAGTGGTGGGTGTATAGAGCTGGAATGCTCAAGAAAAGAGATATTTGTTCTCTCCTCTTCCAGTCTTTGAGGCTGAGGGAGGCTAATGCAGTCTTAGATTGCCCTGCCACCTCCTTCCTGAAACAAGAGGAGAAGGAGAGAGGGTCACGTGGAACAATGGAGCATCATGAACAGAACTGGACTTTCCGACCTGTGGAGCAGCCTATGGCCTGAGGGAACACAGGCTTAAACTGATGAAGTTCATGACTTTTCCAGGACCCTTTCAAATATACCCCAAACTAAGGCCAAAGAGGATTTCCCTGAATGGAATCATAACAGCCTTGGTCTTATTTTATATTTCTTTGAAGATTTGTTTATTCATTGAATTCATCTGTCAATATAGGCTGCCTGTATTCAAAGTAGATAAGATGTTCACACTTAGTGAATTAACTTTAATAGGACACAGCTACATTTACCCTCAAATGTGTCAACTTTTAACTTCTCTTGTTTAGTGTACCCACAAAAATAATGAGGATACTACTTATTAGATGTGCACTTTATCCCCATCCCTATAAATGCTGGCACATATATAATTGGGTTTGATAGTTCAATAGTTCATGAAAGGTTATGGCATTTGTTGGTTTATCATGCTCAATATTTTTGCTCTAAATATTCCATTATTTGTTTTTTTAGATTTATTCCTTTACTTTTCTAATCCTTTCTTTATAAACAACAAAAAAGTTTTTTTATGTTATACATTCTTACAAACCATATTGAGAGAGACCATTGTGTAAAAACCTTAATGTATAAATTGTATAATTTGGTAGCTGTATGTCTTAAGACTTGTTTTGGTGTGTTGATACATTCCCAGGCTTCCTCAGTTCAACTAAAAGGCATTGTAATCAGCACCAAGCTATGTTCCAGGCACTAAACTAAATTAGAGAAAGAGAAGAGGAAAAGAGGGAGAGAAAAAAGGGGGGAGGGACTGTTTCTGATCTATATCTCAGAAAATGGTAAATTATTGCTTCTCTTAAGAATCTTACACGGGGACTGGGGATGTAGCTCAGAGGTCAAGTGTATGCTCAGCATTCAAACCCAGCACCAAACCAACCAACCAAACAAAAATCTCATATACATGAGTTGTTCTCCCACCTTTTATTCTTCTTTTATTGTTGCTTTTAAATTTCATTATTATAACTCAGAAGGCCTGAGTAAAGTTTTGAAGATAAGATCCCTGCCCAGGGAAAGCCTAGGACCTCCAGCTTCTTTTAGACCCCATAGAAGCTAAGGTCTGAACAACACAAAAAAAGCACTGCTCTACAAAACATTTAAAAAATCATTTGTATGTGCTGATAGCATAGTTCGATAAGTCTTAGGAACCAGGCATCATGAGATAGTTTTGAAGATGTTTCTTGATTCACTAAGGTGGAATCAGTGGTGCTAAAATTTAAATTCAGGCTATTGCTCCAGACTCAACTGCCTTGTAAGGGAAAATGTGACTCTGGAGTACTGATACAGTTTACATCCTTCATTTTTCATATGCTTGCTGTCAAGCCATTTTTACCCCCAAACTGAGACATGCAGGATGTCATTCAGAGTATGTACTTAGATTCACTTACTATTAAGACTTAACCTGCCCTAAAAATATCTTACAGTTTCAACTGTACATAGTGGTGAAAAGGGCTCACTGATCTACATAGGCCAGTAGTTCTCAACGTGTGGCCCCTGGATGGGCAATGTCAGCACTGTCTGGGAACTTGTTACAAATGCAAATCCTAGGTCCATTCTAGACTTGGGAAATCAGAAATTGTGTGGGTATAGGCCAGAAATCTGTGTCTTCACATGCCTTCCATATGATTCTGATGTACTCTAAAGACTGAGAAAAGCTGCTCTAGGCAAACACTCAAGGCACTGGCTATATAGTTGCCTCTTTTAAAAGTCCAAATTCACAGATGACCCAAAAGCAATCTACTTTTGCTCCTAAAACCTCCTGACTGGTGCTAATGGCAAATGCTTGGCACTCACTCAATTGCAAGCTCTATCTCCTCTTGCCCTCTTAACAGTATTTGACTTCTGAGGAAGACAAGTGATGCTAAAACCTTAAATTCCAAGGAAGCTGCATAAACAGCTGTTGTTCAGTCATAATTCTAAGAGTGAGCATTAAAATCCAGCTCATGAATTATTTTCCAAATATTTAGATGTGGCTTAAAAAGTTATGAAGATTTAACTTTGTAGATAAAATGTAAGTAACTTATTTCTTTTAAATTTGGGGCTTCAACTTTGGAATTTCACAGTGTGCTAAAACAACCGATTTCTCAGAGTTCTTTGTTTCTACAAGATAAACATTATTAATTTATTTATAAAAGTATTAAAATGTCTAAATTCGAGTTTTATTGCTAACTTACAAAGATTTTTCTATGTATCAAATGTAACTGCTACTAAACTTAATTTAATATTTACTCTATAACCAAATGGAATATATTTAAAATATATTGAATATTTTATATTGTTATATCCTGACAAAATTACAGTATATTGTAATGTACTAATATTTCTGTAATTATAGCTAAAATATTATTTTATTGTATTGTTAGAATAAAACTGAAAAAATTGTATTTGGCATTTGTTTTTTCAAAATAAAAATAATTTTAGATTGTAAAATTAGATGTGCTCTGTGAAAACAATAGGCAATACAGAAATTATGATGAAGAAGAATATAAAGACCATTATGATCTAATCCTCACCCCAACCCAAGATAACTGTCAAATTAAGGTACATCACCCCTGCTGGATTTTTTCCTATCTATATAATTTTTAAACAAAAATTAGTTAGAAGCATGCTTTATTAGTAGTTTTTTTTTTTTTTTTCCAATTTTGAAGGTTGAACTCAAGGCCTTAGACAAATGCTCTACCACTGAGCCACATCCCCAACCCTCATTTTTTTTTTAACTTAATACATTGTGGACAGATCTTTATATCAGTAGATAAGTACTAATCATTTATATCATGGTACATCATGTGGATATACAACATAAGTCAATAATCCTCAACTTATGGAGACTTAGTTTCATTATAGACATATCATGTCATTCTACATTTGTCCAATCATTCCCTCAGTATAAATCGCAAAAAAAAGAAAATTAAATGTCAGCCCTTTTTATATTAGTGGCTTATTTATTTATTTTTAATTTTTATATGTTCTTTTTAGATATATGTGACAAGAGTGCATTTTGACATATTATACATACATGGAATATAATTTCGCATTCTTGAGGTTGTACATGATGTGGAATTACACTGGTCATGTATTCATATACGAACACAGGAAAGTTATGTCCAATTCATTCTACTCCACAATGTTAGGTCTTTTGTAGATGTAAAAAAAAGGCTCTGTAAAAAGGTTAGCCCTTTTATTTTTAATTTATTTATTTTTTGTACTGGGGATTGAACCCAGGGGTGCTTTAATACTGAACTATATCCCCAGCCCTTCTGCCCTTTTTATTTTATTATTATTATTATTATTTTTTAGAGAGAGAGAGAGAGAATTTTAATATTTATTTTTTAGTTTTCGGCGAACACAACATCTTTGTTTGTATGTGGTGCAGAGGATCGAACACGGGCTGCACGAATGCCAGGTGAGTGCACTACCACTTGAGCCACATCCCCAACTCCCCTGCCCTTTTTATTTTGAGACAAGGTGTCACTAAGTTGCTTAGGGCCTTCCTAACTTGCTGAAGTTGTCCTCAAAGTGTTCTTTTACATCTTTGCATATTGTTTAATTTACATTTTCCATGTTATCACTAAGGCTAAACATGTCATTTTAATTGAGTGAGTGCTTATTAAAAATTTTCTGTGAAAGCCTTAATCATATCTTTGCTCATTTTTCTATTGAAGCTTTTAAGGGATTTTATAAGCCAGTAATTTTGAAAAGCATATAGATTATAGAAATTATGGGTCATATATTTTGATAAATGGTAATGGATACTCCTCATCCAGGAAAACAATTCATAAAATTTCATATGTAGAGATTTGGGAAAAAAAATTGAAATCTCAGAAAAAGGAACTTTCAGGCTGTATTAAATGACAATAAAGATACAACCAAGGAATGAAATGGAATGAAGGGATCCTGGGTAATAATTTTTACAAGACAAAAAAAAATAGTTGAACAAATAAATATCTTAGAAATACTCTCAGTTGTAAGCTAAAAATATGATTTGAAAATTCTTTGGTTAAAAAATGTACAAAAACATTTTAATAAACTCACTTTTTATGGCTGGTAAGTAGAATCAACCTGGTGATCAAGCACATTATCTTTCTCTCTAGTATAAGCCTGTCTGGAAAGGAAAATCAGATCAATCTCTAATGGCAAACTATTATAATAGCAAACTATTAGCGGGGCACTTTCAAAACATTAAAAGTAAGTGCCTCCTCTGGTTCGTGCTATAGGTACTGGAAATTAACAGATAAGCAAACACAGAGGAAGAAGTAATTAATCTTTCATAACCAGGCTAAATATAAACATTCAGATAAATATGTTCCTTCCTCCCCTTTTATTGACTCTATGATTTTTATAAACATGTTGCCATTGCTCCAACTCTTTTTAGAACTACTGCTTTGGAATTATCTTCAATTCCAATTTATGAGCTGAACAAGGAAATATGTCTCATTACTTTATATCTGAGATCTACAACATGCTCAATATGTTTCTATTTTATTGTAAGAGAAAACAAAGACATATCCATGGACAATTATAATACTGGGCAGAATATGTAAGTGCTAGAAGAGACGACAAATAGTGATTCAGGAGGTGGAAACTGCAGCAAATAATTCCTAAAAAAGGGGACACTTTAGGTAATCCTTTAAGGGATGTTAGGATTCTAAGAAGCAGAAGATAATCAGAAGTCAGTTGGCATTCCAAGTGGCAGGAAGAGAATGGATAGCAATAAATGGTTATGAAATAATGAAACAATCTCAGGGAATAATAGTGGTTAAGAACAATATACTATCTGCACACATGTAAATAGAGAGGCACAATAGAGTAAGTCTACGACGTTAGATAGGGCTTAGAACACCAGGTTGAACTTTACTTCACTGATTGGTACTGAAGATTTGGTGAAGATTTTGAGAAAATGAGTGGAATTATTATATAATCTGGAATTAATAATCTGGAAGGTCCAATATGTAGTATATGCTCCTCAATTTATGATGGGGTTATGTCCTGATAAACCTACAGGAAGTTGAAAATACCATTAAATCGAAAATGCATTTAATGCATCCAACCTAGTAAACATGATAGCTTAACCTAGCCTGTCTAATATGCTCAGAACACTTGCATTAGCCTATACTTGAGCAAAATCATCTAAAACAAAGCCTATTTTATAATAAGTATTGGAAATTTCATGTGGTTTATTGCCGAATCTACTGCAAGCACAAACCAGAAAGATATTTTCTAATTGCTAGCCTGGAAAAGATCAAACTCTGAAATTCAAGGAATGGTTTATTACTGAATGCATTTTGCTTTCATACCATCATAAAGCTAAAAAAAATCATAAACTGAACTATCATAAGTTGAGGACTTTATATATACGGTGCTTGTCAGGCTATCTCATACTTTCAAGTTTTTAAAAAATTACTGGATTACTGTTAATAGACTTTTGAACTTGTATAAATCAAAAATTTCTTTCAAACTGGGACTTCAAATATGAGATGTCACAATTTATAAAACTAGGTTCCTTGTTGACTCGATGTCTAGGTAGAATTAGAAAAAGACTGAAGATGTGTAGGCTAGTAAAAAGAGTAAAAACCTAGATGATGGTTAATGGCCTACCAGTAAGAACAGATAAAGCAGATAATTGGCATTGAAGAGAGAATGATCTAAAGCATGGGTTAGGTATTAGACAAGATTCTTCAGAAAAACAAGACCAATAGGGTGGAAACAGGCAGAGAGATTAGATAGATAGATAGATAGATAGATGAGAAGAAACTCATTGTGGGAAATGGCTTATGTGATTTGGAGGTCTAGAAGTCCCATCTGCAAGACAACCGTGGTTGAGTCCAAGTCCAAAAGTCTGAGAACCAGGGTTGCTGATGTGTGGAATGCTCAGTCCAAGGACAAAGGCCTGAGAAACTGGGGTCTACTGGTATAAGTCCTTAAGTACAAAGACCAGAGAATCCAGAATTCCAATGTTCCAGGGCTAGTGAAGATGGGTATCCCAGCTTTGTGTGTGTGTGTGTGTGTGTTTGTGTGTGTGTGTGTGTGAGAGAGAGAGAGAGATGGGGATGGGGAGCAGGGGTGTTCTACTATTCCAGCCTTCAGTAGGGTGGGGAGTACCCATTATATTGGGTGAGGGTGATCTTGTTTATTCAGTCCTCATGCCCTTAGAGGCATACCTGGAACGTTATGCCAGTTATCTGGGTATTCTTTAATCCAATGAAGTTGACACTACAAATTAATTGTCATAACTAACTTAGGAGACAGTAAAAGATAACTTCAGTATTTTGAACTTTATTGACTAGAAAAATAAATCTTGCCATGATGAGGGGGAAAAAGGAATTGAAAAAGTATCTGGATGGAGAAGAGGGAAAAACATTTAGTTTGAAACCCTGTTGAGAACAAAGCTTCAGTAAACACTAAGGCATCAGGATGAGATGAAATGGATGTACTAATTTAGATTTATATACTATGAGGTTGCAAAGACAGTCAATGATGGAATAAATCATAAACAGAAATATCCACATTAATGAGGGAAGAGAAGAAAGACCCAACATGAAGCTGTATCACACAAAAAGAGAGTGTACAGTTTCTAAGCACAGGAGAGAAAATGCAACCTTCCACCCATCCTTAAGAGAATCTACTACCAGAAAGTGTTAGGTACTTTGACATTTTACAACACTCTCATTTAATTTAGCAGAATCGTATTATGTCAGAAGATAAACAATGATCAGTGTTATGGGAGAAGACACTAGGTTTTATAACTCTATCACAATCTTCATTTAAAAGTTATTCAAAAACATTTTTTCTTTGCGGGGAAGCAGGAACAAAAACCAAACTGTAAGTATTGAAGAAGTGGAAAGGTTAATGGAAGTAGTAGGACTCTCATTTAAGGTTTTGATCACAGTTTGCCCAGCTTCTCTACCTTCCCCCAAGATGCTGACTTGGACTGACTCATCATTATTATTGAATCTATTCTTTAAAAAAAAAATGGTTTGCCACTACAGGGTAGCAGAATATAACATTTTGGCATAAAGATTATTTTGAGTCAAAGGCACTTGAGAAAACAGCAGATGCAAACAAGCACTCTGGCCTTCTTCTCTCTTCCTGAAACCAAGAGATAAAACTCCCACATGAAGGGTGACTTCCTTGTACTGGGAAGACATCTTTATCGTCAGAGTCAGGGCGTCAAGGCTGAGAAAATGAGTACAAACCAACCTTGTTAAACTAGCTGTTATCTGCCCAGTCAGTTCTCCACAGTCAGCTGCCCTGGCCCACACTCTTTTTGTCTTCTCACATTTTCACAATTTACTATTCTTTGTTTGACCCAGTATATAAGATTTGGACCATAACTGCTTCCTTGGGTTTTCATTTTTCTAGTGACAACTCCAGTAAAAATTACTAAACAAAATCTGTATGCTTTCTTTCTCTTATCTGTTTTTTGTCAATTTGATTATTAGGCCCAGCTGAGACGCAAAGAGGAAATTTAACCTTCCTTATACCAATATTAAGATGGGGCCCAAGAACACAATTTGGAAAGCTACCCAAGTTATTTTAAAGACTGGTAACCTCTCTGATTCTAGAAAAGTACATCACTCATGTGTAAACAGTATTCCCACGGTAATTTCAGGGCAAGGATGAGGGACTTGGTTCCACAACCCCCACAGATAGATAAATCCGTAGATGGTCCAGTCCTTTATAAAATGGTATAGCTTTTGCATATAACCTACCCGCATCCTTCCATATACTTTAAATAAGTATTAGACTATGTATAATACCTAATACGATGTAAACAGTTGTCAAAGTCTACTGTTTAGGCAGACTTACAAGGCCGTGGGGAGTCTGTACATGTTTAATGCAGATATACATGTTTTCCATCTAAGGTTGGTTAAATCCAAAGATAAACAGCCATAAATGCGGAGGACCATCCCGTTCTTCACTATCGAGGCCTACACAGTGTTTCTTGGCTTGGCGTCACTTTGTCCTTAGGTTAGTGAGCACCACTCTCGGTATGCAGCTCTGGACCCCAAAGTTCCAGAAGGAAGTGTTAGAAATTAGGTGGGAGGGAGCTCCCAGGAAGCTAAACAATGCTGCGAACCACCATGAGACCTAACTGAACTTCCCCCTTCCCAGGGTCCTTCGCTGGAGGGCTTAGAGAGTAATCAAAACCAAAGTGCTTAAGAATCATTCCCAGAGTTGTTTAAATATGCAGACTCTTGGGCTTCGCACCAAAGACATTTTGACGCAGGTGGTCTGAAAAGCTGTTATCTTAACCGGATTCCAAAGGTTTACCTTGTAAACTAAGATCACGCACGCTAATTAGCGCTAACCGTGGATCAAATTTAAGTACCTCCAACGTTACTTGAGGTGGGCGTATTTTGCCCACAACAAAGATGTCTCTCTATCGCCGTCCTGCAGGTCCCCACTCCTGTGCGTGAGCTGTACGTCCGCCCTTTCCCGCATCACATGACCAGAAACCTGCTTCCTCTACGGCTCCTGAAAGGGGCCAGTCCTGGCCGTTCTCGCGTCTCTGCTGGCCCGCTGAGGGCCGCTTGGCCGGTGCTTTGCCCCAGCGCCTCAGTGCGCTCGGCCAACGGCCTCTGAGACTGCTCACCCGAGCGCCCCGGGAGCCGGCGGGCCGCGGCCCTCTCTGGGACTCTCCAGCGGGCCCAGGGGTGAGTGCTGACGTCTTCCCGATCTGGGACTCCCACCGGAGCCGTCCTCCGGGCCTAGCGCTGCGGCAGTGACCCTCCGGTCGACCGAGAGCCCGCGATGGCCCAACCCGCCTGAGATGTCGCCCCGGCAGCAATCAAGTCCCCAGGCCTTTCCTCCTCAGCATCTTGTCGCCCTCGGATTCCGAGGAGCGGAGGAGAGCGCGGCGGCGGAGCGGCGGGTCCTGCCGCTGTCGGGCCCGCCTCCTGGCCTTCCCAGTCAGCGCCCCGGTGTGTGCAGAAGTTCGGATTTGACTGCATGGAACCTGAGCGGGCTTGGGAAGCCGGGGAGAGGCTTGCGAGCCCGGTTTGACCTTGAGCCCGCGGTGTTTAAAGTGGCTTTTTGTTGGGTTTTGTGGAAAATACGGTTCGGAAAGAAGGGCCGGTTGGAAGCCCAGGCAGTGGCGTCCGCGGGTGGCCGTGCGTCCCTGGGAAGGCCCTGCGGCTCTGTGAGCATCCTTGCTCCGGGGCGGGGATGCCGGCGTTGCGCCTCGCAGGCCCCCGGGAGCGCAGAAGCAGGGGCTGCTGGAGAAGGTCCTTCCTGCAGGAGTCCCCCTTCTGGGGCCAAAGATAACCCCCAACTAGGCAGAGGGAAGAGCGCTCGTTCTAAAGTGGTGGTGTCCTTTTATTGCAGAAGATGAACAAAGCTTATGCCAAATATCGAACCAGTTAGTGATAGGGAATGTTTTCTCTCCCTGGGAGGAAGACATTTCTGCATCAATCCTCTTGGCTAATGAAATCCCACAAGAAAAACCCTTAGGGAAATTAGGACGATTTAAATTGCACTTAGTACTTAGTCTGTCCGTGCAATTAAATTGGGGGAACCTGCCATCTTTTTGGTTTCCGAGTCTTGTGGATTCATAGGCTGTTTTTCTTTCCAAAGGAAGTTGTGTGTTGTCTCCCTGTCTGATAGGGCTATCTCATCTTAGAATTACGCTACTTTCCCTTCTGGTGTTGAAATTTTCTGTGCCTAATAGATCTTTCTCAAAGTGTTCTGTGACTTTTCTTTAAAAAATGAAGTTAACCCTGGATCTCAACAATTTTTTTTTTCTGATACACCATAATTGCTTAGAAAGAGAACCCAAACAGGGTGACCTAGATAAAAACCTTGAACCAAGTCCACACAATATCTGTTAAAGAATTGGTTTGGGGTTTTTGTTTGTTTGTAATTGTAGAATTATATAAATTTCTACTGCCACAATTAACTCAAGTTGTTTCTGTGATTTTCTAGACTTTATGGTGTCCAGTGTTCTGATTAGAAACTGAGAAATTGGGCTTGAATCATTGTGTCTCCAAATTGGTACATTTTTCTACCAGTGGTTTATAACTTGACTCTAGATGCTAATATAGATGAGGGTTTGTTTTAATAGTTATATTTTTGTTACATGTATTTATGTGTGTACATAAAGTCTGTGGTTTAAGGTAGATATCTAAACCTTTCTTTAAATATTTTTAAGTCAAGTTGAAGAAATTAAGTGCAGCCAAAAGTAAATCTACTGTGTGAATGCAGGGGGCAGGGGACATGAAGTTTGAAATTATCTTTGATTCTGAGGGAGATTTTTGTTTCATTAGCTATATTAGAATCATGTGCTTGTTGCCTAGTAGATGCTAAGTGACAAAACTTCTGGAATTAATATATTAACCCCAAATGAGAAGTTTATTTATTGCTAAAAGATTTTGCTCAAAGTGCCCTGTCCAATGAGGGAGAAAAATAATCAAATTCTTATCTGTTTTATTTAAGCAGAAAACACAGTGATTGAGACAGCAATATTAAATCAGTGCAAAAGTTTTATTTGCTTTTAAATTTAAGTAGTTCAAGTACAGAAGATTTTGGATTTCTCCAGAAGTTGTTTTTTCACTGTCTACCTATGTGTTTGTTCTAAGTCCATGATTCTTTACAAACTCAGAGATTCTCATAAGAAATGATGCTACTGTGGAATGAAATGTTGAGACCCTTGAGACGTTCTAGTGCAAAGTTAATAAGAAGACTGAAATGCAGTGAAGAGAATGTGGAGACCAGCACATTTCAAAGAAATGATGTGTTTCTAACAATTGATGTCCATTGTTTATTATTATAAAAATTCAATTTATAATATCCCAAAGCTGATATTGTTTTGGGATATGTCTTTTCAGTGTTATTTCTGAATATAAGCTTTCACTATGCTTCAGATAGACTTTAAGAATTTGAAGAGTATCTCATCTAGAACAATGCACCAAACTAGTAGAGGTTGCCTTTGGAGACCTGAGTGGTTGAAGACAAGATTTATTGGAACACTTTATTTTCTCCATATGTTCTTATGTACATTGCCATGTACATTTATTACTGATTCCATTTTAAAAACATTTTAAGTGAATGGAAATTTATTTCTTATGCACATATAAATATACGTATAATATTATTAATTTAAATATATTTTCTCTGTCATATTTTTCTAACTACAAATAAGAAACAATGATAGAGATGTCTTACTTGAAGAATAATCATAGGGTACTGCCTGTGGGACTAAAATTGGTGGTAAGCTTATTTTTTTTTCTTTATTTGTTTGAGGAGGATACTGGAGAGTGAATCCAGGGGCGCTTAACTACTGAGCCACATCCCCAGCCCTTTTTTGTATTTTACTTAGAGACAGGGTCTCACTGAGTTCTTAGTGCCTTGCTAAGTTGCTGAGACTGGCTTTAAACTCAAGATCCTCCTGCCACAGCCTCCTGAGCCTCAGGGATTAAGGAGTGCACCACCATGCCTGGCTCTTTCTTTATTCTTTTATTCATTTCTTAGTCTAAAGTTGTATATCTTTATGACTTTTGTCATTTGGAGAATTTCCAGTTGGAAATTGGAATTTCCAATTAATATTATTATCCTCTAGTTTCTCAATTAACTCCTGTTTTTCTTTCCCAGGAACAAAAGTGGCTCTAACTCCAGCACGTGCACAGTGAAGCAAGTTGAAGGATTTAATATGAAGCACAGAAGCAGATAGTACCAAACAGCAAGCAGTAGTTTGTACACATTTGTGAGTAAAATTTTCTCTTTGGCTTATTTTCTTAGCTTGAAACTCTGTATGCCCAATCCTTAGAATTTAGACATTTTGGTAAAGAACAAAAGAAGCTAAGTTAGCATTCATAATGAAACCAGTTGTCAAGGCTCAGCACACTAAGCAACTTCTGAGAACTCTCTTGAGTGTCTCAGTTAGATGGAATTTAAGATGTAGAGTACATCTGTGATATGGAGTTTAAGAAATATCCCAGCTATGGTGAAGACGTTTATACTGTCTTTAATTGCTTATTGATCTGGACTTATATAATATCATTTACTAAAAGCTTAGTGTAATTTGGTTTTTGAAATTTATATGCCTTTAAGAAAGCCATTATATACATATACATCAAATTTTAGGCTACCTCTAATACATTTATTATTATCCTTTGCATTCTCTTTATGATTTCTTCATTTGTGTTTTGTCTAAAAAATTAAAGGTTTTTTTTCTCCTTTGGAATATAATGATTAAAGGAGCTTTATAGCAGTGTTGATTTTTTTTTCTAATTTAATACCAAATCTGTATCATCAGTACAGTTTTTCTTTATCCTGCTTGCAAAATTGCAACATAATGTCTATGCTTAAAAGAATGATAAAATTATCTTTATTATAATTTTTGAGATACAGAATAACTCTTGAAGAAAGATTTCAAAAGTGATTTCTTAGCTCTATTCCAAGTCATTTTCAAGTCCAAAAGTAATGTTGAGTATATATTCACTTTTATTCATAGTTTTCTTATGAAATGAATTGTCAAAATACTGATTTTTATTCTTTCTTTTTTACAGCTGGAAAAGCAGTGTCCGTGTTGTTATGTACACCTCCAAAAAAAGTTCAGATCTGTAGGGGAATTGTTGTGTAAAGTAAACTGAACTACAGGGTAGCAGTATTTTAATAGCTATTGTAGATGTGTATTTACTGTATTAAAATGAGTAAAAGATCAAGCAGTGACACACCACTAGGAAGGTCAGTGAAATTTTTTTCAGTTGAGTTAGTATTAAAGTTTGAAAGACAGTGCCTTAAAAGCTGTTTGCCATAGGCTAATCATGCACTTTTATGCTTTTATCAGCTTTTTGTACGTTAGGACAATATTCTCTCTATGGCATTTCCCTGGAATCATGTATCCTTCTCTGATTTAGAAGGCTAAGTAATGCATTTGTACTGTCTTTTCCCCAAAGATATTTCATGCTTTTGAAGAATACACATATAAATAGCCAGGCATGCTGGCTCACACCTGTAATCTCAGTGACTTGGGAGGTAAAGGCAGGAAGATTGCAAGTTGAAGCCAGCTTCAGCAATTTAGGAAGGCCTGAAGCAACTTAGTGAGTCTCTGTCTCCAAAAAAAAAAATAAAAAGGGTTGGGAATGTGGCTCACTGATTTAGTGCCCCTGGGTTCAATCCCAGTACTCAAACAAACAAATATAAAAATAAATAATGCGATTCTTTTAATCCCTCAAAAAAATGAATGTATACTTTAAGGGTTTATTAATATTGTCTACTTGCTATTCATTGCATCTCAATCATCAGATATATGTTCAATAGGAGAGGTTTTAATTTGTATTTTGTGATTTTCAGGGGGCCACATCTTTTCAGTAAATTCAGCATTAACATTATTCACCTTTTGGGTCTGGTTTTCATCATTAAAAGCTTTTGTTTTTGCATGCGTGACAGCAATTTCTAATTTATATAAAGTCAAACAGCTTTCTCTTAAATAATTGTTCAGGGTTTTTGTTTATTTGTTGTTTTATTTTGTTTGCAGTGCTGGAGATAAAACCCAGGGTCTCATGCATGTTTGGCAAGCGCTTTACCACTGAGCTACATTCCTGGCCCCCTGATAAGGAATTTTTAATTTAAAATTTATTTCAGGCATTATTAAGTTATAAGCATTATGCATTTCTGTTTTTGCAGAGGAAGAGTATGTATTTTCTTATGTATGTGTTGCGGTTATACAATAATTTTAAAAATTTGTTCCTGAGCAAGCAATATCTTCAAGGTGCAATTTCAGCTATTAGGTGAAGACATTGTGTTGAGGAAAATATTATCTTTAATCTTTTTTTTTTTTTGTGTATGTATTCAATGCTCAAAAATGAGATGTTTCCTTTTGCTTTATTATAAGGTATTGTCTTCTGATAAGACAGAATAGAGGACTGGAATTCTAATACTTAGTCATCCTGGTCTTAAAATTTTCCTTCCACAGGGTAAGTGGGGCAGCATTTCCTTCACCCACTGCTGCTGAGATGGCAGAAATTAGTCGAATTCAGTATGAAATGGAATATACCGAAGGTATTAGTCAGCGAATGAGGGTCCCTGAAAAACTAAAAGTAGCACCACCAAATGCTGACCTGGAACAAGGATTTCAAGAAGGAGTTCCAAATGCTAGTGTGATAATGCAAGTTCCAGAGAGGATTGTTGTAGCAGGTATTTCACGTTTGTTTAGAAAGTTGCCTTATAATCTGTTTTACATATTTTTGTGAAACCTTTTGGGGTTTTAAAATATTATTTAGAAAAGGGTTTGGGAAATACAACTTTGTTTTAAAAAATTTCTACTCATTATAACTGCTTGAATTTCAAGCAATTTCAAAAGTATTTTGACAAATTACTGAGATTTTACATGGATAGTATGTATACATTTTTAGGTGTACAACTGATGATTTTTGATAAACTTGTAACCATGTAACTACCACAGTTGATATGACCATTTTTGTTACCCAAAAAGATTCCCTTGTGCTTCTTCTCCATCATTCCCTAGGCCTCAACTCAAGTCAACTAAAATTTCTTTCTATAACCAGAGACTAGATTTATCTTCCCTAGAGTTTCATATATATGGAATATAATATATACTGCTTTGTCTGGCTCCTTTTGCTTGTGCAGTGTTTCTGAGATTCTTCCATATGGTTGCATATATTAATTGTTCATTCCATTTTATTACTGAACAATATTCTAGTATGTAAATAAATCATAAATTATCTATTCATCTGTTGGACATTTGAGTTGTTTCCTTTTGGGAGCTTTTAGGAATAAAGCTGCTATGAATATTCATGTACATGTCTTTTTGAGAACATATGTCTTCATATCTTTAGAAATGAAATTGCTGGGTTATAAGTTATATTTAACTCTTTCAAATGCTGGCAGTCTATTTTCCAAATTATTGTCTCATCAGTGATATGAGTGTTGAAGTTGTTCCACATTCTTGCTAAAAGTTCATATTTGTCAGTCTCTTTAATTTTAGTCATTTGAAGGGGTGTGTAATAGCATTACCTTTTGATTTTAATTATTATTTCCCTGATGATTAATAATTTTGAACATCTGCTCAAGTGTTTTTGGTCACTCATATATCTCCTTTTGAAGCATTTATTCAGATGTTTTGCCAATTGGAAAAATTGAGTTTTATAAAAATTTCTGTACATATCTGGATACTAGTTTTTTTAATCATGTATATACTGCATAATTTCTTTATAAATTTCTGTGTCACAATACTAAATAATAGTGAAATATTAAACTTACAGTGAAAGTGTAGTTATAAAGAAACTAATGCTATTGAGTATGTTATAATACAAAAATGATACAAAGTAAATATATTTAAACCTACCCTCTTCTTTTTTTTTTTTTTTTTTCTTTTCTTCATCTTAGGAAATAATGAAGACATTTCATTTTCAAGACCAGCAGATCTTGACCTTATTCAGTCAACTCCCTTTAAGCCTCTGGCACTAACAACACCACCTCGTGTACTTACACTAAGTGAAAGACCACTAGATTTTCTGGATTTAGAAAGATCTCCAACACCTCAAAATGAAGAAGTGAGTAGAGTTTTAGTATCAATTGAATTTGAAAGAATATAAACAAAAGTAAAAGTTAAGGAGAAATTAAGAGGCTATGTATCGTATCATTACATCTTTCCATGTGGTACACTGCTACTGTCAATTCTGATTTGTAAATTCTCCAAATATTATGCTATAATTTTTTTAAATATGCATCAGGAAAATTAAAATCTTGTGGGAAATATTATTAATATTCATGTAGACTTGAAAGAAGAACTTTTATGACTAGATGTTATATATTAATACAGAGAAAGTTGGAGAGTTTTACAGTAGGAAAAATTAATACATCTCTTTTTATAAACTCAAAGTTTATAAAGTCTGACAGACGGAGCTAAGGAAACTCTTTTTTTTTCTGTCTTTCTCTTTTTACAGTACTAGGAATTGAACCCAGGGATGTTCTACCATTGAACCACATCCTTCCCTTTTTAAATTTTATCTCAAGACAGGATCTCACTATGTTGGTGATGCTGGCCACAACTTGCAATGCTCCTGCCTCAGTCTTCTAAGTAGTTGGGATTATAGGACTGGGCCACTGCACCTGGTACAAGCTCTTTTTCCCTTGACCTTCCCCATTCTTGATAATTGATGAAATGTTTCTACTGAGTTAGCTACAGTACCGCATATAACATTAGTACCCTTATTGACTAAGCATAACAGTATGAATTAACTAGTTTTTAGCAGTAAAGCTCAAGTTTTGCCTCTGCTATTAACTCAGGACCAGTTTTTTTTTTTTTTTAAACTTCTTGATGATTTAGTTGCATATTTTTCATTATAGCTTCTGAACTTCTGATGTGATGTCATGAGGCTTGTACAGGACAGTAATATCAGCCAGATGCAGTGGCACATGCCTGTAATTCTAGCAACTCAGGAGGCCAAAACAAGAGAATTACGAGTTCAAAGCCAGTTGTGGCAACTTAGCAAGACCCCATCTCAAAATAAAAAATAAAAAGAACTGGGATATGGCTCAGTGGTAAAGTGCCCTGAGTTCAATCCCTGGTACTACAAAAAACAAAAACAAAGATCATGCGCAAGCATTTTTTTAAATTGGTCCTGCCTTTCTCTGCTTTCATTTTTCGTGCAGTCCATTCCAAAGGGGGTTAAGCACTCATATAAACTAGGGTAATGCAATTTCCTACTATTAGGTTTTGCTTATTTTTAGGTTTAAAGTTCCTGCTGAAGTACTTGAGATAATATACTCTTAGGTGCCAAATTGTACATTCTAGATATGCTTAGTGAAAGCACTAAATTTGATTCTTTACATGACAGAAAGGCACCAAGGTACTTGTAAATTTTTTTTATTGAACAATCATTTTTTGAGCTTCTATATATAAGACCTGAATATAGTACAGGAGTGAATGACAGATAGCTCCTGTTCTCAAAAAATTTACTATTTGCCTGGTGTTATGGTTTAAATGTGAGATGTTCCCAAAAAGCTCACGTGAGACAATGCAAGAAGGTTCAGAGGAGAAATGATGGGGTTGTAAGAGTCTTAACCCAATCAGTGATTTAATCCCCTGAAAGGGATCGACTAAGTATTAATTGAAGTGGTAGGGTATGGCTGAAGGAGGTGGGAATTGGGAGCATGGCTTTGGGGTATATATTTGTATCTAACAAGTGGAGACTTCTCTCTCTGCTTCCTGATCATCGTGTGTGCTGCTTCCCTCTGCCACACTCTTCTGCCAAGATGTTCTGCCTTAACCACAAGCCAGCCTTCTATGGTCTAAGACCTCTGAAACCGTGAGCCCTCAAATAGACTTTTCCTCCCCTAAAATTGTCCTGGTCAGATAGTCACAGGAGCAAAAAAGCTGACTAAAATACCTAGTCACTGAAGGATAATGCTGTAAGGGAAAACATCGACACACAGAAGATATAAAGTTCTTTATTAAAAAAAAATGATAAAGATTATAAAGATGGCTACACAAAGCAAAAAGTGCCACAGAATGCCCCCAGTTAGGGGTCTACTTTCCAGCTCCCCAGAGTTTCCATTGGAAGTTAAAACTGTGAGAAATACTGTCTTGGAATAAGGATTCTAACAGGAGAGAGTTGCTTTATTTGTTATTTGACAGGTTTTGTTTTTCTTTTGATCTTTCTGAAGATAAAAATAATGCCAGTGCATAAGATTGTTGTGAAAATTCATGTTAAAACTCAGTGTGTATAGACATTATTGTTATAAAAGAGTAAACATCCTATAGCAGGATCCAAGTCCTGAAAGAGTTTCTGAGAGTAGTACTAGCTGCCTACTGAAAAGCTTTGACGGTAGTCTGTACTTCCAAGTTTTTAGAAGGGTCAGGTAGCTGTCAGGAGGTAATCAACCAATGAATGGGGGAGGGAGCCAGAGTTCTTACAGCTGTTAGATATGGATTAAAATAAAAAGGCAGTAGGCTCTGCAAGCTGATGACATTGATGATTCATTCAGTGTATAAAGTGACATCCTCAGAACCATTTGCTCTATAGTAATCATTCCCTAAGAGATGCCAGGGTTTCTCTATTGACATCTTGAATTGGAAAACTTGACAGTGAGGGCTGTCCTTTGCATTGTGGAATGTTTAATTACATTCCTGATGTCTGCCTGTAAGATGCTAGTAGCATCCTCAAAATCATGACAATAAAAAGTATCTCCAGCAACTAAAATATAGAAACAGATCAAATTTCCATCAACTAATGAATGGATTAATAAAATGTGTAATATTCAGAGAATGACTATTAACTGGTAAAAAGGAATGGAGTACTGATACCTGGTATAACATGAATCAACTTTGAAAACATGCGAAGGTTAAGAAGCCAGATAGAAAAGGCCATGTATATTCTACTTGTGTGAAATATTCAGAATAGGCAAATCTATAGAGATGGAAAGCAGATTAATGATTGCCAAAAGATTGAAAGAGAGAGAGGAATTAAGAATGACTGTATAATCTGGATGGGGTTTCCTTTTGTGATAATGAAAATGCTCTTGAACTAGATAGTGGTAATGTACAACATAGTGATCATGCTAAATGGCACTGAATTATACACTTAAAAATGGTTAAACTGGGAATTGTATGTTATGTGTATTTTACCACAATTAAGAAAAAAATATCTGCAGACATTGCCAGATATTCTCTACAGGTCAGAATTACCCTTAACTGAAAGCTACTGTCCTATGTCAAGAAAGGAGACTACTGGGGAAAGACTTATGAGAAATAATTTAAAATTGTTGTTCAAAAGCCTAGCTAATGAGTTGAATGTGGTAGTGCATATTTGTAATCTCAGTTAACCCTGAGAGGCTGAGGCCTGCCTGGACAACATAGTGAGACCTTATCTCTGAACAAATGAATGAGAAAGAAAATATGACTGACTCAAGGAAAAAAAATTGTAGAAATCAAATGCACCTAATTTCCTAAACTGGCTTAAAGAATCCAAGTGAGTCTACATGAAGGGCTTAAAACCCTTTAGCTGAAGTCAGTGGGAGATCTTCCAGAGTACAAGAAGAGAACAGTACATAGAAAAATAATTGGGAAATGATACTTCTGAGAAGATTTGACAGCTGTGAGGAGTGTGACCAAGGCAAAGATTTGGATTCAGCAACATCTCCTTTCAGTCAAGCAGCAGTATGCTTTGTAAAGATCAGCTATAGGTAAATGTCAGAGCTTTATGAAAGTTCTTTGAAGTAGGAAGAGAAAACAGACTGTAAAGGATGAGTTGTAAGAAGTTTTTGCCAAAATTCACAATTCCTGCTTCAAAGAAGAGAAGTACTAGAATGCTATCCATTTCTGTAATAAATCTTTAGAAAAGCACCAAACCCCAAATGTGCCTAAGAAATATTAGTTAATCAAAGGCAATCTGGAAGGAGCAAACCAGTTGGTCTGAATAAACTTTACCTGATTTTGGAAGAAAAGAGCAAAGGCAATGAATGTTTTCTTCAGAGAAGAAACTTATCTCCGAGCCATGTCAAATGATCAAATTCTACTATACAAAGTGTGAAGCCAGAACTCTGGGACTAGGAGAAATATTACCCAGCTAGAGCCAACTTCATCACCAATTACACTTAGAAAGCCATGGTTATAGAAGCTGAAGGATAACACAAAAGCTATAGACTCGGTAATCCTACTGTAAGGGTCTTGTTCCCTACTTATTAGTGCCTTATTGACATGAACCCTGAGGAGGTGAAGCTAAATACCATATCTGATCTGAAGTATAGGGAGTCACTCAGCTATGCAACAGAGCCTGAAACAATTGCAGACTCCGCCGGCATTCCATGAATACTCAAGAGGGCCCTGTAATAACTAGAAAGAAAGCAAGTCTCTCGTCTTCTTATCCATCCTTACGGTGCATGAATAAATGCACCTGGTTGTGGAGTTGTTAAATTTTGCTTACAATTGCCTACAAGTAATTTTGATTTGGGGCTTAACTATAACATACTTTTGCAATAGGCTTCAAATGGACTCTTCTGTTTTCAGATGTTATTTTTTTCACAGACCCTCCCTCAGTCTTTCTCCAGTATCTATTGTTGAGCAGTATTCATTTCATATACTATGTAGTTAAACCTACAGTGGTTGTGTCTGTATTGAAAACTATAGATTTTTTTCTTTCTTCTCTGAGCAGTACAGCATAACATCTCTTTGTGCAGCATTTATTTTGTATCGCATTAGGCGACTTAAAGTGTATGGGAAGATTACATAGCACTATGCCATTTTAAACAATATACATGTCTGGCAGTAATTCTTGGTTGCTTTTCCTTGGTTCCTTGTAATTTATATGAATAACCCTGGATTAAGATTCTTTTGATGCTGAGCAGCTACTAAGAATATTTTCTGTCCTCTTCCCTTTGTGCCTTAACAGATCCGTGCAGTTGGCAGGCTAAAAAGAGAGCGCTCTATGAGTGAAAATGCTGTTCGCCAAAATGGACAGCTGGTCAGAAACGATTCCATGTGAGTAGAACCGCTACACATTGTATCATGTTTGTAAGTTTTCTCAGTTTATTGTCTATATGCATCTTTTTCTAAATAGTTATTTCCCATAATTTTGGAATCTGTTTTACATTTACATCAATTTTGTATTTTTGCAGTACTTTTTATAGCCTTAAATCTGACCATTTTGTTAGTTGTATGAATTTTTCAGTAACATTATCTTCTATGTGTGACTGATACTCTTTTGTGAGTATGATTGGCTTATTTGGGAATTCTATAAAGTATATTTAATTGATGAACATAAGTGCTCAGTTATAAACAGTCTTTAAAAATGTTTATCATATACACTGAAAAATAAAACAGAATAGAATGTCTTTATTTTCAAGTTATTGATATCATGATTGTAAGTCAGCCATTTTCAGCTCTGTCTAGTGAGCTGAGCTGTGGCAAACTGCAGGATAGATAAGTAGAATTTTGCATACCTTTCCAGGAATAGTGTTTGGTGTTTAGCTTTCTACCTGCTGATTCTTAAATTGATAGGTCCCTTTCATTAAAAAGAAAAAAAAAATACAGAGATCTTGTTTAAAGAACTATTTGCTTAAATTCTTCTTTCTTATTTGGTTATGTTATCACATCATGATTTTAAAACTACTCTAAGATGTTGCAGATTAGGAAAATGCTTTTTATTGTTTTGTTGTAATTAACTGATTTTTACAAGTAAAATATCCTTTGAAAACTGGTCAGAATTTTAAATCTTACACTAGTAAGATCATTTAGATTATTTATACAAATTAATATTCTTCCTCATTAATTTTTGATCAGTTTCCATGAATTCATCAGGACCAAATGTGTTATCAACCATAATATTAGCTTCTCTGAGAACTATGAAAGAATCAGGTGGTATTAGATCTTTTCTGGAAACTTGAAAATCTAGATAAAAGCAAAACATTTAATTTTGTATACAAAATAAGTAGAGCACAATACAATTATACTATTTATATCAAAACAGTAAGTTCTAGTTTGTACTTGACTAAAGAGTGTGGTGTCCAGAGGGACTTTGATGAGGGTAGGAGCTTAATATTCAAGTTGGAAAGAAAATGTTTTTCATGTGTTTTTATCCTTGCTTTGAAAGAAGTCTTATGTACGAATCCAATCACTGAAATTCCAACTTAAGTGTAAATTATCTGCTTGCTTCATTGAAATTCCTTTCTCTTATGTTAGGTTCAAGAGAGAATTATAACTGCTCTGATTCCTTAAGAGTCTCAAATGCCCTTTAACAAAGTTGTTATTCTGTAGGGTTATATAAAAAGAGAGTTAAAAACAAATGTATCTCCTTTAGGTATCTAAAAGGTTCAACTATTATTAATATGAAAGTATCTATGATTAATTTTATCTTTCCTGGAAGGTATCTGGTTGGCAGATATGATGCAACAAGTTCATAAGATCCATATTTTCCTAGAATATTTCCTAATATAGCAAACAAATAATTAAAAGCTACGTAGTTTATGGCTAAGTTAGATTAAACACACCTAAAGTCTTAGGTTATTTTCTGTTTTTTTTTTTTTTTTAAGGTAGCAAAGTTTCTAGTAAACTTTCTTACTATATAAAGATGTGATTTACTACTTAGGACCTTAATTACTTTGACAAGTTCCTATAACATAAAAAGATTAATAGTGTTCATTTTTAATTTTCACTTTAAATAGCTTTGATGCCACTTTCTAGTTGTTTAACAAAACTAAAAATTTTGTTTTGAAAATCCCATTTTTGACAGTGAAAGTAACGTGAAATTTTTATATATTTCACAGTGAAACACTTGATATTATTTAACCATACTTTTTGTTATAGTTGTTATACATGTTGCCATGTTAGTAGTAAGATATTTAACTCTTTATGTTAATAATGAAACTTTGCCCTTTCTTCTCCTACCATTGTTAATTTTATAATTTATAATATTCGTCTTTAAGGATTCATATCTCACTAATTTTAGGAATTTTGTATAATGAGCATATCACATATTCAATGCTGTTAATGTGGTAAGAAAAAAATTAATATAATACAGCTATAGTTACCTCAATTAAAGTAATTATTAAAAGCTTCCTGCCTTTACCAACTTAAATCTTTTCTTTGTAGTGGGAGACTATGCATCATTATGCATGAACCTTTGCCTGCTTCCACTTTATTTTGTGAATCTAAAAGTGAAAGAGCAAGGGCATAGGCTTTTGTTTTTTTACTGCTTCAAAGAGGCAATAAGATTGATTATTGTCACCTATTGGCAAAAATGAATTCTGACAGTAGAATCATTTCTAGCTTTTTTTGTGTGTTATGAAAGCTGAATATGTGAAAGAAGCGTAATTATTATTTAAGGTGGCACAGATCAGATTCTGCCCCGAGAAATAAAATTTCAAGGTTCCAGGCATCGATTTCTGCACCTGAATACACGTAAGATTTTATCTGCTCTGCTTTTCACAAGTAGGAGTTGTTCTAATTTTTCAGGCTTCTGTTAATACTAATTAATTAATCTATTTTACTAGGTAATTGGTATGTACTACCATAATTCTCTTTTTCTTTGGCTTTTTAAGTACTTCTCTTTCAGGGTTTCTCAAACTGTCATCATACATTTTATTAAGTAAAAAAAAAAAAAAAAAGACCAATTGAGAAAGTTTTATGTGGTTATACGTATTGGTGAAAGGAAAATGGAATGATTAATGCATAAAGATAAAGCACCTTTTTCTATTTTCTTTATTTTGCTTTGGTTAGACTATTAGTATTCTGTAGATTCAACTTAAGCAGTTTCAGTAATCCAATTTTTTAAATTTTAGCACACTATCTTTTCTTGTTTAATTTTGACCCAGAAGGAGAATGGATTCTTTATTGAGGTTTGTTATTGAAGTTGTTTGTCTGCCTTTGTGTATTTTTTTAATTTGTTTTAATTAGTTACACATGACAGTACAATGATCTTGACATATCATACATTTGAATCAAATGGGATATAATTTCTCATCTTTGTGTATTTTTAATTCCATCTGTTAAATTATTCTTGGAAGAATTTTGTGAGATCCTTAAACTCATTTTTTTTGTAAGTGTGACAGAATAAAGTGTGGTAATGACTGTGCTCGCATGAGAGGAAACATTTTGGTGTTGTGCAGTACAAAAATTCAACAGTGAATATAGTTCTTTAGGAAATAAAGAAACCACACTAATGGCCAATAGTTTTTCTCTTATTATGGTTTTATTATTATGCTTCTGGTGACTAGTAAATTATCTTATAGATAGCAATAGCAAATTAAAATTTTCTGTTTCAAATTTCAAGAGAAATTAATATAGAATTTGTGTTTCAGTTAAAAAAAATATATTAAATTCTCTCTCTCTTTACCACTGAGCTTCACTCCAGTTCTTTTTATTTTTTATTTTGAGACAGGATCTCACTAAGTTGCTGAAACTATTCTTGAACTTGGAATCTTCTTGCTTCAGTCTCTTAAGTAGCTGTGATTATGGGTGTGTCCCACCATGCCCGGATTTTCTCTCCTTTTTTTTTTTTGTTTTTTTTTTTACTATTTACCTATATAAATATCTATAAAAGGCTAGCACCTCACCAAAAAGGTTACTCTCACAGTTTGAGAAACATTATTCCTGTAAAAACCCATAGGAAGAGGTACTTAGCTTTAAACTTACCTTTTAATAATGACATAGTTATGCTAAGCAAATTTAAATTTTAGTTCTGACATTGACTAGCATCATTTATTTAACACTTATATGATAAGATTTTTATGTAAGCATGTGATAGAGTAAACCTCAGTGCTTTCTTCAAAATTTTCTAATCTTTTATCTTATCCTGATACCTTTTAAAAAATTAAAATTGAGATTTTGTTGTTTTTGTAACATTACTAGGATTGTTTTTCATCCAAATGCAATTTTATTAAATTACTAATATTGTGATATTTGCTTAATCTCAGTGCCTTTGCATTGTGTTTACTTAGCAATAAAACAAACAAACAAAAATCATTAAACCTTGACTTGGGTACATGAGTGGACAGAGTTAAACCCAGTTTCCCTCCACAGATGATACCAGTAAAGAATATTCCAATTGACTGATACAATTTTTAGGGCTTCTTATTTTTTGCTCTTAAATTTATTTATAAAGAGATGACTTCTCATTAAAGCTTTGCAAAAGAAAAAAGGAATTGCTAAATTATCTATTATTTCGAATTATGAAGGTAGTTTTATTCATCTCTGATTTATAATCACTTGGCTCCTCTGTAGATGGAAATAATCAAGGGCACTTAATCTGTACACATTCTGTCAAAAGTAGACTTCAGTTTAAAAATATACTTCCTATTCTGTTTTTGCTGTTTATGGAGGATTGCCATGTAAATGAATGAAAAGTTATTTCTTACTAATTCTTGAAACTTTAATTTCCTTGAAGAAACAACCAGAAATCCAAATACTTTTTTTACATTGGTCTTGATGAAATAAATACTTTTACTAGTATTGATAAATACTTAATCTCATCCTTTTTTCTACATAAATATTTTTTCTTAAGTTCAATTGAGGATCATATAAGGTTTTTCCCTGCTTATTATCATATTCCAATTTCATATGATAATAGAATCTTAAAATTGGAAGAGATTTTAGACTTTTAAAAAAATTAAATTTATTTTTATTAGTTGATTTCTCTGATAATGTGATATTAACATTAATCTTTGATATTTAACAAGTGCCTGTAGATTGTTCTAGAATCCAACCTTCTGTTCATTTTTGCCATTAATCTGAAGTTAGTCTATGCTTGACTATTTTATAAGATAACTACCTCATTTTCTGTGTATGTAGAGAAAATACTTGTACTTTAAAATTTTATATATATATGTATATATATATATATATATATATATATATGTATATGTATATGTAATTCCTTATTGTTTGTTTCTAGCAAACTGGTTTCTCTCAAAAGAAATAACTTTTAATTTTAGTGGGCAAAAATCATCCAACACTATGCATAGACTTGGATTTAGTTCATTGATGTAGTTGCCTTAAGATTATAATTCTAAATATTGGTTATTATATCCTTTACTATACTACTATGTAACTAATTTTTTAATACAGAATGATGAACAAAGTAGTCGATTTCATCCTCAAAATTCAAAGTACTAATTAATTTTTTAAAAGCTTAAAAATTTAGCTAGGTACACAGGCAGCTCTATCAAGAATATAAAACCGGCCAGGCGCAGTGGCGCAAGCCTGTAATCCCATTAGCTTGGGAGGCTGAGACAGGAGAATCCTGAGTTCAAAGCCAGCCTCAGCAATGGCAAGGTGCTAAGCAACTCAATGAGACCCTGTCTCTAAATAAAATACAAAATAGTGCTGGGGATGTGGCTCAGTAGTCAAGTGCCTCTGAGTTCAATCCCCGGTACCCCCACTCCCCAAAAAAGAATATAAGATGGATTGTTTAGTTATGTGGATGTAGAACTGGCCATTTTAAATCCTGCTTCTGGTGATACTTTTCAAACATAAACTCAGTCTGATTTCTCACAAATAGCAGGAGCTTCAGGTTTTCACTATGCTACCTAAAAAGAATTCTGAGTACAATACTAGTACTCTAGTCTCTGTATCCCAGATGTGCTATTTTTGTTCGTTTGTTTGTTTGCATCCTTTTAAGATGCCACGGCCCATGATGCATGTACACACGCACAGACAGATTGCCAGTCTCTCTCTGGACAGACATTTAGGGTTAGTAGCCATGAGACTGCATCTGAAAATTGGAATTTATCGTAATACCACTTAATACCATTAGATCTAATTCCCATGATGCATCAGCCTTGACTGATTAATTTCCAAATGTGCCAAGATATGACTTGGAACTTTTTTTTGTAAGTAGTCTTTGGAAAACAGTTTTCATCTTTATTATACATTTCTCTTTAGATCATCAAGACACTAAAAGTTGTTCTCCACGTTTGTAAAATTAAAATTTTAAAATTTGAGAATAATATTAAATGACAGTAACTATCCTTTCAAGAATTATCCCACTTATTTTATGGTTTCCAAGCCAATACATGTTAAATTAGAAAATGTTACAGTCAAAAGATTTTTCTATTTTGGTTGTTCACTATCTGCTCTGCTTTTATTCTTTTTAAATGAAACACACAGGATTAAATTTAGCCTAATGTGTTTTGCACTGACATTGAGAATGTTGGACCGTTATCCAGGTGTGTTATAGTCCTCTTATTTTAATGAGTCAAATGCCAAGGCCACATATCAGTTAAATGCCTCACATAGCAAACTATACTTGAATATTAAAAAGCTCTCTCAAAATACTGACAATATCTTAGGAGTTTAGGTTAGAACTCTACAAATTGCTTCATTCAAATGTGGTCAGCAGTCAGGAAGCCCAGGCAAGGAAGCCAAAAGAAAGAATCTGCTCACAAATTAAAGAATGGCTATGATTACTGTCACTGAGAAGCCCAGAAATGGTTATCAGCTATCTTGATGATTTAAGAAGTATCCTTCCTTCTTTCACTTTGTTCTCAGAGTTGGGAATAATTTTGTTTTAGTAATTTAACTAGAGAGCACATGCTTTATTATAATTAAACACTCAAAAGTCTCAGTTTCTAAGACTTTAGCTTTTAAATTAATTTCATTTACTTGTGAATGTAACTTGCTTTGTTGCTTTTGTGATGTGTTTGAAATAGCATTTTTATGGAATCACTTTTGATTCATGTGTTTGGATTTTGACATCTGTGTACCAGAATTCTCTATTCTATTCTTCTGATCATCCATAAGTTTGCAGTGTTGTTTCTTAGAGGTTTGGTTTATTGAATTGGACAATATACTACATTAAATAAAGAATGCTACTGCTCTGACACTAGGAATTAAGTACATTCATTGCTGTGGTTCTCTTCCCTCTCCAAAGGCATTTTTCATATCCACTTTTTGTATTATTGTTTAGGGTTGCAGAGCTAAAAGTACTACTTTGCAGTTGGTTTTTGAAAACAAAATGTTTATAAACTTTAGTTTAGTTTCTTGGGGGAAAGTGAAGGGTGGGGAAGAAAGGGGGGGCAAGAAAACTAAGATTAAAAACTGCTCAGCTGAAGTTTTATAAAAATCTGACTTGAGTGTTTTTCTCTTCGTTTGCTATGCTTATGTGAACAGTGTGACACCATCGCCACAACAGGCTCGGGTCTGTCCTTCCCATATGTTACCTGAAGATGGAGCTAATCTTTCCTCTGCTCGTGGCATTTTGTCGCTTATCCAGTCTTCTACTCGTAGGGCTTACCAGCAGATCTTGGATGTGCTGGATGAAAATCGCAGGTGATTGGCCATCAGTGACTTGCCAGCTTTGTTGCATATTTTTTTGGTGCCTTATCTAGTGAGTTGTGGTGTCTTTTATGTTTGCACCTTCTCAGTCTCTAAGATGCAATGGTTTGAAATGGCTTGCTTTGCTTTCTTTTAATTTCAAATTATTGTCCAAAATTCACATTTCATAAGATTACATTAGATTTTGTTCAGTCAGAAAGAATATTTAGTTCCTGAGAACAGGATATGTGATGATGTTTTTTTTCAAAGGCTTTGCTAATTTATTTGAAGTACTTGATTCCATGTGGGGATATGCTGAAGGTTACTGTTGGATTGATTGTGGGATGTTGGACTGCTGAAGCATACTAGTTTTCTTTTAGTAAGTTTTTTATTTAATTGCTTGTGCAACTAATATGATTGAGTAAATAAAGCGTGTTTGAGATGGCATTACAGCCACCAGTCGTTTTTTTGTCCTTTCCCCTTAACTACATACTAAAAATTCCATAGTGCTATTTTGAACATCTCCAAGTTAACTCATTAATAATATATTGTTAGTTGTAAATGCAAACATTTTTTTGCAATCATTTCGAATACTTTTATCCCTGCCACAATACTACATAATGTTTTTTTAAAAAGTGAAATTGGAGAAGCTTTTTTGGCTTAGTGTGGGAAAGGTAAAGTCAGTTTCCTTTCAACTCCGAACATGTGACTGGTAATTTCTCAGAGTCAGTGTCTGAATTTTTGTTGTCATTTTATTGAACTATTAATTTTTGCATTTTGAAGAATTCTCAATAAATTAAGCTGGCTTTTCCAGTAAACCCATTTTTTTTTTTTTTTTTTTTAATAACCTTAGGTGTCTTCTGGCTTGCTTTTATTGATTGCTTTTGTACTCACACATACCCAGGAACTTCTCCATAGTTCTTGAGCACTATTTGTCATTATTATTCATACTATTTATCATTATTGAATTTAGGTACTTTTCGAGTCTTTGCAGGGCTAATCTAGTGGTATACATTTGGACTCAAGGACTTCAAGGTGCTCTATAAAGAGCTTATAGAGACAAACTCATGGCACAGTGGGAGAATTATGTATACTGTGAATGTATATGTATACATACATTTTTTTTTATTTTCCCCCAAGCATTTAGAGTTCTTTGAAGCTTCTAAATCTTAGAATATTTGGAAGCTGTAAGAAGCCAGCCACAAAGTTCCAAAGAAAAGCATGGATTCAGAGAGTCATATTTATTCTTGATCCACCTCACAAAATAGCTGCATCATGGCCTTGAACAAATTGCTTATCTTCTCTGGGCCTCCTTTTCCTCATCTGTTGAAAAAAGGTAAAAAAAGGTATAATAATGCCTGGCTTTCTGAATTCTTGTGAATAGTCCCCTTCCCTGCCTTTATTAAAGATTTAGAGCTACTGACTTCAAATTATTTACTATGGTAAGAGAGCCTCAAAAGATATAGAGGGTAAAGTACCTGGCCTTAACTAATATCTGCAAAAAACTATTTTCACATCTCTCCTCTAAACAGATTTATTCTCTACCAGATATTCTCCTTAACTTTTTTCCTTACATAGGTTCTTAGAAGAGGTCAGATTATTAAGTCAGTATCACATCAAATGGTATTATAGTAAAAATATCTAATGAGAAAAAAAAATTCTAAATTCTGTTTAGATTAAATAATAGCTAGATGACAAAGTCCCAGTATGATTGTTTGTTCCTCCTTCCACCAATACGTACACAGTGCAAATGCATTTATATGGAACTTGAAAAAATATGGGCTTTTTTTCTCCATAATGGAAAAATTATTTACCTGAGGGTCAAACAATACAAAATCAGAAATCTTACTAATGTAAATTTTACCTTGTATTCTTTCATAATGAAAAACTATATACAATTCTATGTGAAATTTTATTTTGTAATGAATTGGTAACTTTAAAAAATCCCTTTTCTGGGAAGAAATTATCTTATTTACCTAAAACATGTTTTTTAATTGAGAAAGGTATTATAGTAGTAATACTTTACTCCTGGATATATTCCAATAGTTTTTACCATGGAACTCGAGTTAGGCTCTCATTAATCTTATCCATGTTTTCATTACTGAAAGGGTCTGTCAAAGTTATATTCAAATTTTTTATGATCTAAATGTTGAACAAGATTTGATCAGAATTTTAAGTAACAAATCAGTTTTTATTTTTGCTATAAGAAGTATCTAGTATAATTTTTCAGATATAAAAAATAGGAATGTGAAATTTGGATAATATTCTTGCATGGTTGTAAAATAATACTGCTTATAAAAATTTAAATGCTTTTATGTTCCTTGCCCTGTGCATCATTTTGTTTTCTTTTCTATTTTATTACTCTTGGCTATTTTGCTAATGCAATATCTTATCTTTGGTCTTACGCCATCACATTGAGTATAGTTAATTTAAGCTATAACTTTTTCAGAAGAAAAAAGCTTTCTGCCTGGTTTATTATCATAAAATAATGCAGTTTCATAGTTGTTCAACATGAGCTATTTTTGGTTTGCATCTTAAGGGACACTGTCAAAAGGTTTTTTTACTGTACCTTTTTTTCTCAGCTTATGAGAACTTAATTGATAAACAAGTTCAACATGAAAACCAAGTTAAATCCTAGGTTAGAAAAGTTCATTTACATAGGTCAGTGCTATACATTTGGAAAAGTGATATATTGAAAATGTATCAAAATACTTAGGATAAGCCTTGTGCACAGTTTGCTTAGTTGGCAGCAGGATTTAAAAAGCTGTTATGATTTCATGCTTTGTGGGTTAGACATTGTCCATATCTAGTTAATACGTCTATTACAACTATATATGTCCTTTTCCAATGTAAAATATTATCATTTTTTAAAACCATATTTATGTGTAAGAACATTATATACTGATAGATGTTATTTTTAGGAGGAGCTTGGTTATTGCTATAGTTTTTTCTTAGCAAATTATACTAGTTTTGAGTGAATAGAATAAGAAACCAGTATGTGAATAGTTTATATTTTTGACAAGTATCCCTATAAATCCATAACTTAGAAGACCTAGAAACACAGAGTTACAGTGGATATGATATGTTATTTGTAATTTTTCCTTTAAAAATATATACTTCCTCATTTTCAAAACTACTTATTTTCTATAGCAGTTTACATTTTCATAGCAAAGAAACATATAATCTGTCAATTCAGACCATATATTTACTCAAAAATGTCAATATGCAGGTTAATGCTGGAATTTGGTAGCCTTGGATTTCCTTCCTTTTTGCCACTTTAATTACAAAACATATCATTGAAAAATTTCTTTTTATGTATTAAATCATACTTATGGTAGCAAGTGGTACTTTAATGAAGTTTGCAACTTTACCAAATACCTGTCTAATTTACTTTTATATTATATGTGTCAATTGCCAGTGTGAGAAGACAAAATGAAATACGTTGTGAAAGGTAACTGTATTATTTTCTGGCTCTGCATTATAAAAGGGAAATCTCTGTGGTGGACTATGTTGGATACAGCAGACCCATTTGAACATATTAATACACATTTTTAAAATATTTTAAAAAGCACACAGCAGTGGCTTCATTTAATAACCATTCTCATATTTGTGTAATTTAAGATTAGTTGATTGATAGTCTTCCTAATATCACAGAGTAAATCTGATGGGAAGATAAGATGAACCTAATACCTGTCTCAAGCATATGTGATTCCTCAGTGTCTCTTAACCAACAATATAAAAGTCAGACATATCCTTTAAAAGGTTCTGAATCCTGTATCCTCTAGGCTCCAGAAACTTTATAAAGCACCAGTAGTGCCTTTAGAACATGTGACTTTAGGACAGAAGTTAAACATTAAATATTTCTAGCATAAATTGACTTGTCAGAAAATAGTAATTTGTAGTCTTCAACTGTGCCAGCTTACAGAAAAAAAAAAATTGTACAGTGGTATTAAACATTTACTATAATTATTGCCTTGATACTTACATTTAGGCAAATATCTAATTAGTTAAAGAAAAAAATGAGACATTCTAAAACAGGATTTAATAATTCTTAAAATCTTTACATGGATCCCCTAACCCATTCTTCTTTCTCTGATTAGTAAATATAGCTGCTTATTTGGGGGCAGTTGACCAGTGGACATGTAGAGCTTTTGTTTTTTGATTGTAACAAATAAATTATATTAGAAAGGTTACTGCTTGTCTAGATAAATTAATTATCCTCTAGGACTCAAATATGTTCTGAGACTATGTATAAAGCCCCACAAAGTTTTCCAGTGCACCTTGGTCCTTGTTTCCAGCAGCCCTGTATGTTACTCCTGGTTGTCTCAAGATCAGACTCACATATTTGTTTGCATTTCCTGCCATGTGCCCTAGCATGTCTCCCATATTCTCAGCTCTGGAACTGAGGCATGCATTTTTTACTCTGGAGAGCTGAGGGTTTAAGCCAGACACATCAGACATGAGTCAGAATTAATGAGGTGGGAGGGAAGGAATTGTGGGAAATGAGGAAATTCACAGTTTTTGAGGTAGAACTGTTGATATTGATGAGCAACCATGATCATGCAGGTGCCACAATAGGTTCTTGACATCTTTTAAAGTTGCCAGTGATTTTTTTCCCAGTCAGAAGAAAATAATTGCATTTTTTAAACACAGTGGTCCTCTGTCTTGAATTTCATAAATTATGAGCACCAAAAAAAATTATGTTGGTGCTATTTTACTTTGTTTCTTCAGTCAGTTGAAAACTATTAGATTTATGAAAATCATAAAATGGAGGATGTATGAACAAAGATTTTCTAAGTTTTTGAGAGATATTATATTGTATTAAAGCATACAATATAATCTTATTTGACATTTATCTGTCTTGTTTTTGCTTTTATTTTATCATTTCTCTGTTTCCTGACTCTGTCTTGTGCCTTCTCCCGCAAAAACCTGCTGTAGACCTGTGTTGCGCGGTGGGTCTGCTGCCGCCACTTCTAATCCTCATCATGACAACGTCAGGTAACTTTTGAGACTTTGTAATCATCAGGGGAAGTACAGAGTTGGGGATTTATGTTCTGCAGAATATAATGCATGTTGCAGCATGGACTTGACAGGTTTCACTTATGAATAATCTTGCTTCTAAGAACAAGAAGTTGAAGCAGTCAAGACATTTGACTGCTGGAGTCTGAGGGAAAATGTTTAATATTAACAGGGTGGTGTGATATGAACATCTGAGATATTTTATTTAAATACAGTTTTAGTAGCTTATAGGAGATTATGCTAAAATGCAGTAAGAATGATTTTAAGTCATGTTTTATCTGCACTATTTTAACTGTTGCCTAGGTTCAGTGCAGCATTTCCTCTTTAGTTGTTAATTATAATGTCACTTTCATAGTGTAGATAATCCAGTGTTAAGCACTATCGTAAATTGGGTAAAATCATCATTGACAACTCAACAGTTCAGAAAGGTGAACGTTTATTTAGAAAGGGAATTTAATTTTAAGCATTTTTATTATCATAAATATCAGTCTTTCTCGTTTTTGCCCTTTTTGCACTTTCAGACACAGCCTGAATAATTGTTTGGTGTTTTTTTTTGTTTGTTTGTTTTTGGTCGTCACACATCACACATGGGCAGATATTTAAAGTTCCTGTTTAGTGTTCCTGTCTTCTAGGAAAACAAAAGCAAAAGCTGATTGGTGTTTACAGATGCTATTACTCTTAATTTTTCAGAGCCAGTTTTGTTAAATGTAAGCTAAAATGTTTTACCTGTAGTAGTAGATTTAAAATTGGCAACTTTGTTTCTGTTAGAGAGACTGACACATTGTTAGGGAAGAGAAAAGGGACAGCATCACTTGATATTTGTCAGTTCAGTTCATGTTGGAGGAATTGAAGTGCACCCTTGGTGGCCCCCTAACTGTGCTGCTGACTTATTTTCTTTGACAATCTTAATTTTAATCCGTTTGTTGTTTTCCCTCCTATTTTTCTCTGTTTGTTATTACTTTATCTTTCTGTGAAATTATTTTTAACCAATGATCTAACTTAATGTTTCTACAGAGATTTTAGTTCTGATAAATACAAGTTTTAGTTTAAGATACTTAAAGTAATTGCACAGTGAGTGGCACATGCCTGTTATCCCAGTTATTTGGGAGACTGAAGCAGGACAGTTGCAAGTTCAAGGCCAGCCTGGGCAGTTTTAGCAATACCCCATCTAAAAATAAAATAAAAAGGGTTGAGGATACAGCATAGAGACAAATCACCCCTGGGTTCAATCCCCAGTATACAGAAATATATACATATATACGTAAATTGAAGTCTGTATGTAAAGTCTTTTGTCCTGTCTCTAGATTTCTTTGAGAATGACGATTTCCTTTACAGATTTTTAAAACCTTAGTTAATTCAGGATTTAAATTGCAAATAATCTCTATCATTTAAACTTAGCTTTCTATCTTCAGGCCAGGTCCCTTTAACTTTGAGGATGAAATGTAGAAAAGAGGAATCTTGAAGCCCTATTTTTTCCTCTAATCTTTTAATAATTCTGTTTAGTTGTTATTGTTTTTCAGTGCTAGGAATTGAACTCTGGGCCTTGTATATGCTAGGCAAGCACTGAACCACATCCTCTGCCCTAATAATTCTCTTTTAATGTTCAAAGGAATAATTAACTCAGATGTTTATAAGCCCATAGTTTGTAAGCCCAAGTTTGCATGTTCTTGTAAACAGAAACTGACAATAGTTGCAATATCTATTTCTGAGAAGTTTACTTTGCTAACTGGCAGAATTACCCTCAGGATTTCAAGAATACTTCCTTTATTTCCATGAAGAAAGGGGAGCTAATTAACAGCAAGTGAATTTAACTATAAGAGGATCATTCAGAGATTCTTATAGATTATATCTAGTCAGTACACACTATCTTATTTAAATTTCATTTTGCATTCTTTAATAAAGTATTTTTATATTATTTTCAACAACATTTGAAACAACAGGATTTTCTAAATAGACTTGTCTTTAGCATACCCAGGTGAAAAAATATAATTCTACTTCATATCCCTTTGTGGGATAATGTGGGTTTTTGTACTGGAAAAATGCTAGGAATATTAGAATATATGATCCGTTAGCCAACTCTGGTTTTTTTTTTTTTGTTGTTGTTGTTTGTTTGTTTGTTTGTTTTTTTGCAATGCTAGGAATTGAACCCTAGTAGTAACTAGTAATTCTACTCATTCAGAAAAGTTAGCATGTCATTTTATTGAAGTAACCATACTGGATATAAAATAGATACACATGTGATACAATAGATTGCATGGTATATAAATTTGTATCTCAGTAAAGCTGTAATTAAAATAAAAGTATGGAAATGCAGGCAAAGGATAGGAATGGTATTTGTGTCTATTTTTCAGAAGTTTATTGTCATCCATTTAAAAAAAATCTTTTAAAAGTGACTGCATTTGAACAAAAGGTATTGTTTAGTGTGCTTTCTCTGTATTCTTAGTGGTTCTTCAGTATTACTGTTTTATACACACCCTCTCAATTTCTTATTGTTGAGCCAATTCTGGATCTAAATGTAGTGGCAAGATACATTCAGGAGTCTGGTGCAGTAGTGCATGCCTGAAATCCCAGCTACTAAGACCCTTTCTCAAAACAACCAAAAAGTAGAGGGGGTGGGGAGCATGGATGTAGTTTAACAGTCAAGTGCTTTCTTAAGCATGTGGAGGCCTTGGGTTCTATCTGCAGCACCGCAAAAACAAAACAAACAAAAGATGTATTCCAGAGATTTTGATTATTTCTGCTGGAGACATGCAGTCAAGACTAAATAATTTGAAATAGGAGTGGCACAAGAAGAGGAAGAGAAATTATCACTTTTTTTTTTCTTTTTCTTTTTTTGGTTAGAATTAGTTCACTTTGCATTCCTTGCCTATGCGCCTCTACCTGTGGAACCACATATGGTAAAAGTTTGTGTAAGAATTGTTTGTTGGCATATCCTAGAGTGCTCTCAGCCTTTTCAGCCACCGATCATTTTTAACATTGCCCATCTCTCTGGTTTGAAAAGTGTCTTCAGTCAGGGTTTCTCCTCATTCTCCGTTTCAGTACATTTTCCTGGTATTATAGGTAGAAATCATTCATCTTAAGCTTTTTCTTTTCCTTTATTAGTGTCAATTCAGACAGTACAATATTTTAGTAATTTATATTGTTAAGTATGTCTTTTGAATGTTTCTTTGAGCAATACATAACATATGACTTGCTAGTCTTAGTTTTGTTTTAGTATTAACTTGTATTTTTGTGTCTTATTTACTAGGTATGGCATTTCAAATATAGAAACAACAATTGAAGGCTCATCAGATGACATGACTGTTGTAGATGCAGCTTCATTAAGACGCCAGGTATTTAATGAACCAAACAAGATATAATCCAAAAGTTATAGTCATGTAAATTTTGTTGTGTGATTTTAACCTACCTTCACATTTTTTTTCACATTGCATGTAATATTTTAAAGTGATAGCTGATAACATTTTATCATTTTTCTATTTTATGGAATCCATGAATTGAAGTATTTTATCTGTCAAATTGTTTAATAAGCCATAATGATTTCCCATTTTTAATTAAAGACCCATTAAACCACTGTCTACATACTTTGGGATGTTTTTTGGTTTTGTTTTTGGTTTTGTTTTTTTTAGCAATAGGGGTTGAACCCAGTGGTGCTTAACCACTGAGCCACATCCCCAGCCCTTTTTGTATTTTTTGTAGAGGCAGGGTCTCACTGAGTTGCTTAGGGCCTCACTAAGTTGCTAAGGCTGGCTTTGAACTCTCCATCCTCCTGCCTCAACCTCCTGAGCCATTGAGATTACAGGTATACACCACCAAGCCCAGCTCATCTACATGTTTTTGACCAGCATAAAATACTATCATCAAAATGAATTTATTTAAGTCTGACTAATAAGAAAGAATCTTAAATATCAACAAACCAGTATAAATTGCTTGTCTGACTTTTTTGACATGTAATAATCACTTTGGGGACCTTTGTTTCTATATTTGATATTCACTTTGGAAGCCACTACTTTCATGTGCACAGTGTCTATACATAATATTGTTTATATATTCTAATAAGTTATATCTTTAAAATATTTTTTATTCTTTTTAGTTATACATTACAGTATAATGTATTTTGACATACATATATGGAGTATAACTTCCCATTCTTGTGGTTGTACCTGATGTGGAGTTACACTGGTCATTTATTCATATATGAACATAGAAAAGTTATGTCCAATTCATTCTACTGTCTTTCCTAGTACCATCCTCCCTCCTGTCCCTTCATTCCTCTTTGTCTAATCCAAAGTACTTCTGTTCTTTCCTCCCTTCCCAAAGTACTTCTGTTCTCTGTCCCCCTCCCCCCATTGTGTGTAAGCATCTGCATATCAGAGAGAACATTCAGCCTTTGGTTTTTTAGGATTGGCTTATTATTGTTTGGGGGGATTGGCTTAGCATGATGATAGTCTCCAGTTCCATCCAATTACCAGAAAATACTATAATTTCATTCTTCTTTATGTCTGAGTAATATTTCATTGTGTATATATACACCACATTTTCTTTATTCATTCATCTGTTAAAGAGCACCTAAATTGGTTTCATGGCTTAGCTATTGTGAATTGAGCTACTACAAACATTGACATGGCTACGTCACTATAGAATGCTGATTTTAAGTCCTTTGGGTATATGCTGAGGAGTGAGATAACTGGTCAAATGGTGGTTCCATTCCAAGTTTTCTGAGGGATCTCCATACTGCTTTCCAGATAGGTTACATCAATTTGCATTCCCACTGGCAATGTATGAGTGTACTTTTTTCCCCACCTCCATGCTAACATTTATTATTACTTATATTCTTGATAATTGCCTTTCTAACTGGAGTGAGATGAAATCTCAGTGTAGTTTTAATTTGCATTTCTCTAATTGCTAGAGATACTGAACATTTTTTCATGTATTTGTTGGCTGATAGTATTTCTTCTGTGAATTGTCTGTTCTGTTCCTTTGCCCTTTATTGATTAGGTTATTTGTTTTTCTTGGTGTTAAGTTTTTTGAGTTCTTTATGTATCGTGGAGATTAGTCCTCTGAGGTGCAGGTGGCAAATACTTTGTCCCATTTTGTAGGCTCTCTCTTCAGATTCTTGATTGTTTCTTTTACTGTGAAGAAGGTTTTTAGTTTAATAGCATCCCATGGGGGAAAAAAAAAATATTTGGGAATTAATGTAACAAAAGAAGAAAAAGACCTCTACAATGAAAACTACAGAACACTAAAGAAAGAAATTGAAGAAGAACTTAGAAGATGAAAAGATCTCCCATGTTCTTGGATAGGCAGAATTAATATTGTCAAAATGGCCATACTACTAAAAGTGCTATACAGACTTAATGCAATTCCTGTTAAAATTCCAATGACATTCTTCATAGGAATAGAAAAAGCAACTATGAAATTCATTTGGAAAAATAAGAGGCCCAGAATAGCCAAAGCAATCCTCAGTGAAAAATGTGATGGAGGATGCATCACAATACCAAACCTTAAATTGTACTACAGAGCTATAGTACCAAAAAGGCATGGTATTGGTACCAAAACAGACACAAAGACAGTGGTTCAGAATAGAAGACACAGACAAATCCACATAAATACTGTTATCTCATACTAGACAAAAGCACCATAAACATACTTTGAAGAAATGATAGCGTCTCAACCAATGGTCCTAGGATAACTGGAAATCCATAGGAAGCAAAATGAAATTAAACCCCTCTCTCTCACTCTGCACAAAAATCAACTCAAAGTGGATCAAGGACCTAGGCATTAGACCAGAGACCCTGCGCTACTAGAAGTAAAAGTAGGCCCAAATCTCCATCATGTCAGCTTGGAACCAAGTTCCACAAGACTCCTAAAGCACAAGAAGTAAATAAGTTGTATCTTGAAGTTACAGTTGCATACACATATTTTTAGTATGTATTCCTATACCTTCTATAATCACACATATATGCACATGTAGAGAAGGCATATCTGGTGTTTTGATTATGTATACAAAATAGATACAGAGAAAATAGGATAAAATAAAGTATTTTAAGTAAAGATCAGTAAAGAAGCACTAGCTTCAGCAAGGCAGTTCAGCCCAGGGGTATTCATGGAAAGGACAAAGAGCCAAGGATGGTTCATTCAGCCAACAGCTTTTCTAGCAGCTGGGGAATCATTAGTCTTTCAGACTGAAGTGTCTAGGTGACATCTGGCCTACTACAATAGGTTAAAGTATTGGGCTTTCTCAGTAACTCAGAGAGAATGCAGATAATACCAACTTAAAAATGAACAATTAAGGCTGAGAAATAAGAAACTCATGGAAGAGGCCTAGAAAGGGGTAGGGGTCTATAGTCTTTCTGCCTTGGTAAGCCTGCCTCAGTGTATGTGTTGTCTTTTACTAGAATAGCTTAGTTGTGAAATACTACCTTTAATCTAATCAGGTAAGGAAGGAAATATGCCCTCACTAACTCCGAAATTTGGAGAAGGGAAATAGATAAGAGTATTTAAGCAAATTTAAGCTGTCATGAATAACATTTTTTTCTATTTGTAGCTGTCTTTTTGCTCCAAATGAAACTTTCCATGTTTGTAATAACTCTTATATGATTACACTGCTTTCTAAGAATGGAATTGCTGTGTACATTAAAGCTTCTATATTGTATTTTATGTTTGTTTTTCACATAGATAATCAAACTAAATAGACGTCTACAACTTCTAGAAGAGGAGAACAAAGAGCGTGCTAAAAGAGAAATGGTCATGTATTCAATTACTGTAGCATTCTGGCTGCTTAATAGCTGGCTCTGGTTTCGCCGCTAGAGGTAACGTCAGCACTCAAATATATTGTTTCAACAGCTGGAAATATAAAAGATTTGCAAACTTCTTTGTTTCTGTGTTTGCATTGTATGCCGTTTTATAGTTCATGCTCTGAAAATGTATTTCTTCCAGAAAGTAGGGTGAAAGGACCTATATTTGTAGAAGTAAAGGTATATTCTGTCACTCAGTTGTATTCACTTTAAATCAGTTCTGCAGCAACACTTACATAAAATTCTCCTTTTGCATGTTTTGTAAATAGGCTCCAGTTTGTGTTTTTAAAATGAAATTAATTTTTTGCCTCACCAGTCTAAACAACTAATTCTGTGAAAGGAAGACAGAATGCATAAAGGGTGGATTAAGAAAAGTATCTGTAGAAGAAAAACAATGTTTGTCCTGTTTCTCAGACACGGTTTTGTTGGTAGACATTTTTGCATCCATATTTTAACATTAACACTTGAAGTCATGGTCTGGTGCCAGATTTAAGAAAATCAAACCACCTAATATTTCATGATCACCTGTATAGATTAAATTAAAATATGCCTAACAGTTCAGCAGTTTAATATGTATGCATTATGTTGCGTTTTTATTTTCATTTTAGTTTTGCAGATGGTTTTCTATAAAATACGTTTTTACTAAGTCCATGTGTGAATGATTTAAAAACTACAGAATAAGGAACAATTGTAGTGTATTTAATAAACTGTCAACCAAAGCAATGTTTGTCTATTGAAAAATTTGTTTCATCATATTGGTTATGAGCTCAGTACGGAGTCATATTAACCTTATCTCAGTCTTTGTGTCTCAGGAGCATATGATGTACTTAATGACTTGGCAGGCAGCAAGTGCCTCCTGTGCTTCTCTTCAGATCTTTATCCTCCTAATTGTGGACATCATTTGTATTGAAGGTGGTTGTTTGTTTTTGTTGCTTGGGGTTTTGGGGGTGGTACTGGGGATTGAACCCAGGGGCACTCTACCATTGAGCTATATCCCTAGGCCTTCCTTCCTCACTCATCCCTCTTCCCCCTTTTTTTAAGACAAGCTCTCACTAGGTTGCCAAGGCTGGCCTGAAACTCGCCATCTCCTGCCTCAGCCTCCCTTGTAGCTGGGATTGCAGGTGTACACCACCATATACAATTGCAGGTGGTTTTCTAGTCTATTCTACCTATGAAGTGATTCAGATTAAAATACCTATGAAGTGATTCAGATTAAAATACCTGTAACAGGAAAATCATGACTGAAGCTGGGGCCCCAAAAAACTACTCCCTCAGTGACAAAAAAAAAATGAGAAATCTTATGCAAAAGTAGGCAATGAGAAATGTACCTTTCTTGACTTTGTCACATATCTAAAAGTAGAAGAGCTTGAATCTTGACTCTGAGGTTGAGCCCTGTGTTATTCTAAACTACTTCCCCAAAAAATGTTGTTAATCACTGTAAAAGAAAAAGAAATGTTCGGGATTAAGAAATGAATTCAATCCTGATCAAGATAATCAAGAAATACTTCTTAGATAGCTGAGCCTTGAGATAAGTGTATGTATGATTTCACCAAATAAAATGAAGAAAAGGATGCCAAGTACAGGGAACAGAGGGAGAAAAGGATATAGTCAGGGCAAAAGTAAGAACAGCAAGTATATTTTTGTTACACTACTTTCAGAATGTAAAGTACCCCCCCATCCACCCCCCCTTCCACCCCCCCCCCGCCCCCGCACACAACACTTCTGGGAATACTTGAGGCATTTGAAACTTGTTACAATTCAAGGAATAATTTTATGAAAGTGGTGTATTGTCCCACATGAATGTCTGTCAGTTTCTTAATATACTTTTTTGGCATTTAGGTTAAATTGTTTTTCTGGACCTTGGTTGTAGAACTGTTTATCTTATATTTTTTTAATTATAATCTATTTTCTCAATAAATAGACTTCTGTATGCACACACTAATCTTAAAAAGTAGCAGTTACAGAAGATATTCTTCATTCCTGCTCTTAAGGAATTAACATATTAATGGAGGTGGGGGAATAAAGCTTATTAAAGAATGAGATGATTATAGAAACAGTTTTACTAAAGAAGAAGATTTGAGATATGTGCTGAAGGATGAGTAGAGTTTTAGATGGTGATGTAGGGTGTTTTTTTATATATATAAATTCCAATGTGAGATTGTATTTGGGGATGAGAATGTGGATTAAGAAACCTTGAGCTTTGCAAATGACTAGGTACATTGGGGGGATGGGTAGAAGGTACATGTACAGACATGAATTGGCATTTTTAGGTACCTGATCAGAGATGGCTTTACCCAAAAGAACTAACCACAGGTGGCTCATAGGCTTTAGATCTTTAATTCATGGCAGCAGTTTCCATAAGATGAAAGAGAGAAGGAATAACCTATTGGCTGTTTCAGTTGATCATGCTACTGCCAGCCAGCCATTCTTTTGCCCTCTGAAATGGGACACCTAAGTTTCTGTCTCTTCCTGACCCGAAGGAGAAGTGGAGTCATATCTCCCATGTCTAGGGTGATGAGAAAACTGTAAGCACCATCACTGCCCCTGTGTCATTCACTCCAGCACAATGAGGTATCATGCATTTTACCTCTTTTAATTTCATGGCTATTAGCAGTTTGACATTCATTCGATAAGCATTGAGTCTTCACTAAATATTGGGTGCTGAAGAAACATCAAAATCTTTATAATGGCCCTACTTTGTACCAGGCACTATGTTAGGTACTAATTATACCAAGAATGAATACAAGAAACCTGTTATTGCACCCAGGGAGCTTGTGGTATTATGCAGGACTGTGAAATCTAAAAAGCAATCACAAATGAAAATGCTGTTGCAGTTGTGATAAAAGCTATAAAAGAGTAAAAGGAAGCCTACTTTTCATTAGGTGTTTAGGGATGGCCTCACAGAGAAAGTATGACTTAAGACAGGTGAGTATGGAACAGAGTATGGGGGAGAGAAGCGGCCTTACCAAGGACCCAAAGTGGGAAAGGATTGATGAGTAATGGATAAAAAGACACGGTCTCTGTTTTCTTAAATTCTGTAATAGTGGATACACAAAAACATATGTCATATGTGTCGGGTATGATGATGACTTAGAGTGAGCACTAACTTAGATTATTGGAATTCTGCACACTGGGAAGACTTCCTCAATTAGGACACATTTGAACTAGGTCTTCAGGATACACAGGCATGTGTAGGAACAGATTGTCTTCATATGGTAAATGGGTTTAAAGAAAAGCCTTATAAGTTCTTAATATTACTAATTTATTTGGAAAGCTGTAATATAGATATTGTAAGTTATTTCTAGAAACTGGAGCCCAGTGAACATAAAAAAAATGGAGGAGTGATAGTATTCAGAAAATTGTAGTTTTAGCTTTGTCTCTTTAATAAATTTTAAATAGTAAATACACTAGTTAGTTCTCATATCTTTTAAAGAAAGACTGATTTTTTTTCTTGATAACAGGGCTATTCTCTGTTTAGTGTCCCTGCAATCTGGGAATTAGATTTAAGGACTTAAATGAATGCAGGTTACATTTTTATATATATTATATACATATTCTTTTGTTTTTCTCTTAAGTATAAAAAAATACAATAAATAGGCTGCATACTACTTTAACTTCCAAGATCATTTCTGTTCTCTTCCATCCTCCCTCCAGAACTGCTCCTCCTTCTCCACACACACAAGAATATATAACTAGAAAATTGGAATAACACAGAAGAACAGAAAAATATAAAACAAATTGAAAGCTTCTTTCCACTTCTCCCTCAAAATCAACCAGCAATGATTTTGTCTTTCCATAAGAAGGTGTTAATGCATTTACAACATGCTTTTTATGTGAAAGGTTAGGGTTTTTTAATCACCTCAGAGAGGACTTCAAAAACAACATTTTTACACTAAAATGACTTACACAGCTTTCTAAATAATGTTTCATTATTGAACTTCTAAAGGCATGTATTTTAAATATAATTCTCAAGTTATTCGGAGTATCGATACTTAATTTTATTACCATTAAACTACACAATTTGACTTCTTTGGCCAGAGACCCCACACAGACAGCCAAGAAAACCAATGACTATCTGGCTGAGCCCAAAAAGGAGCTCAAGAACTCCAACAAGAAATAGACTTAAAAATACTGAAAAGTGGAAAATCCTCTGTCTGTCTTCTTCAGAATTGGAGTTAGGTATTCTCCAATTACTGTGCATGTTATTGATGGCAGAGTTTGGGAAACCAGTAGGAGGCACACAAGAATCATTGAAGAACCACTGCAGATTGAAGGATTTTGGATGAAAGTCACTGAAAAACAAAAGAGATAATAAATACTCTGCCCAGAAAAAATATATAGTAAAGAGAATATGCTTTTGAAATACTGTGTCCAGAAACCATAGCTTTCTAAATATAGATCCATTAACCCGAATAGTTACAAGACTTCTGTTCCTTATATATCCCATCATGCAAAAGCATTTTTATAGAACACATACTCTCAAGATGAACCACATGAAATTGCCATTTTTCTTTGTCAGAAATGGCAGAATACCAGCCATCCGCAGTCCTACATGCCTGAGTAATTCCAGCAATTAGGAGGCTGAAACTGGAGGATCTCAAGTTCAAAGCCAGCCTCAGCAGCTTATCAACACCCTAAGCAACTTAGCAAGACCCTGATTCAAAATTTAAAATAATAATAAAAAGGAATAGGGGATGTAGCACATAAGTGCCCTTGGGTTCAATCCCCAGTGCCAAAAAAAGAAAAAATGGCAGAACACTGTCACATGCTTTCACCTACTTATGCAGGCACTTCCACTTGCTGAAGATATGAAAACAAAAGAATTCAGGTCTTTGTGCAGAACTGCAATGTTACATCTCTCTTAAACCAGATGTATGGTTTTCACCCACCAGACATTTCAAATACATCTAATTTGTGCTTGTTCTAAAGGCTATGGAAAATGAGAAGTTTAACCCTGACACATATCTCAAGGCAATTTTCTTTAGTTCTTCCTGGAGTAAGACTGAGTGTTCTTAGGGAGTCCACATTTCTGTATTCCAACAACTAATTTTTCAGCTAGGAAACAACAGTGTTTCCTGCACATGGAATATTGCTTCACAAAGCAATACCTGCTTTGTGAAGTTGTGGGCAAATGGGATCACTGGATTGTAACTGCTGGTTAGCTTTACCCTAAGGCCAACTAGATAGGTCAACTGAGTGCTGCTGTTTGCAGAGCTTAGCCTGGTACATTAGCAGGCTGTTGTCATTCACTGAGGGCTAACTGGGGTATCTGTGGTTGAGATCTCTAATCTTTCTCTTCAAATCTGTTGAGAAAATTTCTTTAGGTTTTGATTCACAATCACTATGCTATGCAAATGTTGAAAGATTTTTCCTTCTTAGATTTAGCAAGATAAGGGAAAAGGAGGAAGATGATTTTATTCATGTAACTACAAAAGTAAAATCTGGTTATTTTCCAAATTGAGCAGCCTATACAGATAGCTAAAGAATTAGATTGTTCCAACAGTTTTTACCAATTATACCTAGATTCAGATATAAACCATTTTAAAAAACTGAAATGAGCCATTTATATTGTTATTACATGACTGATTTTTATTTCCACCTGTGGTATATAATGTGTCTGTAAGGATCCATTGGCTTCTTCATTTAGGTCATACATTATTATTTATTAGGTTTTTATTAAATTTTTTAATTATAAAGAGTGTACACCCATAGTTTCCAAATTT